AGCCTCGGATTCCATCGCTTCCGGTTCCGGCGCAGGAACCTCGACTTCAGGAGCGGGAGTAGGCGCAGCAGGCAAGGGAGCAGTCAAAACAGCGAGAGAGAAAGGCGCCATTGTATATGCAGAGTAAGAAGTGGCGACAGACGCGTGGTGTAGATGGATAAGAGAGAAGAAGAAGAAGCGGAAGCACGCGTCCACTCACTTTTCAAGCGCCGAATTCCCGATTAGGAAAACAAAGCCACGACGCGTCCACACACGTGACTTATGCCTTTCCGGCGCCGGTACACACACAGTTGCCGACACCGGCCCGCACGTGACATAATTGTCAGAAATTTCGCTAAGTCCATTCCGCGACTATAGGACTGACTGCGGACAGTCAGTTTAAGAGTACCCCGCAGGTGTAGGGAGTAATATCCCTACAGGCTCGTATCCCCTGATATATACATCGACCTCATCACTATCCTCATGTATGCGCAGTTCTATAGAGACACGCGCTACACGCGCGACCTTCCGCAGCGTTCCGCACCTCTCCGCGACATACGCGACGACCCGCGACATTGCGCACCATTCCGCAGCCCGGCGCTAAGTTCGGTATACCCTCCCATGTCCTGTCCTGTATGTCCGGTACCGTTGGTGCGTACTCTCACTGTCATCTCCGTCTCTGACCACATCCAGGGTCTTTTACATAGTGTTACATACTTATCCGCTTCCTTGCGCGCTTCCGCGCAGCCTATCCGCTTCCCTTACGTCTCAATACCCTGAGAGCTCGCGTAGCGACCTACATATCTAGAAGACTCAGAAGATTTCGGACTTACTTACTTTTCCCTTACTTGGACTCACTATCAGTTTTCTGTCTAGTCGCGCTTAGAGCGCTAATATCATTGCAACTTTTGTCCATCTCCTTCTCTGTCTAGTAAATCCTCAATTCTCATCCAAGGAGAGTTCTTACTACCTTCTGCTACCCTCCTCCTATCGCGCACGTATCGCGCGCCTCCCGACTCTTCCGCACGACTCTTCCGCACGACTCGCGCGTTCCGCGCGTGTATCACATCAGCCTCGCGCGTTCCCGCGCGCCTTCGCGCACTTTCCGACTTGAGCCTTTCTCTTGATCCCTCTCATCAATTAGAGAGATTGATTCAGTAGTATCCCCTAAGGGACGATTCTACTAGCTCGCCTCTCGAGGTAGATATTCTTGTGACTCCCCGGAGTTCGCATCTCTATTTTCTCACCCACAACGCGAAATACTAGAAAGGTGGAGTGTTCAAGAAAGTTCAGGCACACAACTAGTATTGCTTATTGCAGCCGTCCCTAGGAATAAATATAAATTCTCCTTAGCTGCCTCGGTCAGTGAATTTGTTTGCTAAGTAAATTATGGAAAAATGGGACTACATGATTTGCTAATGTCATTTTCAGTGTCCTTAAAATTTTGACAATGAATTTTATACCCTTACATTCTCGCGGGTAAAATTCAATGTCCCCAGTTGTCAATGAATGCAAGTAACCAGAGTCTATGCGTTGCTTACTGTTTTCGTGACGGGAAAGAAGACAAATAGATTTGATCAAATGCAGTGTGATTTTTACAAATAGTAATTAGTGATGCTATGGTGCTATTTGGGCTCAAAACCCGAAGGGTTTTATGACCCGAAACACAGTTTCGAATCTGCGTAAGTGTCCAGGGTGAGCCATGATACCCAAAATTAAGGAGCCCTGTGACGCGTCAGGCTTAGGCTGGACTCCCAATGATAAGGAGGAGGGTGACGAGTGCGTACCTTGATTAACGAACTGGCGGCATGGTATAACGAGTGAATGGCTCGAGGATTGGAGATTCTTGAAGGTAGGGGGCCATGATCATCGTGTGTTGCCGCAAATAAAGAGTAAATGCATCACTAGACCAGCGCCCCATCGATTTAACGACATCGAAGGGGATCCCTCGTAGGAGGTACTCCAGTGTACCTCCTATGCGAAGTCCGTGTCCCTTTAGATTTGGCAGATTATTTCTCTTCACTATTTCCCCAATCCTTTTGAGAAAGGCTGTGCGCGTTAGTGGTCTGATGCCCGATGAATGTCTCCACGCGAAGAGATGGTCTGTAGAGGACGGATTATTGATCGTGAAGTGGTTGATGAGCGCCGCTTTAGGGTCAGTGTGGTTCGACTGGTGCGCCCAATAAACATCCTCACCGACGAGTGAGGTTTTTGTCCGGGGTAGACGAATCTTCGTGACGAGTAGGCCGTTGTGGTCTTCAGCATCTATCTGCAAATCTGAGCGTTTAACGTGCAGTGCACCGTCAAAGCTTTTTATGGCTTTTGTGGTGAATTCTCCAAGACGCGCCAGGGAATAAAAGGTGCTCGTGAGACACGCAAAGATGGCAGCATCGAGCGGTGTGGAGATGTCGAGATGATTGCGAATATCGAGGATGATACTGACGGTAAAAGGTGCACGTTTCTGGCATTTGGAGGCTTTTGGAGCTAGAGTGATTGCGCCGTCTAATGCTGCCTTTAGTTGGTCATGGTCTATGCCCCAGATTTGGCCATGTAAAATGTGCCAGGCTCGTATTGCATAAACGTAGTTGGCTAACGTTTTCCCTGCGTACGAGCCTGCGCAACTCGTGACGAAAGCGAGGATGGTTAAAGTATCTGCGGGACAGCGTTGTGCTTCCGGGATGAACCTCACGTCGCAAAAAACATGGAACACCAACAACCCTGCGCCATAAACTTCTCTGGTTCCTTGCGCCCATGCTAAATTCATGACGGCCATTACCCTCTCGATATCTTCTTCTGACACGGCTAGAATCTTCCCGGTATGGTCGTGTGCTGATCTGCTCTGCAGCGGGAACCATAGTTTGAGTCTGTCGCGTGCGATACAATGGGGACGAAGACCAGATGGAATGGGTTTGAGACCCGACTTGTAGGGTTGGGGTTTAGCTACAAGGTCAGCAGGAAGAGAAGCACCGAAACGCGTGCTAGTTGGCCCATTGTCGCTCGTGGACGTGGTAGCAATGGTCTGCGATGGTGGCGGCGTCATTATCTGCATGATGGAGATCGGAATCGTCGACAGCAGCGCTTGTTGAGACGTTGGGACTTCCGTCGAGTTTGAACGGTTCCCTCGCGCTGGTATCGGGGTCGAAAGGATCGTATATGAATCGATGGAGTGCGTGTGGGATTGGGAAGAATGGGAGTATGAGTTCTTGACTGGGGTAGATACCTCGAGAGGGGCCGTCAGCCGGGTTGTGTTCGCTAGGTATGTATGACGGGTAGAAAGAGTATGGATCTGTGAAGCTGTGGATGGACGCGAGGATTCTCCGGAAGACCGTATTGACGGCGGTGTTTCAACTACGCCCGTTACGCCATCCTTCAACGACTCCCTGATTGTCGCCGAAGAGGTGATAATTGCGTTCTGGTCCTCCCAGCTGGACAAGGTATTGAACCAAGAGCTCAAACCCAACCGCTTCTGCCCAGCCGATATCCTTCTCTCCATCGAGGGTTCTCCATCCATCTCGGAGAATCCACGCTCTCCATCGAGAGCCAATGACGATAGCAATCCCGACGCTTGAGCTCGCGTCGGAATACGCTTGTGGGTCATGTAGGCTGGTAATGGGTCTTGGAATGGGGCAGCCCACGAAGGGTGATTTGAGAAGATCGAGCCACCAATCAAGTTCTGAGTGAAGCGTTTTAGCTGGGCTACGTGGGAGAAAAGGACGGTTGGAGGCCGTGCGGAGCATAGCCTCGAGAGCAGTGAGGTATGCGCGCCCCATTGGTACGACCAATGAGGCGTGGAGGAGTTTGCCGTATAATTTCTGGACGTCTTTAAGTACGTGTTTCTTGCGTGCTCGCCAGTCTTCGATGGCGATAATATACTTCCGTTTCTTGAGTTCCTCCAAAAAGACCACGTTGCGTGCGATATCCCACATGAGGCCAATGTACATATTAAGGTAAGCGAAGTGCACGTCTTTCGCGTGTTTCCAAGGTATACCGAGTTCGTCAGACGTTTCGTCGATATCTGCGAAACAAAACGTGAAGGCTTCGTCTTCACTCGATCTTGGGATTGAGGCCGAAAGATCGCGAACGGGAAAGCAGCAGTCCTCATCGTATTCGTCGAGTGTCCCATCTTCGAAGATATACCCCCCAAACCAAATTCTCCCCCCATCCTGGTGCTGCCCTTGTTTGATAATGTCCTTGTGAGCCTTTTCTCGCTGTAGGTTGTATTCTGTGAGGTGTTTTCGGAGAATGCGAATGAAAAGATGGTCATCGACCCATCTGGATGTAGGGCCGATACCGCGGTGCCTAAATAAATCCAAACCTGCATCGGCCACGACGCTGTACGCACCTGCTGATGGCCGAAGGCCGAAGCAGGTGCAAGTGTCGATGCAGAAATGGGTGTCAGAGATGCGAACAACGGCTCCTGGCCACTGCGAGTGGTGCAGTGGTATGGTGCGGTAAGCCTCGGAAACATCCCTGGTGGCCAACTGAGATCCCGGTGGTAAGCGACTGATAGTGAGCGCAAGGACGTGGAACGTGCCCCACGTGCTGGCGAAATTGTCTGGATCAATGAACGAATTAATCGACGGATTAGGAAATTTGGGCGAGGGAGTGTGTGGGAAGGAATAATTCTGTATGACGCGGTAATCTCCTGGCCGACCAGGTTTGGGTATGATAGAGAATGGAGAAGATTGGAAGGGTCCAATGAGCTCATGGACTTCTTCAGCTTTGAGAGGCCCAATGAATCTGCCTTTATTAATTTCGGACTGAATGATAGACAGGAATTCTTGTTGATATGTGACAATAGAATCTTTGTTGGGAGGCGCTTGTGTGGTTCTAATTTTAGGAATATCAAGACGAAAACCATGACGAATACCGTCAGGTACATGCGGATATCTATCAATAAGACCTGCGAGAACGAGTTTCGCTTTCCAGACGTCTGAATTATAAGGAGAGATGGCCTTAAGTTTTCTGAGCTCGAGGACACGCTTGAGCTCCATGAGAGGAGCCGGCGCATCCTGAGCAAAATGGCGGCGATCGTGGGTGGTGTCGATACACCCACTTGCTCTCTGCCAATCGCTGCAGATGGGACGTCCGTCTCGCATTGTGAGTACTTTGCTGAGACGGGTGGTAAGAGTATTGAAGGTGTTGTCCCACGTTTTGAGGGACTTGCATTCAATAATCTTGTGGGGGTTTCGCCCAAGGCACACGGCACAAGTGGAAAGGGCGCTTCCGGTTGTGCTGGCTCGAAAATCCTGGCGCGCTCTCTTCCTCCCATTGCCATGCTCTGGGGAAGCCGATCGCTTCAGGTTGCGAGAATCGCGTTGTTGCTCGCGTCGATGACCCGACGAAGTGTTGCTAGTTGTGGCGACTCGCTGATCAGCCTGCGTTTGGGCGATGAGTCGAGGATGAAGCATGGGGTAATGTGTGTGGCATGAGGCAGCGCCACGTGTAGCGTGAGGCAATACGTTGGTGAAAACGACCAGTTTATCGTTGTAGGTGAAAGATAGAGTGTTCGTATTAGCTTGTGTAAGAAATCAAATGAAAAACGACGTTACTGACCATGTAGTCCCTCTGGTTGTCTCGTTTCGAACGTTCCTGCCAGTACACCCTCTCTCTAGTCCGCTCGAGAAGCTTGGTGTTGATGCCAGAGAGGTCATAAGGACCTGCGGACGATTTGGCTACGACATGCCAGCGCTTGCGCTGCTCAGCTTGATACGCTAGTAAGGTCTTCTGCGCTATCGGGTCTCGAAGAGAGCGGTATTCATGGACTTGAAGATTTTTCCAGAAAATCGCTAGCATTCTGACTCGATCTACCGGCCAGTCTGCTTCCTCAATGGCCGTGATGAAGCGGGGACAGGCTTGGCAAAAGTCCTCAAAATTGAGATCCTCGTCGTTTACAATGGAGGCAGCGTTGCGAGAGGATGCTGCTGAAACCCAGGCTGTTGAGCCGTCTGGGAGAGTAGACAGAACCATGGCGTCATCTTTGATGACGGTCTTCTTGGTTTGTGCGTCATCTAAACCGTCATTAGTAAAATACCACAGTTCCACGTATTCTCCTTTGTCAAGTTTCCGAGTCGCGTAGGCCGATGGAGTAATTGCGAGTTTGTCCGGTACTCCAGAAGCTTGGATGGGCGCATACTTGTGTTTAAGCTTCCTTTTCTCTTCTTTGCGCGCTGCTTCCTCTTCTTCGAGACGTTCTTGTTCCTGCCTATCCTCTCTTTCCTCTTGTTGAAGACGAAGGTTATCACGTTGCTCCCTGTCTGCTTCGACTTGCTCTTGCCACTGAGCTTTCTCAATGTCGTTAGCAGCTTCCCAAATGTCTCTGAGAATCTGTATCGCTTGGTGTTCGTCGATGTGCTCCGAAATTATTCGGGCTCGTGCCCCGGCGAAAGGTAAAATCGCGTAGTCCGGGCAAATGTTGAGATTGGGATCATTCCCAATTCTAGGCATAACGGTTGTGAAAACAACGAGTGTGTGTAAAAGTTGCGACGAAACGAGAGTGTAGTCGATCTGAAGAGAACTTGCAAGTAGTACGTAGTGGTACGAAGCAAGAAAGGTAAAGTCCCGAAAAGCTGTGCCGCCGCGTAGACACAATTCTATGAAGTTTTCGTGCCTCAAACTTTCGTAGAATATAAATTAAGTGACACTGGGAGTGAATTCAACACATTCATTGCCACTGTCACTTAATTTAATGGTTTTTACTTCCCACAGTGGTAGCGTCGCCGCTTCACGTCGTATCATGATGTGAGACGAACAGTACTAGTGTTCACGCTAGAGTCAGTACTCAGTACTCAGTACTCAGGACCACTGGCAGTACTCAGTGACAATAGTAAATGGCTGCGACTATTGGTGAGTCGGAGACGCAGTAGCTCTGTACTATAACACATGATCCCCACAAGCTACCATTAGGCCCATGTGTCACCACCTGCGGCCTCATGCGTTCGCCCGATTCCACGCCCTTGTCCACTTCCCGATGGTGTTCCCGCCTTTCCATATGCATGTCCTAGCACCTCGTCATCGTTATTAGACATCATGTACTCACTACCAGCGAATATGGAGTCTGGTAACTATGTTAATACCCAGCTAGTTGGCATATATACTACACAGGAACATGTGCGCAATTGCATTACATTGCTTTTCACTACGGTCAAAATCAAGGTTCGAATTGTGTTGAATTACTTACCATACACCTCAGTCTTGTGTTTCCCACTGCAGGTTTTGCAACTTGGCAGTACTCCCGAATTTGACGAGGGCGTCGAGATTCATCTGCGTTGGTGCTTCCTCCTCCCGAGAGATAAGCCTTCGTAGAAATATCGTAATGTCGGATTCACATAAGAATGGAAATGTGGTCTCTTTCAGTCCAGAAGCGTTGATCCGTAAAGATCGGTCCGTTTCGGCATCGTTTGGGTCTCTCTCTGGAAATGTGACGTTGAGCTGTGGCTCCACATTGAAGTCCAGACGGATAGTGATATATGGCAGAGTGGATGAGCATCTGATCGTATCATGCTTGCGTGTGTTGGCCCCCAGCTCTCGCGCAATAGGATTCTTCCCCGCTTTGTCCGAAATGAAAATTTGAGATACGCGTTTGAGATCGTCGGAGCCGAGGGTGGGATCATCAAAATATATAGGAATCATCTTGTCGACGAGCGGCTGCAGATCGCAGCATAGTACCGCACTTGTGCGAACCCAGTGTCGCAGAGTCCACTCTTCGGCACTGTGAAAGCGGTATCTTGTAAATAATATCGCTCGAGAATGTTAGAGGCTTACCTCGACATTTCGAGCGTAGGTTGCTTGGAATCCCCCGGTCCCGGGCCGGGGGAGATCAACTCTGTCATGGACACCCAATGCGAGAAATTGATGTAGGCATGCTGAAAAGCTGTCTTGGCCTCCTCACCCGCCAACAACCAGAACATCTCGCCAAAAAGGTATTGCAGGAAATCGACGACGGAGACCTTCTGGCAGTCGATCAATTCCGCATCCCGACTTCCGAAGTGATGTACAACCCGTATTGTGCCTTCGGAGAGATGGCCGCGAACGTACATGTCTTTCGCAAGAAGCAGCACAAGTCTGCTGACCAACTCTCCCCTCTGTCCTATCTTGACCATCCCCTCATTAACCTTTTCGTTCAAGGCCCACAAAGTGCTCCCTAGCCTGGTAACGGATGACGTCCCAGAATGGAGTATAATCGCTGCAACGCAAGACAGAAGGGGTTCTGATGGATAACCGGTGAAGGTCCATGACCTATCTTGGGTCGTCGAGAAGCATATCCGCAGGTGGCTAGCCACTCCTTTTTCAACATAAGAAACGGCATCGGGGTAACCAAAGCAGATGTCGAGACCGAATCGCTGAGACAGGACAGCGAGAGCCTGATTCGTATCCGATGGTTCAAAGTCGTTCGAGTTGAGAAGCTTCTTAGCAGCTAATTCCAAAATCTCAGCGACAGTTGGAGCGGAGCGACCCAGCGGGGTTCGGACGGATCGGTTTGGGCAAGAGCAGGGGCTGGAGGAGTAGGGTGTCAGGAGTGTCAGGAGTCCAGCAGGGTTCGGGGTCACGATAGTAGATACACGCATGTACAGCATACAGGACGATCATCATCATCGTTGTCCAGCATCCTCCTCGTTCGCTCCTGAACATCGTGCTGACCAGTCCATCTGGTGATGAGAGTGGGGCAGCGACCCAGCACAGGAGAAATTAACCTCGAGCACTGCGCAAAACTACGTGGACTCATTGATACAGAAACGACGCGCCGCAGAAACTCGAATTCCTCTCCTACTCAACTCACTTTTTTCTCAGAAATTTCAGATAGTGCAGCGCCAGGCACTCCCCGCCGTCGTATTGTCTCTTTGCCGCCTCACCTAGAACGACAACATTCCCCCGAGTCTGTATCGGGACAAATCGGAAGCACAAAGTTTATGCTACAGCCCGCACGGTTTACTCCTAGACAAAGAGCGAGCACAACAACGTCACCATCGTCAACGTCCTCACTTACAATTACCCGTCCCACACCGACCCCGTTTAATAGCACCGCACAATCCCCAACTACGAAACGACCGACATCAACGCGATTCAACATGCCCAGCGAAAACCCACGTCCGGTACCACTGTTTAGGGGAGACTATGGAGACAAAGAGGAACCAACAGAGTGGTTCGCTCAATTTGAGTTATCGCTGCTGGAATCCTGGGACGACGACAAGAAGGTAGACCGCTTCGAGATGCAACTAGCGCCAGGAAATTTAGCAGAAGAATGGTTTCAAGACAACGTTCCTACTAAGTCCATCACGTTCGCAAGTCTCAAACTCGCATTCCGAGGGCGCTGGCCACCACCACGACGACCCAGATATACACGTGCACAGCAAAAGGAACGGATTATGGCGGAGATACTAGAGGAAAATGAGATAGGATCATGGACGGCAGGCAACTATGGGCATGCCGCCTGGGCAACCAAAGTGTCGCGCCTGGCCTTAGGGATGGGCGATGTGGAGGGACACCTGATCGAGTATGTCCTCGAAGGTATACCCAACCTCCTCAAAGACCACCTCAAGTGCGACTACAAAAACTGGGACGAGTTCATAGAAGACGTGCAAACGGTACCAAGTGTGAAGATCAAGAGGGGACGGGAGGATTTAGATAAGGAGAGAGCCAGAGATGCGGATATTGCGAGGTTGAAGGCGCAAAGCACACCGTCAATGACCACACTGCAGCAACAGTTCGCGCAGTTGGCCACGAGTACCTACCGACCAAGCACGTATCGAGCAGCGGTACGTGCTCCCACACCATCCAACCCACCACCCTTGCTCGTGAGCAACCCAACAAACATTTACCCGTTTTCAACTGCACCAGCATTATCAGTCCGAGGAGGTTTCAACATGCGAGGAACACCATTCACGCGTACTCAACTCACCAGAACGCAGATCCTAGAGAAACTGTCTGCAGTACCCCAACGAAGTAACACGGAGACGGGGGTACGTCAATACGAAGCAGACGTAGAGCTTTGGCATCGAACGCATGGTACAGAAGGGTTCCCAACCATAGAACGGCCGTATCCGCTCCGCCCAGGAACAGCAATTCTCGGATCAGGAGAATGCTATAACTGTGGCATGGTCACAGAACCACCTCACGTTGGAGCGCAGTGCATAGTCCAAGAACCGTTGAAACCTCAAGAGGCTCGTTGGCGGCAGCAAGTAGCGGGTCTCCTCAGACGCACAGCCTCACCGATGAATCGACCAGGCTATGCAGTTACGCCAGTGCAATACGTCACATCAGACACCCACCCAAACTACGGCACATATCGAGCAACAACAACAACTCCAGTATACACGATAGCGCAACACGAGGAGCAAGGAGGGTGGGATGGACAAGACACTTGGGGCATGCAGGAGGCGGGGTACGACTGGATTCCGGAAAACGGCCTGGGACCACTGCCGACAGCGGACCAGCAGTAGCTCCCATGATAACTAGTCCGCGTCCTAACGCATCATCTACATCAAATACTGTACATGTCATTCCCTCAACTCTCATATCGACGGACGCAGAATCACTAACCGATACATCGTCTTCGCGTACTATCTCGGTTGTACCTTCATCTATGCCAAACAATTCTATTACTGACGTTTATTCGGTGGATGCTTCCGGCAAATTCATTCCCTCTCGAGCAAGTAATCCGTTCCTAACGGTACCATATCTGCATGGACCTCGTGGAGAGAAGGCACGGTTTCTAGCCATTGTCGACAATGGCGCAATGATCAACGCAATGGATACAGCGGCGTACCAGAGAATAGCACGACGCCTAACACCGCTAAGTCCTTCGACTAGAACACTTCGCATGGCTGACGGAACGCTAGTACCGTCCACAGGAGAATGGTCAGGAATGGTATCATGGGGACCAATACAAATCAACACAACCTTCGAAGTATTCCCAAGCGGGGGATCGTGGCGCATGTTGATAGGTAAACCGTTACTAGAACAAGCGCGTGCAATCCACGATTATAGTACTGACTCAATCATGCTACCTCACAAGGACTCTCAATATCAGCTACAGAACTTTTCTACCTACCGCCCCCTCCCAATCCCATGCCTACCAACCGCCATTAGATTCCCCTCCTCTTCAACATTCATAAGACCCCCTACTATAGAACCTAATATACCAACCGCACATACTATACATAATACCCAAGCACAAATATCTACATACCCACCAGAACAACTTACTATAGAATCATCGGATCATTCTGCGAACTTGACGCTACTAATACCCCCATCTAGAGCGCAAATAGACGAACGTACCAGAAGATCATCGGATCGTTCTGCGAGCTTGGCGCCACCAACAACCCCAGTCACAACACAAATGGACGAACGCAACATGAGATCATCGGATCATTCTGCGAGCTCGGCATCATTGGATCATTCTGCGAGCTTGATGCCACCAATAACCGCGGTCGTAACGCAAATGGACGAACGCACCATGAGATCATTGGATCATTCTGCGGACTCGTTGCAGCCTATACCTCCTGCCATAGTGCAGGCAAACGAGCCAACAGACGTCAGCCAGGTGGATAACGTCGAGGATGACAGAATGATACTAGGTGAAGTACCGGACCTCACAAACCCAAGCCTACCTGACGAAATCTATACTAGATTGACGGCTCGAGGACCATTCCACCCACCACGAGTAGAGGCTGTGGTGAATGCAGTCCGTTTTGGACCCCACCTCGACCAGCATCAGCTACGCAAAGCACGCGAATTGGTCACGGAGTTCGCGGACGTATTCGCGTTATCAATCCGGGAAGTAAGGCCGGTAGACTTCATCGAATTCCGCCTCAAGATACCGGAAGATGCAGTATTCTCAAGGAAGGTGCATCAAAGGCCCCTAACAAAGCCGCAGAGGGAATATTTGTTCCCGATCTTAGATGATATGAGACGGGCGGGAATCACGAGATTCATACCAGCAGACGAGGTAAAAGCGGTGGCATCAACCGTGCTAGTTCAGAAGACCCACTCGGGAACCAGCCTATCTCTGGACGACATCCGCCAAATTGTTAACCGTCAGTGCATTGAACTCGGTGAGCCTCCGGATCATAATGTCGAAGAGAGATCATCACCCGTTTGTCACCCAGAACCAGTAGACCCAGCCAAGGTGAAATGGCGGATATGTCAAAATTTCCGAGACGTGAACAAGGTATCCGACGTTGCGGCCACGCCGCAAGGCGACATCTCAGCAAAACAGCAACGATTGGCGGGACACGAGTTTATATGCGTATTGGATTTTGCAGCCGGATTTTATGCGATCCCAGTGGAGGAGGAGAGCCAGCCGTACTTATGTTTTTACACAGAGGGACGAGGTTACAAAGCGTACAAACGCATGCCAATGGGAGTACAAGGTGCGCCTTCATGTTTTAGTGACCTCACAGCTCAAGCATTGCACGACATAATGATCCAACTGCTCCTCGAGCTATACGTAGACGATAGCGCCATGGCAGGTAACGTTTTCGATGAACTACTATCACGCTTACGTCTTTTTTTCCTCCGTTGTCGAGAAAAGGGCCTATCGATCTCGCCGACTAAAACGCAGTTGTTTATGAGGGAAGTCGTCTTTGGTGGATCACGGGTAGGATATGAAGGTATAAAGCCAGACCTGGCGAAGATCGCGGCAGTAGCAGAATGGCCCGTACCGGCAAACCTTTTAGAACTAATGCGATTTTTAGGACTCACAGGATACTTCTGTTCGTTGATCAAGGACTATGCATGTATAGTGTCGCCGCTAACCGACCTCCTACGAAATCTGGACAGACCGCCACCCAGCGCGAAAGGAGGGAAACGTAAGTACAGACAGTACTTGCGGGAACGGAATCTCGACGCGTACTGGGACCAAAGACACGCGAAGACGTTCTTGAAGCTCAAGCACATACTAATTTCGGAACCGATCTTACGTGCACCCAAGTTCGATGGAACTCCATTTATTATCATTAGCGACGGGTGTAAGGATGGCTTTGGAGCCGTACTAGCTCAACGTACGACCCTACAGAAGCCAGACGGGAACACCATGGACACCATCCACCCTATCGGATTCGCATCAAAGCGCACGTCACCGGCTGAAGAACGCTATAAGCCTTACCTGCTCGAATTCGCCGCTATGAAGTTTGCGTTCGATCAGTTCGGATCGACGGTATGGGGATTCCCAGTCGAGGTAGAAACCGACTGCACCGCGTTACGGGACACGCTACTTAGCGACAAACTCTCCACCGTTCACGCACGGTGGAGAGACGGGATATTGGCTTACCAAATAATAGCAGTTCGGCATCGACCAGGCGTAACGAACACGGCAGCAGACGCATTGAGTCGACGCATGTCGGGAAGACCACGAACGGAGGGAGACGGAAGTGCCTGGACAGTTAGTGAAGATTGGGAGACGGCTCACGGCTTGGTAAACGATCTTTTATTAGTACAACCTACTGACTCGGTGATTTCAGACTTACGCGAGCGCTTCAAGCACGAACCCCTCTTCCTGGAAGTTATAGAGGCGATTCTCAACCTTGATGGAAGCAAACCCGAACGCGAACGTCGCAGGGCACGTTACCGTGCCCTAGGATATATGATCGACGAAGGGCGCTTATGGCGTATAGCAGATGGGAAGTCCGCAAGAGCGCGGGCGCGATTGGAGTGCGTATCACAGTCGGAGGCCACAGAGTTAGCACGACAAGCGCATGCTAACAATGGGCACTGGGGTCGAGACCTCACCAAACTCCAACTAATGGATCGAGTCGTTAGTCCACGACTCGACAGATCCATCGTCAATGCGTTATTGGAGTGCCCGCAGTGTAAAAACTTTGGGTCAACCCAACTACACGCACTCATGTACCCCATCACACGACGTCATCCCTTCGAGCTTCTGGTCGCGGACTATCTAGCACTTCCAAAAGGTAAAGGTGGGTACCACAATGTCCTACTAATCCTCGACACGTACTCGCAGTACGTGTGGGGATTCAAGCTAAAAGTTCACGGCACAGCGAAAACGACGGTGGATGGGCTCGAAGCGGTGGCACATACGTTCCGCCCACCAGACACGTTCATGACGGACGGCGGATCACACTTCGACAATGGAATCGTACGAACGTGGTGCGCAGCGCACGAAACTAAGCACCACGTAGTAGCGGCATACGCACCTTGGATTAATGGATTAGTGGAGAATGCGAATGGGAAGCTTTTGGGGCGATTGAAGAAGTTATGCAGTCCGGGGCTGGGAGAGGACGAATATGAGGGCGTGGACTCAGAGAACCTCGCCAAGACATGGCCAGATCATTTCGACAAAGCTATACGACAGCTGAATGAACGCATCATTCCCGCATTCAAGTTCTCACCTAAAGAACTCATGCTAGGACTCGTCGTCAACACGAATCCCACCCCAGTCGCAGACGCATCCACGGAGTTAAGCACGACAGAGGTCGACGTTCATATGGCATACGTCGAACAACAACGCCTCGATGGCGCAGACCATACTGCAGCACATACGGCACAGCGCAAAGCAGCATTCGACCGCAAAGTCCTTCAATCGCACGCAGGTGAAGTAATATTTGAAACTGAACAATTAGTACAAGTCTACGCTAACGCTCTAGAATTCACCATGGCATCAACGCGCAAGCTTCAACCACGTTGGTCAGCCCCACGACGTGTCGTCGCAAGAGTCGGCAACTCTTATACACTGGCAACCCTGGAAGGGTTCCCACTCAACGGCTTGTTCAATGCACGACGACTACGAAGATTCATACCACGCAACGGCACAACGTTGGCAGCGTTGCAAGATGCAATAGGCGAGTCAGATATGAGTGATGAAGAAGAACCCATAGCAGAGGGACAAGAGTTGGATCTACAGGCAGAGACCGCAGAGGGATTTGATGATGAAGAATAGCATATCACGCGCCCCCGGAGGGTCGCAAAGTCCGGGGGGGGGTATATGGAGCGGAGCGACCCAGCGGGGTTCGGACGGATCGGTTTGGGCAAGAGCAGGGGCTGGAGGAGTAGGGTGTCAGGAGTGTCAGGAGTCCAGCAGGGTTCGGGGTCACGATAGTAGATACACGCATGTACAGCATACAGGACGATCATCATCATCGTTGTCCAGCATCCTCCTCGTTCGCTCCTGAACATCGTGCTGACCAGTCCACAGTATGCTTTTCCACAAGTGATTTCCATCTATTCATGGTGGTCAACGAAACTGAACGCGCAAGGATAAAAACACAGGGATAAACAGTGGACGACCGAATCCGACAATGTGATCAAACTTTCCAACGTCACTCGCCGATATATCAGACAGACGGTCTGCATTCTGGTCCCAACCAAGATGCGTATAAGGCGGAAATAAAAGGTGGCCGCCTACTGCTATTTGCATAGAATTATCTGCAAGCTTGTGTGAAGATTGTAAACGGATGACGAAGAACGGGTGCTTACGGATCACCTGAGGAGCTGGAAGATCTACCACATGTGGAGTCGTGGATGCAAATACGACCCAGATTGATCTGTCTGTATCCTTGGAGTAGCAGTTGATCGCCCTCCCAAGAATGTGTGATGGACGAAAACCCTTGCTACTCATTTTGCTCAAAGAGTGGGCCTCGTCGAATGAAATCACGAGTTTTGGGTAATCGCTGGGATCCTCGTCCGTCTCAGTAAACATGCCCGACATAGCTGTCAACATCTTTTCATAAGCTTCCTTGACAAACGATTCCCAATTAAATTTCGGCGCTGGGACGTCATCTGCATGGCGTGAGCTGAGGTGGCCGTTGTGTGCAAAATGCAGCTTTTACTTTTGGTTTTCAGAGGCTCGACTTTTTGATTTGATATCTTGCGTTTTTTGGATGTCTGCTCCGCATCGGCGTACTTTTCGGAGTTTATCTGTTTGATCTTGTCAGGGGTCTGTTGCAAAGTTTTTGGTCCATCAGATCTGTTGAGCGATCATGATTTTCCCTGCTCACCTGCGCATATATAGATTGAACTTGGTGAAAGAACTTGGTACGAACTTCCGAGCCCATGTCGCACATGTCATCATTCCACGATGTGATTCCACTACTAGAGCGCAGCAAAAGTTCCTGCCGGAGCGCCTGGAATATGGCTGCAAAGAGTACGCAACAACGAGCGGCATATTCGGCTTCCGAGCAGTTCATGTCTTCTGTCAATATACGCGCAGGTACCGCGTCTCGTTTCGGGAAGCCGGCATCGCTTCGTTCACGAATGTTCATGTACAGTACAAGAACGCCCTTGTTCCGGAGCTAATTCAATACCGTTAGCCACCTGATGCGAGCATGTGGCTCTTTATAAGCCTCACCTCGGTCAATACTCTCGATTTCCCTGTGCCAGAACTTTGGACGATCGAACAGAACTTGGCATAGTAAAGGCTCTGGATGCCACGTCCCTTGTACTTGATGTTGTTTTCTTTCAGGTACTCGTAAAAACCGTCCACCGCCTTCCCGACGTAAGGTCTGGAGAATGAATCATAATCTGACATGGCACCTAGCGTGTCGAGGTATTGAAATGATTGATTCTGAAGCAATCGATGAAAGCAGCCACTGCCTTTATAATATGAATGAAAGGGGGTCGATTGCAGTGCCAAGCCTGAGCGGAGTACATGCGCGAGTCAGAGTGGAACATCAAAGGGGCTCGAGTGGAGCGCGCACATGGACTCGACGCGAATTGGTTCCGCCGCGGGATCAAACGCCTGGTCCTTAGATATGGTAGATATGGTAGATGTTTCCTCACCATGTGAATCATCTTTGACTCGTCTGCGTGCTCGATCTGAACCAGTTGCGCGTAACGCTCGAGGCAAATGCTGACCAGCTTCGTCTCCGCGATTCAACCACCTGCTCCGTAGCGCGGAAAAAGAGACAAAAAAGCTAAATCTGACACGGCAGTGCGCTTCTTTGCGCACGTCACGATAGATCTATAACTCATGCGGTCAGTCTTCCGCCGACTAAGGCCTGCAAAACGGAGAAGCTGTTCAGAAATATCTGGGCACACGAAGTGATGCGAATGGATGCACGGCGTACGATTAAATTGTATACAAATATATGCGATGACGTGGGCTCAGTCCGCGTTATCTACTCCCCAACGAGTCTCCCTCCTCTTCCAACTGTATGGTCAGCTCTTCAAGCCCAGAGATTCTGCTCCGTAAAAGTTCATGTACGCGTTTGCGCACGCCATCAGTGTTAGGATGTTTGTGTGATGAAAGCGCGAGCTGGATGTGAATCGAGCCAATGACGTTTGCTGAGTCTTTGGGCCAAAACTGGGGGGATGAGTAAGAGGCAACACCATCCACGAAGGCAAGCTATAATGGGAAGCGGGTGACTCAGAGTCATTAGAGATTAGGAGGAAGATGTAATACCTCAGAGAGTGCTTGTTGGACTTCTTTCTCGCGGGTCCCCATATCAAGGCTCAGAACTCTACCTGTGTCAATTACCAACGGTATAACACTTGCAGCGATCATGATCGCAATGAACAACGACGCTATGGGATCGAATATCGTCCATCCATAAAACTGGATGAGGAGGGTCGAGATAATGACTCCGACAGAACCGAGCGTGTCCTGGGAACATCCATTAATACTGACGCAAAAGTGCGCGACAAATGCTCACCGCCATAACGTGCAAGAAAACGCCACGCATATTGTCACTGTGTCCTTCGTGATGGTGCACGTGTTCGTGTTCGTGATCATGGCCATGATCATGGTCGTGTGAGCTGTGTTCCGAAGACTCCATCCCATGGTGGTAGTGGTGATGATGGTCGTGCTTCAGAGTGCTAGGGTAGCTGGGTGAGAGCGGCGAGTCTACGCCACTGGGGGAAGATAGGGGAAATGGAATGGCAGATGCGACTTGAGCACCATCAGTGGGTATATGGAGGGAAGGACCTCGAGAGTGAGGCTTGCGGCCACGTATTGAAGGACCCTCTTGATCTACAGGCAAAGGGGAAGGGGGAGGATGGGTATGTGCATGATCAGAGTGTGAATGCGAGTCTAAATGAGAATGGGAGTCATGATCCGAGCAAGAGGATGAGTGATTTGAAGAATGCAGATGTGAGGAGTGCTTGTGTGCATGCGAGTCTTCATGGGATAGCGAGGACTGCAGAGGTTCACTGGGCTTGGACGGCGCATGGTCATGCGAATGGGCACCGACCGGGTGACTGTCATGTTCGTGGACATGGTCACCATGAGCATGCGAGTGATCGTGGTGAGAATGCCCATTATGTGAATGATGCTGGTGATCATGTCCATGATTATGTGAATGACCCTGTGGCCTTGAAGTTAGAATGAGACAAGCCAAGTGGGGGTATATTAACGAACATGATGGTGATGGCCGCCCATAGCATACATGCCAAACAAGTTGACACCTAGTCCGAGGGAGCTGATTAGCAGCAGCTGGTTCGTCGTCATTTCCGGAGGGTCCAATCTACAGAGCGTTAACGTTAACATGATTATCATCCGCGACCAACCAGAAACGTACATTCGTTGTATAGCTTCAAAGACGATGAAAACAGATATTAAGATGAGGAATATTCCATTGGCAAATCCTGACAAAGTTTCGATTCGGCCGTATCTGTAGAGGAATGAATCACTGCATGCGTCAGTTTGATACAAAATATACACTTACCCGTACGTGAATCGTTCATCTGGAGGCCATTTGGCCATGATCGAAGCGAGTAAGCCGACGCCAATGGCCAAGCAATCAAATGCCATATGGATAGCTTTCAAGGGAGTCGTCAGCACGCAGAGACTCTCTCGTCGTTCAACTCACCATCAGAGATCAGACCCAAGCTGTTTGTCCAGACACCGTATAACATCTGGACTAGCATGAAGGCTAGATTCAACATAAGAAAATAAAATATCTTCCTTGACTCGGGGTCCGAAAGTATCGAGTTCAGATAGAACCTCATAACTTTCGGTACTGGAGTACGCGATGGACCCGAAAGTGTAGGATCATTGTCTGGACGTATTGCTAGATGATAACAGGTGAGAACCGGCAACCACAAGCATGCGGAATGAATGCTGACAATAATAGAGCATCACCCCCAGCAGTAAATCGATCCAATGGGGGCGCTGAGAAAAACCAAGGAAACCCATGGCAGTCGCAACAATGAAGGCGAACGGGTAGGAGACCAAGAACATTTGAGATGTCTGGTTGACGTTGAATTGCATGCCAATTGTGTCCGGAGTCAAAAATATCATCGTATATGCCAGAATTGGAAGGACTGCCAAGGAGGTTAGAGGAACAATAGGTGTTGGCGGAAGGTCAAGCTGAAAAGGTAGAGTGAGATCATAACAGAACACCTGGATGAGAAGTACATACGAGGGCTTGTCTGAAGGCGTAAAGCGGGAGTCCAACAACCGCTGCACCGAGTGTACTGACAGCCGTTGTCAAAGTGGGGTTCACAGTCGGAGCTAAGACACCACGAAGATGTTCAAGAGCATAAGTAGATATGCCATGCATAACCAAGGCTCCATAACCAGGGGCAATGATGGAGACGCTGCGTCTCGACAAAATCGCGTCCGAGGCAAATGAGAGTAGAAATGACGAGAAAGTCAGGATGGGCTTCCACATCTGAGAGGCCTTATGAATAGAACGTTTCAACTGTGTGGAGCAGACTGACCGAAGCGGGGGCTATGAAGGAGTCCACCCACATTGCGGAGAAATGACTGAATAACATTACCCTACATACGGATGAGTCCATGTAATCCTGGGATTCATTGTTAAGAAACAACATACCTTGGAGAGGGAAGACGGTACAATGCTGTAAATAGGGCCGCTTGCTGCACGAAGAGCAGCAATGACGACACACCAATTGCTGTCCACTGAACGTGATCAAGGGGTCAGGACATAAAGCGCTGGAGTAAATAACACGTACCTCTATATTGCCATTCCTCATCAGCTTCCCCGTAAAAGCTTCCCATATCATCATACCCAAACCACCACAAGCCAACACCCTCATAAGCACCCAGAACACTCCCACATCATATGAGAGAAGTAATTCTTTTGCTGCATAGAGCGCTAGCACGAATATGACATTAGAGGGTAATACGATTGGTATGAGTCTGTTACTGATTCTAGAATAGGTTTCAGGAGTGAGATATTGATACACATACTAGCTAACCAACCAACTTACGATCCAGTCAGCACTTTGGCTGGTTTCAAGCTGATTTTACGGCGCGTTCGGGCATCTGGGGGAGACATCCGAGGACCTGCGTAAAAGAGCGTGAATATTCTAATGTCGAAACCGCGCGTTCAAATAGGTTGCAATTGCCAGTTAGTTATTCTTACAAGTGCAATAGCCTAGTCTGCCTTTCCCACGACCTTCCTTAGTTTGCTCATGTTTGGTCTCCCATGCCATATCTCAAGAATTTTGTCTTGCTTTTCACTCAAGTTCAACGTTGATCACGGTGAGTCCAGGTTCAAAAGCTACATTTCTTTTGGATGAGCCTTTTAGATGACGAGTCTGAATCTGCTGGCGTGCGGTTTCCTCACGACAGCACCCATGACGAGTCTTTCAAATTTTACCATTCATGCATATCTGAAAATTTTCATTTTTTCGTCGAGTTCCTTCGCATAGATTGTACTGACGAGAACCTACCACAGATTGCATTATCACAATGCCCTCTGCTGTTGAGGATGATTGGTCTGATTCCGATGATGAGACCGGTTCGGAAGTTGAGACGGCGGTTTTGCTAGGCATTCCCGATGGTGTAGTGGAGACAGAGACTGATATCAAAGATGCTGCGGTTTCTCGCATTGGCGGGCTTCCTGTACGAGCATGTCTCTTCGATCGTGTACGATCAACTTGTCAATGCAGTTTACTTGATTTTTTTCAAGGCAATGCTGCCTTCGAGAGAACCACCGTTCTCTTCCTCTCAATGCAAGATCTGCTCGTACCCCATGGAATTACTTGTACAAGTCTGGTGCCCAGTCGAGGACAGCCCTATGGATAGAGCATTGTACATCTGGGGATGTTCCCGGAGTGCATGTCAACGGAAAGATGGGAGGTAGGTCTGTACTGCTCCGTGAAGAAATAGGCTGTCATTCTCAGCGAATCCTGAAATAGCGTTCGTGCTTGGCGTGCTCTGAGATACAACGTAGAGTATGCATCAAAGCTTGCAAAAAAATTGGCGAAGAGACAAGCGCAACAGAAGGCTTCTTCACCTGTGAAGACTGCACCTACAACTAATCCGTTTTCAGTTGAGTCAAACTCGTGATGTGTATATAGTCACTTATGCGATTGTCAGATGCAGGCGGGATTTACTCCTGGTCCTTTTGGATTGGGTGATCAGGTGTTCGGACAGCCAGCTCCCACAGTCGCTGCCGCGATTGAAGACGAGCAAGAGGACACAAGTGACACGGAAAGTTCCACGTCCGAATCTTCTGAACATTCATTGATTACTGCGATGGCATCCACAACGGTTGATGATTCACCTTGGCGAGCTGCTCCATCATTTCCTCCTTTGTACCTCTCAACGACATCTGAATATTTGCCTCCTCCACCCAAGACTAAAATCCCTCAGAGTGCCCGCATAGAAGATCCTGCAGATGATGATTCTAAAGGCGGAAAGGACGTGAGCTGGGCGTTCGAACCATATGAGAACTCCTTGGAGGTGGATGGTGTATTTGATCGGTTCACGAAGCGGGTGGGCCATACGGGAGAGCAATGTCTCAGGTCAGCTCAAATTCAATCTCTTGATACAATCAACTAATGTTTTGAATGTAGATATGAACTGAAAGGGATCCCTCTGCCTTTTTCTTCGGATAAAGTATTCGACAGATTATTCCCTGTCCCTGCTCAGGACCCTCTCCCGGTGACAAAGGCCGCTTTCAAGGTCGTCCCTGCCGTTAGACGGTCTTACAGTACCGCTTCAATTCCTCCGTGTCCGGCATGCAAGGAAGCACGCGTCTTCGAATGTCAACTTATGCCCAACCTGATCAACGTCCTCAAGGTCTCGATCAAAGATGAGAAGTTGACAGATGAACAAAGGATGAAGGCGGTGCAGGAAGTCTTGCAGAAAAAAGCAGCATCTGGTATGGAATGGGGTACTTGCATGATATTTTCGTGTTCAAAGGACTGTTGCGTTGATGATGAGAGGGAGTGTTGGAGAGAAGAGTTTGTTCTGGTTCAGTGGGATGATTGAAGTTGTTGTGTAAGATTACCTTAGATTTGATCCTGCTTGTCGGGTCGTTGAGAACCATAATTGAATCTGTGATGGGAATAACGTTATTTGTTTTCTTGTTCGTTGGTTTCATATTGCTCTTATATGGACCCTATCGTTGTTCATTCGCCAGTAGCAGCACGTCCCCGGACGCAGAGATTAGCTTCATCTCACTCTTCGCTTTCAGACTTTTCTTGCCTACTGTCCCTCACAATTCACTTTGACGCCCTCTAGCGATGCCGCAGACGCTCACTCTGCCTCCCCCCGTTATCTTCGAGTCTGACGATGTATCTGAATCTGGCTCAGTCTTAACCAGCCAACGATTTCCCCACACCCGTGCCCAACTATTAGTTATAATTCGTCAGCAGAAGGGCGCTGCAGACGGCTTCGATGGTGATGGAGACGTAGATGAATCAATCCGCATCAGCACCTCTTTTGTGACGAAAGTAGCAGGCTTTCTTGCTAATGAGCAAGAAGATGAACTTAAAGAATCATTGAAGACTACTTGTGGGGTAGAAGACGACATGGTTAGCTCGCGAGATGCCTGTTCTAGCCCCCTTTTGCTGATCTTCTGTCTTCTAGCTTGAACAACATGTCTTAGATTTGATGCATAGACACCACGACGACGTAGCAGGCGTTCCTTTCCTTTTCTTGACTCCAACGCGACGACCATCTCGACCCTCTTCTCGCGCTTCCACCCACTCTGCTGCTCGGTTCATTCCAAACAGGCCAGATACCCCCAGTTCAGTACCCAGTTCTCCTCTTGCTATCGGTTTTCGTAGGCCACATACACCTGCTGGTTCTCCTCTTGTCGCTGGAAACGCAACCTCATACATGACTGCACGTAGCGTTTCGCCCATGAACTCTCCAACACTGGCGCATGCTCAAGCGCAAGTTCATCCTCAATTCACTTCAAGCCTTCCATCATCACCAATAAGCTCTCCTCGACTTTTGAGCGCAAAAGCAACCGAATTCAAACCTATACCCCGGCCCCTATCTGCAGCTGCAGCTTCGTGCACCCCCGGAACCCTTTCTGGCTACAGAACCGAGACACCGTCTCCTGACTTGTGGTCCCATACCCAGCTCAGAGCAACTTCTAATCTCGCCATCGCTGCGCCGTTGGTGCCGGACAATTCTTTGCAGCCCCGGGCTGTAACTCCAAGCTCCCTCCGCTCGTCCCTTAGACCAGGAGAAGAAGACGAAGAAGACGACCCATTCGACCCCTTCGCGCCCAAGACAGCATCCAACTCCTTCCATCCAATTACGATCACTGACTTTGACCAGTGGATGGATAGTACCTCAATCTCACCCGATGATCCACTTGCACAAAGTTACTACCAGCAGGGCGATGACTATGACCCGCAGTTCGATGGGTCAGTCGACGACGTGGAGGGGACAGGGTACTTGACAGATGGGATGACACCCCTTGATGTGCTTAGCTCGGTGTTCGGATCCACCCTTGCGCCATCTGAGCTGGAAGATGCACTTTCTCAGAACGGTTATGATTTCGACCGTGCTATGGCATGGCTTATTGATCGCGCTCTACCTTCTCCACCTCAGCACAGCCAACCTCGTATGCAGTCCATGGGAGGACGAGTGACGTTAGTTGCTAGGGATGGTAGCGCCGGTGTGCATGGAGGACGCGGAGGCTTCCAGCCCGCCCGAGGTTCTACCAGAGGCAATGGACGGCCCGTCCCGGGAGGAAATAGGGTTTGCCGCTATTACCTTGCGGGTGAATGCTTGCGCGCCGATTGCCGCTTCAGGTTTGTTGGTCCATGCTATTTTGTATTACGTCCACCTCATCTTCATTTGCAGCCACGACCTAGAGAGAGCCCTCTGCCGATTCTGGTTGCGTGGGACCTGTGCCAAACAGGATCAATGTGAATTCTTGCATCACCTTCCTAAAGACGTTGATGTGGCTACTGTGACTGGCGCACTTTCACGGACCAGTATCAGCAGCTCTAGTACCCGCACTGCAAGCCCTCCACCTGATGAGTTCCCAGCTCTCGGATTCGATGCGTCTCGTAATCGGAGAGGTTACGGCGGCGCCCGTGATGGCCATTGGCAACACGATCCTGGTCGCACGAGATTTTCAGCGGCCGTAAAGAGACCAGCTCCTGCTCAAGTGCCAGTGGACCGCACAACGGCCACTCGTCAGCCAATCTCATCCAATGCATCTGTGGATAACCTGCACATTCGCACCTCGATCGTGGCTCCCAAGCCATCGCCTCGCATCAAGTTACGTTCCCCGGCACTATTGCCCACGCTACCTACCGGGGAATCGATCAATGCTTTATATATGTCATATCGATCTCGAGCACTGCAACTGGGTGCCGCTCGGAATGCGTGCTTATCCCGGGCCGCCGATGCATGGAGGCGTGGTGATGGTGCCGCAGCCAAACGATTTAGCAGGGAGGGTCACGATCTCAATGCTAAAATGGGCAATGAGATGACGACAGCCGCTAGTAAACTTGTCAGAGAACGTGCAAAAGTTGCTGAACAAGCTGTGAAGAGCCGAGATCTTGGCTGGTCTGATGATGCCGGAGACCGAACTGCCCGTGGCCGAACCTGCGGAGGAGGTTTGGGAGTATGTTTAGGCATAGCCGCCACCACCGTAGGCGGTGATTCGAAATTGACGTCTGAAGAGAGGACTGAATCTATGCTCGACCTCCACGGTTTACATTCGAATGAGGCAACGGATGTTCTCGAGGAATTCTTGCTTGCTGTGAGTACTCTGTGCAACAGTCGGGTGCCTTTACTTAATCTCAATCTCAGCTCGAGCGGGAACATTTCCTTGGTCTTGGTATGCATTCTCTTGTGGAGCTAGCAACTGTACTCATTTCTATGTTTCAGCTTTCCTTATTGTCGGAGAAGAAAAACACACTGGAACACAGGACGCAGCGCGTGGTGCCTCGCGGGCCCGCCTCGCTGCAGGTGTGCGAGAATGGCTCCATCGGTGGGGTTATCCTTGGAGCGAGCGCGACGGCATCATCTGTGTAGATTCTCTTACTCACGGATGAGGACGCCGTTGGTGCAATCTCCGTACCACCGGAGCTGATAGAATGACCCTTTTGCTAAGACTGGTATTTGCTTTGAAATGGAACGCTGTGAAGGATAATGTGTTATTAGGCAGATCTATTGAAGGGTGTATGATTGTACAAACTAGGGCAGAAAATGTGATTTCCTTTTCTTTCGTCTTATGTCGTGTTATAGCGTTCCTTCGGACACTCGAGAACTTGGCTGAACTGATGCTACTGATGAGCGCTTACAGTATCTGTGTAGGTTAAACTTATCCCTCGTCGCGTTCTGATTGATGTGGTCCAGGTTACCACGGGCGCCGAAGCCGAGAGCCTTTTTATATTGACGGGCGAGTTTTTTCCACCGTTAACCAGACGATAAGAAGCGCTAAGCTTGATGACGGTTACCAAGATGATGGCGATGTGCAGTGAGTGATGTATGTACGAATCACTTGGGCTGCTGGGAGTCACCACCTCATACCGGAATTCAGCAACCTGTGGGCAAGTTGCGTATCAGTTTGTTTGTCACACAAACGGAGCTTATAGGTACACATGCATCAGAAAAACTTATGTGCTATGCAGAGCCCCAATATTTTTGGGATCCACTGGCCTGACGGCACGAGCGATCTTTGCTGAGCCCACTCGGGGCCCTACTGTGACATATGGGTGAGAGTATTTTCTCCTGGTATACACACTCACCCTGCATAGCTCCGTCTAGCAGGAACGAGGTCTAATGCAAGTTCTCTTATGCAGGAAATGAACTATCTTTGCTTATGGCGTATCATATGGATGCTCACCAAGCTCGAATACTTTGATTCTATTAAGTGGATTCATGAGGCAACCTAGATTTTCTAGTGGAGCCTGTTGGAGCTTCACATGGTACCCTTACATCACAATCAGTTCCATCCACATGTCTCTAATCAATTACGCTCACTTCTGACTTTTTAGAACGTACAGTCAGAACACCCCGGATCATCCCCGCGTCGAATTTGAATAACATTGTGGCCATGCGCATACTTATCCATGACACCCCCCCTCCTCCCCCGGCGCAGTACCAACTTGGTGAGCGAGCCTCTTTGAAATGTTTCTATATTCATTATGCATACGCCCAAGCAATCTCCGCAGTGACACCTTGTACCAGATGCCAAGCTACTGGTGTTCGAGAGAATATTCGATTCGGTTCGACTGGGATACTACATACTCTGTCAAAGATCGGCCAGAGCAAGGCCAGGCGATAGGGGTGCTCATGCACCCACTCCCTTCTGATTTTCGAACAGAGATCCGCACACAAGAATAGTATTAGAGACTCTGTTTTCACGGACTTGTCTGGCAAGGATCATGGTCATTAAAAATGATGCAGTTCGGATCAACATCCCATCATCACAGCCTCCGCCAGGTACCTCCTTGACCGCAACAAAGACCCTTAAAGGCCTCGTCCTCGCCAGTCTCATCGTCATCAAGCTTTCTGTGCTTATCAGAATAAACAATCCCGAGCTGATCTAGCCCCTTTCGATCCTAAGCGATATTGCCTTTGCGTTTAATCTATTTCTATATGCTTGATTATGAGAATGTTCACAAACCCACTGCATTCAACTCGCTGGCTAGGACTAATTAAGTGCTTAGCGTGAAACTTAGAAGCGACCTCGCGAATGATTATTGTTGCGGGCGCAACAAATTCATTTGTTGGTTTCCTGCTCGGGCATGGAACCGTTGATCGGAGGATATTCATACGTTAGGAGTCGAAGCAGTGCGGGGATACGCCGGGAAAGGCTATGGTCAACGGATGATAAATTTCACTTGAATGGCTGTACACTCAAGACTGTCCAAGACAACCGCGCCCAAGGCTCGCAGACTGACAACAAGCTATACTGCAATGGCTGTGATTTCTTCACCGTTCGTGAGTCGAACGACTTGAATGCACGGTCGTTTTCACAGCCACTCGCCATAAAAGGCAGGCGTAGTAGAAAGAGTTCATCCCTGACAGTACGCGACGTGGCTGCCACCATTCCAAGCCTAACTTGCTACTGGTCCACATGCCAACACAAGCCCTAGCTCACTCTTTTTGAGATTGACCACGACCACAATTTACAAGTCATGAATACTCACGAACGCGAACAAGACGAGCCACCTCGCCCTTTTTCCATTGATCTTACCTTGGAACTTGAGCGCCAGCTTGACAATGAATCAAACCCGAACTCGCCAGTGGATGCCACAGAACGTCCTCATTCCCTAGATTCTCATGTTCTTGCTTCAATTGTCACTCAGTTGAGACTATCACTCGCAGATGTCACAAAAGAACGAGATGAACTCTCACAGACAGTCGTTGAAGTGCGGGCCCGCGAGGCAGGAACTGCAGACACACTTGGGCATATGACGGAAAAATGCTCAAAGATGCAGGAGGAACTGGATAATGCTCGTACAAAGATTAAGGATGACGAAGATACGATATCAATACTCAGGACGAAAGTCGAGGAAAGCAGGTATGTTTCACATTCATACATCTGCACAACGTGCCACTCACAGTGCTTCTCAGGCGTGGCCTCATGCGTCTACAGTCTGAAAACCGACGGGCGAGTCAAGTGCCTTCAGCTCTTGACTTGTCTAGAGCGGGCATCCCTTCCTTTAATGGTCCGCCATCCTCTAAGCGCGCATCATTGATAGGATCAACGACTGGGCGTAACAATGCCCACAAGCGAATATCCTCGGTCTCCGACAATAACTTCTCGCTCGACAGCTCTCATTTGACATCCCCTGTTGGCACTCCAACTCCCGCGACTTTCACCCTTCCCGATGTGCAGAAAAGCAGGACCCAACAGCCTGCCCACACCAGGAGGATGTCTGGCATGTTCGGTCGTGGCTCGCCACCGCAGTCTCTTTTCCCCTCGGAAGAGTTTGCTGAGTTGGAAATGCTACGCCGGGAGCTCAACTCTGTGAAGGCCGAACTGGATGATGTGAAGCATGAGCTGAGTGAAACAAACGAGGCTCGCGAAGCTTCAGACACTTGTGTCAAAGCTCTACGGGAATTCATTGAAGAGAACCAAGTTGGTGCTGTGCCGAAGAGCCTTCCCCCTTCAGCTGCAGAGGTCAAGAAAGCACCACCACCACCAGCTGCCGCTGGGTGGGGATTCAAGCTCTGGCGAGCAGATTCCTTGACGCAGAATCCTGCGCTGGCCTCTTCATCCCCCGTCGCACCCGTTACCCACGCTGCCTCCCCATCACTATCATCGTTGACACCCCCCGTTCCCCTCTCCAAGAAATTGGGCGACTTCTTTGGTGCTCGCGCCATGACAGCTGCTGCTTCGCAAACGCCGCCACGTGTTGAACAAGAGACAATGTACAATGGCATGTCGGATACATCATCCATCGAGGATTCTGTAGTCGAGCCCATCAGCCCCGCTAGCGAGCGTCCCCGACCAGTTGTATACGTACGAGATACCACTAGCGTGACATCAGAGTCATCGCGGGATCTTGGCGTCACTCTCGAGGGAAAGATTCCCCCCTGTGCCGACGGAACCCTGTCCCCTGCTGTCATTTGATTTGACGGGGACATTTTCTGATTGGGCTCATCAATGACAATATTAGACATTCGATTTCGTTTTTCTGGCCTAGGCTTGGGCAGGAATTTCTCATGACAGATACACTTTTTTCTCGCAGATATAGCATATACCTCTGTAATGTACATAAGCACGAGAGCGGGACGGGATTATATGGAGAACAAAGACTATCGCTCAAATCGGTCAGATTATTGTCCTACTTTGATAAATGACTTCCAAGTCGTTCGATGTCAGGTTCAGCCTGGGACAACGCAGAATGGCGTCCCATCGGAATAGAAGATGTAAAAATAGGATAAATTTGAAACCGACAATCAATGACTTTCGAGTTCTCCTCCGCACCCAATCGCGAAGCAGATTGAGCGCATTGGCTCATGAGTAACTTGGGGCGTTGCCGAGAAACCACCCCTCAGCAGCGAACATAACGTTCCACTGTCAAACACAAGGTTTGAAGCTTTCCCAAAGCAAATGCGCTCCAAACATGCAAGGTGCATACGCAGCCTTCGGGATTATGTTGAGTCCGAGGATCGTATCGAGGATCGTAGATGTTGCGAGTGGGTGTTGATTTTTCTTACGCAATGTCGTGGAAATTTTCGCGGCGGAGGTTGCACATTTTAGCATGAAGTGGCGAGTGATAAAGTTGGCGAAACGTTGGCGGCGTGCAAGAATAATGAAGGAACGTGTGTTCTCACCATTAATATTGGCAACGGAGGAGAAGAGAGGGAAAGACCTCACGAGGATGTCAACGTTTCGACGTCAATACCGCCGTACCGGTGACTATTTGCGGAGCGGGCACAGTGCACGTGATGTAAAACAAAGCTTCGCTTTGCCAGGCTTTGCCCCGCATCGATAAAATTCAGAATTTCTGGAAAGAACTGGGAACAGTCAAAAAAAGGATAATGAGTACAGACGTACTCGATACAAGTCGGGTAAGGACAAACTATTTGAAACATCCACGAAACTGCAGTTAACCGAAGGCAGCTCCTAGGCGCCATCATGACTAGTCCACACTCGGATGAGTACTTATCGATGCATCGCAGAGTTTCAGAGACTGATGGTCCGCAAATCGCAAATAGTGCCGATCTAAAGGCATGATCGCGAAAGCGATCAGCCGACCGTGGCGCGGCATACCAGCACAATTTAGCACAATTAACAAGTGTGCCTGCTCTCGGTAGGGTGTAGCTTTCCATGATTGCCCGTCAGGCTGAACAAGCTCAGGCTCCTGAGCACCGGAGGGCGGAGGTCGACTTTCAGAAATGAATAGCCAGTTTTCCCGTAGTTTTCGTGTGCAGATGTGCCGTAATCCATAGAATCCGGAGGCATCTGTTGAATCCGATGATGTCTTTGAGAAGCCGTGGTCACAATTTGCGATGATTGGCGTGCTCGGTCCTTTCGAGATACAAGACAAAGGGTATTGGTTTCCCGTGACGCGAAGACCGAGATATCTGCAGTTGGAGATTCAAAAGCGGTGAAAATTCAAGTGGAGCCGTACTTCCCATGGATAGGTTCTGCCAGTAGGTGCGGATCTACCGTTATCTTTTCATCACACCCTGGCATGAGTATTAGAAAACACCGGCTGTTGTAGAAGGGCATGGATGCATACTCACCAGGTACATTCGGTTCGACTATCGCGGATGAATGATGGACTTGCCAGTGGAAGTGTAATACATATTCCATCCGCTCATAACGCATGCAGGTTCCCATGCACATTCGATTATCACGGACTGCTAGGAAGTCGTCCTGGAATTATCACAATCTCACATCGATAGGACCACGCGTCGATATCCCACTATAGGCCGCTACTAATTTGTGCCGGGGTAGGTCTTGTCATGAGAATTTGCCTCAAGGCACAGGGCATAGCCTGTTGGACAAAAAACATGAGCGATTGTATTCCGAAGTGGTGGGAGCTCAATGATAGAGCTAACGTAGAGAGTGATTGGCAGGTATTTGTTGGCGCTTTTTTTTGATTGCCTCACTGGCTCCCGAGAACGCATCCTGTGAGCTGGAAAAAGATTCATTTGATCTCTGTTCCGATTAGATTGTGTCGATCGTCTTCCTGGGTTTAAGATTGCTCTGGATACGTTGCTGCCGGGTTAAATGATAGATAGCCAATGTCATGGGCCTGAAAAGTGTCCTGTAAGCTCGCTCTTAGAATTTGTGGATATTTTTATTTAGTCCAGAGCTCGCTTCTGTGGGGAGATTCATCTCATACCCCGTACATATAGATCTATTGATAGTAATCAGTGCGAGGAGCATGACGTTTCCCCCCCTTTGTGTGCAAGAGGGTTGGTGTTGTTTACCGGTGCCGTTGGAAGGGGATGTCCTTCTCATCTCGTCATCGCTTGTCATTGGTCTCTGGCATGTTCCGTGCTTCTTTTCGGGTGCTATGAGCGGTATTCACCGTCCATGAGGACCCATCTACTCCATCGACAGATTTTTGAGGAGCAATACTCGTTGCTTGCGAAAGGCCCACTAGGATGATGACACGTGATGAGTCAGTATTGGAATTGAAGATGGGGGTAGTACATATTAGTACAATCATGTTACACGGCGCGTACCTGGGATCAGTGGGGGAGAATGCTGTCCATCATGGGTCCAGACTGATTCGTGTGTGACCGTCATGGATACACTCCAGTCATGTTAATCTCGTGGACTCGACATACCTAGATCTGATTTTCCGATTCTGTTGCAGGGACTGGGGATGATTATGGAAGTAACGGAACGGCGGACTAAAAGGTTTATCCGCAATGAAAGTTTGTGAATGGCATAGAGCGTATGAAGGCCTCGTGTTTTTAGATCTTGATAGAAGACCGGTTTTTGGAAGTCTTATTACTTTCCGTGTCAAAGAGAGGGGTCGCACTTGCACTCCGCGTGCAGGTCAGCGATATTCGAAATACATCCGTGCCGAGTGCCGAGGGGGGGTTATACTTCCGTTTAATCCACATTAGGAATTCAAGTAACATTATTATCATATGGCGGAATTTAGTTGGACATAGTCAATTGAAAACCATCACCAGTGTGATAATTATGGTCATCTATCTTCTTCTCTCCCTGCCATCAGTCCTCGCTGCCCTTAGGGCCTCCCCATGTTATCATCCCCAGTCTCTCCGAATCGTATGGAGCAGAACCTCTTCGCTGATGCAGCAAAGAAACGTAGAAAGGGTGCTACCCGTCTTTCGTGTGCAGAATGTAGACGGTAAGTCACAAGCACCCATTTATAATCATTACTCATTTTTATCATCCAACCTTTTAGTCTGAAGTTACGTTGTGACAGAGCGATTCCTTGTGGCTCATGCGTTAAACGTGGCTGTGGTGCCATCTGTCCAGATGGTACGGCTCCAGTTCAACTCAATCCAAGCCAACAGGCTGATCATCGATGTCATAGGTTCTTTGACAACAGGCCAGGGCAATAGGTAACGTGTGCCCTTAGTCCCATGTCCAGTATTGTCTGATCATGTCCTCCAATCAAGATTCGTGTTGGCATCAACTCAAGAGCTTCACGAAAAGATTTCAGAACTCTGTCAGCGTGTGCGAGATTTAGAAGATGCTCTTCGTCATTCCCACTCCCTAGTGTCCACAGACAGGCACTGTCTATTGACTGAGGATTTATTACAAATCAAGTCACCTTTGCAGCGCGAGCCCCCAAGCAATAGAAACCTCCCTCGATGTGAAGCCAAGGAAGAAGAGCAGAACGGCGAGGTCGTTGACGCTTTTGGCTCCTTATCGATCAGTGCTTCTGGAGGCGCAAAATACTTTGGTTCCATCGCCAACTCCTGGGTACGTGAATACTCGTTCCACGAGGTGTTGCTACCTCTCATTACGTGCATTCCAGTATTTCCTACAGGTCAGTCCAAGTGCTTGAATTTACCCCTATGCTATTCTAAATCAAGGCAGAATGAAGCAAGTGAAGATAACGAAACTGACAGTGATCGTCTTGCTGCACTTCAAACCGTCCTTCCAGCCGACATTCTAGCGCGAAGTGGGGCGTTCCCAATTTTGCCCTCATCACATTCATCCATTCATGTCGAGAACGTGCGACTTAGAACTCTCTTCTGGTACCTTCCCGAGCACGCCAAGGCTCAAGAAATATGTCAAACCTACTATCGCCTAGGTGCATGGATGTCCGTCCGATTTTTCCTATCGTGGTGAAAATTCTGATTTTCCCCCCGGAAGGTACAATCCCATAAGCCAGCAGTGCTTCTACGATGACATATATCCCCAATTTTACACTCCCAATGCCGGCCCGCCCTCCGACGACCCACTTCTCTCACACAAATTGTCTCTCCTCTATATGGTTCTCGCAATTGGCACGCTCATGGATGTACACCAACCAGCTTACAACGTTGAGGCCGAGAAATATCACCAATTAGCCCGAGCTTCCCTTTTCCAGAGTTCACTATTCGAAGATCCGACCATTAATGCTGTTCAAGCTCTTGTAAGCAACCATGACGAATTTTCTGCTCATATTATGCTTACAGATATGATTTCAGTTCCTCATGACTTTTTACCTTTTCATGTCGGACCGACATGGTTCCAATTCTGGAGCACGATGGGCTATTATGGGCATAGCTGTCAAAGTGGCGCAGAGTGTAAGTTTCACATCGCCTCGAGCCTTGATTTATTTGCTCACTCGGTCACTTGGCAGATTGGCTTGCGTACGTAACGTTATCGCGCCTTGGGATACTAACGCCTCATTCTCGTCCATTAGACCGAGATCCCAGTCGGTGGGGAGTGGATCAAAAGGAGACTCTGCGTCGCAGGGAGCTCTTCTGGGAACTTTACACATACGACTCATGGCAGGTAGGCCCCATTTGGCATTGTGGGTGCTGTTGATTACTTATGGGAGAACGGCGTTCGCAGTGTCTTACATTTGGTCGACCGGTGTCATTCTATACGGCCCATATGGATTGCAAATTGCCATACTCAAGTGATGCGCAAGAGGAAAACATTTGTAAGCTCTTACTCCACGGGGATATCTTATATTCAATGACCATTACATCACTATCCAGTCCATGCTTGGAAACACCGTTTCACTTCAGAGTGCATGAGTGTGGTTCACGATCAAGCATTTGGTGCCAAAACACCAACGTATGCCACTGTTCTTCAGCTTGACCGCAAACTTCGTGCCTTCCCTGTCCCCCCAGCGCTGCAAGTCGCCGGTTTTGGTGCCTCTACAGGGCCGGCCGATACACATTACTCAGAAAGTGTGATGCTCATGCTGCAGCGCCATATCGTATTGGCTATTCGGGAAATGAGTGAGTTAATTTTGAAACCTAACTTTGATGTTATCGTGTGACTTGCTTCTTGACGATATATCGAGGAAGGGTCTGCATCAGATGAACGCTGACAGTGCCTCCTACATCAGATCTCCTATACCTCCACCGAAGTTTCTTTGCACGTGCCGTAACTGACCACCCAAAAGACCCCTTGGGAAGTCCCTATGGCACCTCGGTCATTGCTGCTTATCGCAGTGCGGGCTCACTTGTTGCTCTGATGCGCAACCTTCATACTCAATTGAAGGAGCCAAGTGAGCGTATCTGGTTCCTTTGGGGTCACATGTTCTCGTGCGCTGTATGTATCCTGGACCCTCTTGGACCTGTGCAAATGGCATTAATACTCACATCGTGTTAATTATAGATCGTACTAGGGTCTGTGGTAACCAGATGTCCATCCATGAGTTTGGCCCCTTCGGCGTTGGTGCAATTGGATTCCGCTTGTGAATTATTTTCGAAAGCAGCTAGGGGTTTCCGTGCCCAGGCCGTCTTGGTCAGTCCTTTGCATTTATACCCATTATGGTCATATCGTCATTGAAGGCTCGGGTACGAGGTGAAGCACCCTTACTGATGCACTCAACAGGAGGTGATGCTCGGCTTGCGGGAGAAAGCGCATCTCAGCCTCACTGAGCACCGGAAGGGTCAAGTGTCACCGCTCTCGCGTCAACCATCTGAGCCATACTCGCCGTATGATGACGAAGATGAACTGGCTACGCTCGGAGGGAAGACGCGTTTAGTTGCGAAGAAGGATTCACTATCAGCCTCATCCTCGCCCGCGGCATCCTTTGATCGTTCTCCCACATCTATGAATCCTGTAGTTCCTCTCCCACTTATGTCAGGAAACCCTCATCAAGCGGTGCACCCGAACGTTCTGGCTTACCTACGGACTTTCCCGAACGCGGGTCAATCACATAACGCAGGGCCGACATACGCAGATCCATCTGCGTATAGCATGTCCCCTATCAGAGAAAATACGCCTCATTATTCGGAAACCTCGGGATACAACGACTCCCAGGCACCGATGCAGCCCATGGAACTCGTCGCAGGACAATTCCCCAGCTACTTCCCTGTGTATGATTATGGTCTTAGTAGCGAGGCCAATTACTCGCAAATGAACGGGCAGATATCATCTACAGGTGTACGCCGCGACTCCCCAGAAAACACAATGCACAACACTTGGCAAGAGTTTGTGGCACAAAGTGGACTGGGGATGGGGTCGTAGTATTCCTCATGGGCGCCAGGCGAAGGAGGAAATTTCTCGTCCTGCCTTTCGTGATGCTCGGGCGACTCCACGGGTTGAAGATACTGCCCGCTTCCTGCTTTATCTGATGGACTATTAAGGTGAGATGTACATATAACTAGGTATCTCCTCTCATATTGTCTTTGCTACGACGTAGTTTTTCTTGTCATGGTACCTGTTTTAGTTACTTCCACGACTTGTATGATACTTTATTATTTCTTGATATCTTCATATGATCTCCGAATCAGAGATTGCTTGGTAGTCATCGATCGCCTTGTATAGGTTTTGTCTGGCAAGACTCGATTGAACACAGCTACATCGATCCATTTGTCGTCTGAGGCTGTTTGAGGGGCTAGAGCTTTGTTTGATCTTGTTTGCTCTGACTCGGGACCTCCAGGTTATCACTTGCACACACTGCCACTGCAACTGGGGAAATAACTTCGTATTTTGATCTCTCACCTTCTGAGTCTCATGGTAATCTGTGGGTCTTCATCGAAAACAGGTTTTGGTCGCCGACCCGTGAGCCAGTTTTCACTACAGTTGGTTCCAACTAATATGGTTAGAAGATTCAAAGAAAGGTCGTGGTATGCGGGGATGGCGCTTGCGGTATGACCTTTCAGAATCTACTCTAATCATCAACACTAAGCGCTATAATTGTCCTTGCAGGAAAAACGTCATTATTGAATGTCTTCACGAGAGGTTTCTTCACCCAAGTCTAGTGAGCACCCCACCCTATGCTTTGCTTGACGACTGACTGACTGGCGTTGGTAGCGAGCCAACCGTCTTTGAGAACTACGTGCAAGAAATATATGTAGAGGACCAGTCACTGGAGCTCAGCTTATGGGATACCGCCGGTGAGCAAATGCAAAGATCGCGCTTCTATGTGGCCGCTGTGATATCTAACATTCGAAGGGCACTTTAGGACAGGAGGAGTTTGACCGGCTACGATCGTTAAGCTATGCGGAAACGCATGTTATCATGATTTGTTTCTCTGTCAGTTCCAAAAGCTCATGTCTCCTTGGGATATCGGGCTAATGCTGTTTTCACAGGTTGACAACCCGACATCACTGGAGAACGTCGAAACGAAGGTGCCTACACTTTTTGCTTTTCATAGTGCGTCTTACTGAATTTTCGAGGGCAGTGGATCGATGAAATAGTAGAATATTGTCCAGGCGTAAAGGTGTGTCAATGATTCTTTCTTTCTCTATCTGCATCCTATTTTAATTCTCGAATAGCTTGTCCTAGTTGGTCAGTCGTACCTTGACAACCGTACTCTTCAGCATGATCTGACATACGATAGCCCTTAAATGCGATCTTCGCGATGACCGAATTGTTCGTGATCGACTTGCTCGATATGGAGCCCATACAGTGCAGTATGAGGAGGGTCTTGCAGTCGCCCGTCGAATACGAGCATCGCGGTATCTTGGTGCCTATCATTTCCTTTTTACTTATTCGTTCACATTAGCTGACTCGATCGTCACAGAATGTAGTTCGAAGCATAACAGAGGTGTCTCCGAGGTCTTCTACGAAGCTGGACGCGTGTCCTTGAGCACGCGTGCAAAGGGGTCTGGGTCTGGGTGCGTGATAATGTGATTATTGATAAACAATATCACGTCGGATACATATGTTCATAGTTTTTGTTTCGGACTTGCTCAGGGCTGTGCTCGCATACTTGCTGTATTTTTACATTACTACTCTACTAATAACACGACACTTGAATGCATGGGATATACGAATCATGATCCGATATGTAGTGCAACGACATGGGCGATATAGATGATGCACGAGCGAAGGACAGTTACCCCAACAAATGACCTAATCATAACAAGGTGGTGGCACAAAGATTACAACAAAGAAACCGTGAGTCGGCGCTTGAAACACTGCGGGATAAGCAATTGACAATTTTGAAGCGAATGTTCATATATTGAGGGGTGGGACAGAAGAAGGGGAGCTAAAAAAGTTGGTGCGTTGCACGGACCCGGTGCTTCGCGACTTCATGTTAGGATGGTGGTTGTGATGATGATACTGATGGTGATAATGATGATGATGGACGGGCCCGTTAGTTTTGCGTTTCAACATCTTCATCTCGCGGCGAGACTCTTTGCGAGTTTTGTGAGGAGGCTGTTGATTATGGGAAGGTTGATCGTGGTTATGTGGCACGTGGGTAGGGGTGCGGTCACCGTCGCGGACGGGAAGAAGTACAGGAGATATGTCAACCGCACGGTTTTTGCCGGGAGTCGCTTTTGGGGGCGGTCCCTTGTCGTGCCAGAGCATGGTACTGAGAGGACTACTTTTCATGACATTACTGTACGACAGTACGTCAGATGTGGATGTCTTTGGAGTTTCGGATGCCCAGCCGGGGGACGAAGGGATGTCATTAGAGGATGCAGCCGACTCGCGAGTAAAACGAAAAGTGCCGACAGGAACTCGGTCCCAGCGACTGAGGCTCTGCAAATGACGGTGGAGTTCGCCTTCGCTCGCTGAACCGTTCCATAGTGACGTCTCCGGTTCAGAGTTGAGATAGGACGAGTCCAACACATCGTCGAGTTCAATAGGCTCCGTGAGTGAGGGCTCAGGGGTAGTTTGTGATGAGGGCTCGTCAGATGACGAGGGAGGGGGCAAGGCAGAAGTCGGGGTGAATATTGTGAGTCGGGATGGACGACCGCGGGCGTCCATCATCTGGAACGCCCAGTTAATAGGACAACAAATCATGTTATATGAGATACATACGCTACTGAAGCTCCCACCGCTGCTAGAATCAATGTGCCTGTGTCTATGTGCAAGGCGAGGGAAAGGGGACGGGACATCTTTGTTCGACCCAGTGAGAATGGCCGTCTTCTGTGTGACATCGCCGGCATGCTCGAAGTGTCCCATGATGGGAACACCGCCTCGAGACATTCTCCGAATGGGACTGGGCGCGCTTCCTTCGCCGCTGTCTGCCTGAGAGTGATCTGAGTCATCACAGAAGACCTTTCTGGCGAGAATGTCGGCGGGTCGAGGGGAATCACGGTGGTGCGACGTGGTCGATCGGCGATTGTGAGGTGCGGGTGAGACTGTAGGGCTGACGGTAAATGATGGATTGATGGAAGACACACTCGTGGGCCAGCGGAAGAGCCTCATGGCGCGCGACGTTGGCAAGCCGCTGGCGTCGACGAGCTCCTCTTCCGTGGTCTCACCGTCACTGGTACCAATTACAGAGTCAACTTCCTCATCGTCACCGCCGATTCCAACTTCTGACCCCATCTCCACATCGCTGTCCTGGCTAATGGATGCGGTGTCCGAAGCTAAGAGCTGCGCAGCGGTGGCCTCAAAGGCAAGATCCAAAACGCCTTGACCATCACCACAGCCATTCGTGAAGACAATCTGGCCATCCCATCCCTCCGTCATCTCAAGGTCCGTACTACGCTGCAGGCTGCTAATGCTACTTGCCATGACATCGGCCTGAGAGTCGACAGGTTCATCTTCTGACGAGCTGTCATCGGTGTTGGTGTCAGAAAGATTGTCAAAAAAGATGTCAGCGTCGAAGCTCGACTCCTCATCGTCCGACCAGCCAGTCGCAAGGCCTGTATAAATGACGCTAGGGGCCTGACCATCCGTCTCCTCATCTTCCTCCTCAACACACTTTTCTTCTTCTTCATCCTCGTCCTCATCCTCCGAAAGATCATCACTATCGCCATCCATGTCGACATCGCTGAGACCAACACTTTTTTTGCGCGGGCGAATGACCCAGTTATTATTATGTGCATCCTTGCGTCGATGAGACTCGTCGCCTAAAAGCTCGCGACGAACGCGTGCTTTGTCATGACGTTTCTGTTCCGCAAGAATATAATTCTCCTCCTCTGCCTCTAAAGAGGAATCAGAATCGAAACTTGATGACTCGCTGCCCGAGTCAGAGGAGTCTGATGCCGACGACGGCGATAAATCTGAAGCAGCAACAAAAGTTGGAAATTGTCCAGACTCTGTATCATTGTCGTCGTCTAGATCATCAGTACTATGATCGTCAAGATCAGAAGCGGCCCCGGCACTGAAAGGGGCCTGCTTCTTTCTTGAACCCGAGACCTTCTTTGGGATCGTGCCTTGGGCCTTGGTCTTTTGGGGAGGCCTCGAGGACTTGAAATTTGTCCTCGGCTGTTTATCACTCCTGATATTGGAGCGTGCGCCTTTTAATGCAGCTTGTTTGTGTGCACGAAGAGATTGCGATGGGAGATGTGATTGTGATTGTGGCAACGTGTTGGCCTCGTTGCCGCGAATTTGCCGGTCTGCTGCCGCAGTCCTGGACGGGTTTCGCGCATCTACGGTACCCATCGATGGACGTCCTTTGCGCTTGTGATTTGTTGAATCTTGGGACAAATAATGACCATGGCCAACGGTGCTTGACGAAGCGATATGTTGAGCCTGTCCAAGGGTAGACGCAGCTCCCGATCCAGTGATTGACGCGGTGGGTACTCCATCCACGCGAGATTTCTTGTTTTGCGATGTCAGTAAACGTGCTCTGTTCTGCATACTCGCAGGAACGGTGAATTTGATTTTTAGCGACGGCATTACGGGAACGTGAGCGGTGGAGGATGAAGCGACAACAGGACGCGCAAGTCCATTGCTTGCGATCGGCGCAGGCGGGGCGCGCGGTTTGTTGTCGCAGGTGCAATCTCCATCGCACACTGGACAGATGTCGCTGTCGTCCTCGTCGTCTGGAGAGATGGAATTTACGGCGGCGCCTGCGGAATGGATGAGGGAAGGAGGCATCGCTGGTGGTGATTGTTTTTGATAATCTGAGATGATACTGTGAGTAAATGTACGTATAAATGAGGGGAAAGGAGAGGACAATAGTAAGGAGATAAAATGATGATCCACTTGGACTGCCCTCGACATATTCACAGAAGCAATTCCATGCAAATACGGGATATCCCTGAGAAGACACGCGCATAAAGCAAGTAAACATGGGTCGGGCCATCGTATTACATGTAAAGAGATCAGTGCCAGTATCGAAAAGCGATAGCTTTGTCGCGTGACAGATCTTTGGCTCAAAACAAGAAGTCCGGATCCGAAATGAGAAGTACTCACTGGAGACACGATTTCTGTGCATCTTTTGACTGCAAATAACATGGATAAGATATATACTCCAGATTGGCTGTTCTCTGCAGCTTGTTAGTACTCAATGCTGGCAGCGGCGATGGGCCACTGTACGACTGTCGCTGGTGACGGTGGTGAAGAGAGAAGAAATGTTTCGCTCAATATAATTTTGTCCCATCAACTTCCCGCGTCCGTAACGATTACATAACAACAGTCATATTGAAAATGACAACCGTGCCGGGCCTTGTCCAGCTGATCATCTTCATTCATGCAGCGTGAGTTCATGGCTGTGGACTACATTGACGAGAAACTGAAAAATTTGTTCTAACAGGCATCTCTCTCGCGGAACAGATCGCTCAGCTTGAGGACGCTGCACCTGTAGGCAAGCGCTACACCACGGCCACTCATCATTCACTCTGACTTTGCCGTTTGTAGACTTTGACCCAGAAAACGAGGTCACAGCCCAGGATCAGGAAAATAATGATCTCGTAGATGACACCAGCGGTGCACGCGATCATTACATTGACGTCGGGTAGGTTCTGCCTTTATCTTTGCTCCGGTCCTATCTTCAAGTCCCCGTTAGACCCTCCGTGTTACGCAAACTGCAAGAGAGCATAGCTGACCCAAAATATGATGGCGTCAAGACATCTCGAAAGCAACTGATGGAATATGACGATAGTGATTATGGTAGTGAGGGGGACGACGATGAGCCCGGCAGCGAACTGGAGCCCGACGAAGATGAGGAACAATCAGACGGCGACGTCCCATTTTCTCAAAACGAATCGGAAAGCGAACCAGACGCTCCAACGCCGATTCCCGTGACAGTTGCAGCCAAAATTGCGACGTCGTCTGAGGATCCCAAGCATACCGAGAACCTTTCTTCGACATTGCGCAAAACGCGTGACGAGGACCGTAAAAAGGGGAAGGCCGTTTCGAAGCAAATTGTGCGCTTGAATTGTGCTTTTTACCTTGGTTTTACTAACTGCGCTTGAAGGCACTGTGGGACTCGTTACTTGACGCACGCATCCGCCTGCAGAGGGCCGTTTCTGCAGGAAATCGGCTTCCACCGGTAAACTTGCCGATTAATTTTTCAATACTTCCCCCTCACCTCCACGCAGCTTGCAGATTACGACGACGTCCAGTCATCATTAGTAAAGATGCTGGCAGAGGCACAGCTTCTGTCCCATGAATTGTTTCACCTGCAGGAGGTGTGTTTAATGAATCGCCACTGCCCTGCTCCCCCTTATCAACGTTATCCACTTTTCACAGGAATTACTATCTACCAATGAGGCGATCGCCCCTCCTCCTCGGAAACGGCGTAAAACTGGTGATGTGAGATCTGTACACGATTTTGCTTCAGAATTTCGGGAAGCCACACAGGCAGCTGCCTCTGTGGAGCATATGTATTTCCATTTGCTTTGTCGACCGTTCCATACTGGCTAATGAACCACGACAGTTTCCATCCTCATCTCATCCAGACTTTGAACAAGTGGTCAAGCAAAATTCAGGCGGTTGCCCCCTCTGTGCTTCTGCCTTCAAATCGCAATGCATTCTCAAAGTCGTCGCAAGGATTGAAGTGCGCTTCTCAACTTGTAGATGAAACGCTTGTAGACCACGACAAGGTTCTTCAACGAACGAGAATCTATCGCGGTAAAGGATCTCGAATAGGGGCTGATAAAGGTGACGGAGGTGACGAGGAAGGGGATAAAGGTAATTTAGAGGTATTTGACGATACAGATTTCTATCACCAACTGCTACGGGACGTCATTGATACCCGCGGCAACGGAGGCAGCGAGGACTGGATGGAAGTTCAAAAGCAGAAAAAGGCCAAGAAGCATGTCGATACCAAGGCAAGCAAAGGTCGCAAATTACGGTGGGTAATTCTATCTGTTTGTTGCTCCAAGATGCTCATTTCGCACAGATACGAGGTGCACGAAAAGATTCAAAACTTCATGGTTCCAGTTATAACGCAAGGCAGCTGGCACGAGGAACAGATTGACGAGTTGTTTGCTTCTTTGCTTGGAAAAGGATTTGAGAATTCTATGCAAGGCGCAGATGTTGGGATGGATGAAGATATCTCAATGCGAGAACAAATTGATGCGGCCCTGAAGAGCGGTTTCAGAGTCTTTGGGTAGTTTTATCATGTACACTAGTTCTCTGTTACATTGAGTTCTGCCCTTTCGATTTGCCAACATAATATTTTTGACTTAAAGGAAGCCTACGCGTATGAGGGATATCCAAATATAGACGCTCGATGACAGTGACGTTCTCAGTAGACGATCACAGCCCAAAACGCAGTTGTTGACTGTCATTGAACAACCTTTTTACACATTCTGCTGCTTGTGGCCTCTTCTCGCACAGACAGTCTGCTCCAGAGACCTTCTTGGGGTCAACCTGTGTTCTAGTTCGCATTGGACTTGCAGGACCGGACCTCACCAAGCTCCTCAACTGACCCAACAATACACATAGTTGAAACCTTAACATGGACAATTTCGAGGACGAGAATCCGTTCGAGACTGATGTTGATCATGTACCCTCCGAGACATCATCCACATCAAAGGTGAACATATCTGCGCCTTCTTCTCCCCGCCATCCCGCTCGGGTGCTCTCACCGACAAGCCCAACACCGAGTCGTCCATTTCCTTCCTCTGGAACCAACAAGCATCCACAGACAACACACAAGAGTGACTTTTGCTGTGGACGGGATCAGTGGCTGCATTCTGGGGAGGACCTCGAGATTCTTGTGCGTGGCTCTTCCAGTTGATGATGCCTAGAGCAGCTCGCTAATAAGGAACTCACATGATAAGATAACGGATGCGCAGAAGACGTCTTTGAACTCGAACACGCCCTATATTACCTACGTTATTCGTGCAGGCGTAAGTACAACCCACTTCTCAATTGGATGCACCCTCCCAACCTTACGAGATAGAATGCGGAAGCGAGACATCGGTACTCGGAATTCGAGTCCCTGAGGTCAAGCCTCGTGAAGCTGTATCCGACCATCATCATTCCACCAATTCCATCAAAGCAAACTATTGGTGACTATGCCACGAAACAGGCAAAGGCCAAAGAGGATGCTGCGATGATCGCACGGCGGAAGCGAATGTTGCAGACGTTCCTGAATCGCATCGCTAGGCACCCCATCTTGTCGAACGAGCATGTATTCCATCGCTTTCTCGACGGCGAGGTATCTTGGGTTTGTGGAGTTTATTTCAATCTACTGGCACCCGGTTAACTGTGACTGAATAGATGGAAGTGCTGCATTCACCTCCTTTGTCCCTCCTTCCGAAGAACATTCTCAAAGCACCTTCGCACAACCCGACAGATCAGAGCGCCGCCGCCGCTTATGCCGCACTTCCAAATCCATCAGCAACGCACCCATTGAGAAACCCTGATCAGCGGTCCGTAGACTCTGAGATATTTACCAACAAATTCGCAAACCATCTCAGTGGACCGATGGAGAAGGTCACTCGGAGGACCTTGAAACGATGGTCAGGTGCGACCGACATTATCAATTGACAAATGAGCTACTAATGATATTTTGTTACGTTAGAAAATGCTCAGGATTACTCAGAACTTGGCGCTGCTCTAAACGGATACAGCTTGAACGAAAGTGGCGCACTGGCCGCTGCTATGGAGAAGACGGGACAGGCTGTTGACACGACGTATATGTCAACAACTAGACTTGTTTGTCTTCCGTTTTCTGTTCACGTTACCCATCTCACTGCTTGACAGCTCCAAGAACTTGAACAGAACTTTTCCGAGCCTCTCCATGAGTATGCGCAATTCGCCGCGATCATCAAGAAGCTGCTCGCGTATCGCCACCAAAAGCACGTTCAATACGAGATGACCCAGGACACGTTGGAAAACAGGCGCGAGATGCTAGAAGAATACGAAAAGAGTGAACGAGAGGCGAAGAGGTTGGATGAGGCGTTGTCTAGAGGTCGCGTTAATGGCCTGCGGTCGCCGGGCAGTCCTGCCGAGGGCGAAGAAGGTCCAAGCCAGCCTCGCGATGAGGCTGAGGAACCAGGTTCAGCGTACCTACCTCCGCACCCAGGTCCCAACCCATACAAACGGCGAGCACCAGGTATGGGCTTTTTGAATGCTTTGAGCTTCACGCTCCACGGGATGATGGACGTTGATCCCGAAACGGCGCGTCGTAGTGGTATCAGCAAGACGCGGGAGACCATCTCACATGTATGTCTTTACCATTTCCTCTGTCGCTTATCACGAAACCGACTGCGTTTCACTTTAGCTGGAAGATGCGCTGCACCTCTCAGCACAGGACCTCAAATATTCGAGCTCGACGATCCAGGCCGATCTAGATCGCTTCCAGCGTCAGAAAGTAGCCGATTTACGGGAGATGACTATCAGCATGGCAAGAATTCACAGGGACTGGTGCAAAAAGGTCGGTCCTATTTTGACTTTCCCGGAATTAAGCTTTGATGGTTGTAGAACCTCGAGGCTTGGCAAGCGGCGAAGAAGGAAATTGAGAAAATTCCAGACCATCCGAATAAGAGACCTCCTTCACCAGAAGTACGTCCTGTACCTGGCCCATCGGGCTTACGGAGGGACTCGACTGCCACAGTCAATGGGCGGTGATAATGAGATATACACGATATTACTATCAGGCGTTCGTTGTTTTTTCTTTCGAACACCACCTTGGGGAACGATGATTCCCTCGTACTGTGGCCGGGATTTTTTTCGGTCGTATTTTGATTTTTTTTTCCGTCTACACACCGTTGAACGTTCTTTTCTCGAATCATATTAAACGCTCTGGAATCTATTTCACCCCTGAATTTTTATGCAATGGCTCCGCGAGTCTTCGCGAGATATTTTATTCAATCGCTGGGATGAGCGCTTACCACACACTTCATTCTTCATGGCATATGCGTGATAGGTGAGATTTATGTAAGTCAGTAATAACACTAAAAGGATATGAGGAGACGACAAGATCTATATTGTTTATTAAAGCAAATATACTACAGTCCAACGATGAGAAAAATAATGCATCAAGAGACTGCGAAAGGGGAACATAATGTTTAGGCAATGCTAGGTCAACGAACGTAGGAATGCAAGGAGAGTAACTGACGCCGTCAGGTAATGATAGTTAACAATTAGAAAGGGAATCGATATGAAATAGGTATACGTGGTCGAAGGTCACGGGAAGCCCTTGAAGGCAATACAGCATACATATATCTAAAGCGTCTCGTCAAACGGTCGTAAGAACTTGTGTTGTACATTGACACGTGGAATTCATTCAAGCCGTTAATGCGACGACAGGTGGTGTATTCGGTGCTGATTGCGAAGCCGAAGACGAATTGGAAGCTCCAATACAATCCTCGGTTGGCTTACGGCGGATGCGTTTGTGTTGCCCTCGACGAGATTCCGTGGGATACTCGCATTTCATCCGACGTCGTGCACATTGGCTGAAGAAGTAGTCAGAAACAGGAAATTAGAACCCGAGAAGATATCACTTACTTGCAGGTCTGGTCTGGGCTGTGGGCAGGGGGTCTTCCACAGGCTATTTTTCTTTCTCTACAGAATAGGCAAGCAAGGGCTTGCTTCTTCTGCTCACCAGTCTTCCTCGAGGCACTGACTTTCATAACAGGCTCCACTGGCGCTGACCACGTTGCAGGGACGGTTGAAATAGTCTGAGAATGGCGGGTGATCTCCTCGGAGCGATGTGGCCTCTTGTTAGCCTGATGAGCCGCTGGTCGCCCTTCTTCACGTAACAGTAGTAAATCAGGCGAAAGTGACTGTCTAAAAGGACGAGCGGGAGACCGCAGGAGGTTTTGTGACTCGCCACTGTGCGATGAACCCTGAGGAAGCTGACGTTCATGCACAACTCTATTTTGAGAAGGAACAATCATGGGAGGCTGAGGAAGGTATCTTGGATCTTGGACGGATGTACGAGCGTCAAAGGGCTAGAGTTTCGATCGTCAGATCTTCAATTATGGATTGCGAGTAACAAGCGCTGGTACCTGATCAACAAAGACCTCCTCGTTCATGGCTTCCAATGAGCGTTTCCTAGCAGGGGTAGGATTGCTGGTTGGGGCAGGGCTCTGATGAGGGGTTGTGGGTCCACTCAAGGCAGCGGACGTGTTGCGGCTTCGTGAAGGAGGTCCGCCAAACAACGACGACGCGCTTGCGAGAAAATCATCGCTGAGACGCGCGATCGTTGCTCGGTACTCTGACGACTGAGAAGCTGCGAGATGAGTTGAGCTATTTCTGACGTCTTGTGCCCAGCTTGGGGGATATGACGGTCTTCTGTCAGAAGAATATGTCGGGATGCTGGGATACGCTGCTGTGTCATGGAAATCGGTCGACGTCTAGATTTAACGCAACATCCCGAGTGAGTTGATCGTTTGATAACAAGTTACGGGTTCACAGGACTTACAAGACACGATGAATCTGACGATACAGAATGCGTAGAGGCTGAAGACGTGAAGTGTTCAGAAGCTTGGTGGTTGTATTCATACACGGGTGTCTGAATTAATTGTTGCTCGTCCTGCAGGTCTGTCATCGCGAGCATCATGTTGTCGGGAATGTAGTATGAGTATGGCTGATACGAAGAGTAATCGTAATGCATAGAAATAGGGACGTTAGCGCCATAGTACTGGTCCTCATCGTGATAGCAATGGTGCTCCATCGCAGAACAACGGTCAAAAGTGTCGTGAACGTGTGGGGGCATAAGCGAGTCACGGTTGGATGACAGAGAAGGCAAGTGTGCAAAACGGAAGCAAATTTCTGACAATTGATGCCGCGGAAGAACTTTAGGCTAAATCAGTACCTGAGTGGAACCCCGAACGAGGGGGAGAGCTTTATGGTGAGGAGTGCGTCCAGAATCGCTTCTAAGTAGATATATACCGATCCACAGCTCCACTGAATCTACATGTAATTGCAGGCCACCCTAGGGCATTGTATACAGTAAATCCATAAGGCAAGCAGCACTGCGCTTCGCGCTCGTATCAGAAAGGAACGCACAGAATGCAATCAATGAAAATGCATAACAAATCGACGGTGAAAATGAATAATTCACTTCCACCATCAGGCTATATCGGCATCGTGAAATTATGTTTAGGGGCCTGTTTTCTGCTCGCCAAGCCAGTTGTTTTCTTCTCGCGGAGGCTCCGCTGGGGGCATACTTGATTGGCTGCCACAGGCAAAGAATGAAGAGTGACCAAAAACGGCCGTCGTGATGACCTCGCGCTAACAGCTGGGTCTGCATCCAGACACGGGCTATGAGGGAGAAAATGATGATACACGCCTGAGGGTGCTGACACTCATTCAGCGTCTGCGTTGTAGTACAACATGATGTCAAAGGGTGTCTCCGCGCGCAAGCGAGGGATTTCCATTCGAGGAATGCGACTCCTCGCTGGAGACCACTATGTCGGGTTGTACCGTTGTACAAGGGGACGACCGCACCTCATCTACAAGTCCACACAACGAGGAAAGCGATGCATCACCCCTAGACCTTGAGAAGACCATGATGCGTAAACCTCACGGGTTCCATCAAGTCTCTGCGGATCAAGTGGTGCAGAAAGGAGCTGGACACAGCATTATCACCTGAGGCTATTGAAGGCTCACCGCAAGGGTGAGTACTGCATTATTAGGGTGATTGCCGGCAGGCATGTGGCTCCACAGGATGTCGAGGAATTCAACTTGCGCCATGCCCAGGTCCCCAAATCCGACAACAGCTATGGTCTTACGGTCAGGCAAAACAGGATTTAGTAGTCGTTTTCTTGATCCATCCGTGAAGAATGGAAGCTGAAAAATTCCCGTGTGGACCGGATTTTCTTTGAGCTCTGCATTAAAGGGGCACAAAGGCTAGCTCGTCAGCTTGCTTTCCCCCTCGCGTGATGTGCAAGTTAGACCCGAGATCCCTCGCACAGATTGTGCTGCACGACGACGTTATTGCTATGGTACCTATTAATGAGCGTTAAAAACAAGTTACAAGCATACACAGATACATACTTAGGCTTTGTTTAAGCAATTAATACGTCCGCGTCGTGATGTAGCCACGAATGTCAGAGATGTGCACAGTCACTCACCCTTCGCCACAGCATGTATCTGACATGCATTCTGGACGCAGGGGATAAAAGAACTTCGAATGGAAAAATTAAAGAAGATCAAAGAAGCATACTTAGTAACAAAGGCGGTCTGCTTTGCTTGTAGACAGGCCGCCAATGCCAGACAAACGGCAGGACGTTGAAAACTACGCCATGCGCACAACTGAAGCATCACGTAGACCTTGTGTGATGAAACAATATTGTGTGAAATCTGGATGAGATTTACGCCGTTCTGTTGGGACGCTGGCCGCTGCGCCATCACGATCTGAGCCGATTACTGTGCGCCATTGCGGTGATGAAGAAGAATTTTCCTTCGCATCGGAGGGGCATGTCACGAAATCTTGACTTTCTATCTGTTTCTATCAGAAACTCAGGACTTGGTGACAGGCACTGAGGCATTCCAGCCAGAGATGGAAGGCAGGGGATTGAGGAGCGAACGTTATCTCCTTCGCTCCAGAGAATGTTCGCAGAGTTTCGGGCCTGCCTGCACGCAGCGCTTCAGCAGTAAGTTCAATGAACGCGGCCGGATAAGCTTCTTCTATGCAACTTCCATGACTCAATAAGTCTAACCTGATAAAAATAATGCAAGGTGGCTGTGCAGCTTGCATGTGCTCATCTTCTTTGTAACCCCACACTAGGTTAAGTGAATTCAGGTTCGAACTTGAACTTCCCTAGCAGCTAAGCAGCGTCATGGCATCATGGATACCCACCGTTGCTGCAGTCGGAATGGCTATCGGGCCCCCACTAGTCTATGTCGATCAAGCTGTGTCTATCGTTCGCAAAAAGTGCGGTTTTTTATGTTCCTGCCAACCCACGTTTGCGTAACTTAACATGTCTCTTTATCCAGGGATTCAACAGGCTTCTCTCGTGACGTCTGTGCCATTCTGTGAGTGCTCTGACATCACTCTGCTGCACCCTGCAACACTGACACGATTCCACCCTGCAACACTCTATTGTTTCACCGAAGACTAATCGCAAACATCACTCGATGTTTTTTCTGGTTGGGCGATCACTTCGAGCTTGCCCTGCTGATGCAGTCCATTTTAATGATAATAGCGCAGGTATGTTGTATGTTGTAGCCTCGCTGCATGTGACGAGCTGACTGTCACATCAGCTTGCCTTGCTCTACATTTGTGTTCGATACCGCCCCCGCGTGAGCCCTGAAAACTTCGGGGCGTCGTCGCGTCCCCTTTCGTTTTGGCAGTGGCATACGTATGCTCAATATATCGAGTTTCTTGCTGGGTACATGTGAGCATCAGTTGTAATTTGTGCCCTTTCTACTTTAACGAGCCGTCTAGTTTATGTTCAGCAATTTTGTTCTTGATCTTGAGTCGATCGGAGCTATATGTTATGATACTAGGGTTTGTTGCCTTGGGACTAGAGAGCACGCTGCCTATTCCGCAGTTGATCAGGTAACTGACACCAGACGTCCACACGTTTGACTGACATTCCCTCGTGCAGTAATTACAAACAGCGATCACTGTATGGCTTCCGCGCTTCAACTCTCCTTGGATGGGTGGGGGGTGATTCGTTCAAGTAAGTTCTCTCGATACATTGCCTTGCTCCAACGCCTTGACGTCGGGTCAGGACTGTATATTTTTTCCTTCAGGGCTCACCCCTGCAGTTCAAGGTATGTGCAGTGTTCCAATTGTCAGTGGACTGTGGTAAGCGCCTTTCCCCTGCACGAGTTGACGTCACTAAGTGCTTTCCAAAGCCATCATCATACAACGTCTTTACTATGGCAATGCAGCTCCACCGACAGTGCTGGAAGAGGGGGATGATCTTGAGCAGGAAGCTTTGGCACTGTCAGAAGAATAGAGTGGAGTGTTAATGGACTACGATTTTATGTACTTACATGCCCTCTATGCATTATATTTGTTGGTTTTTCCGAAGTTTGACCGTCGCAGTACTGCAAGCGTGAGACAAACAGAGGTAAACTTTATTACCTTCCTTTGCTAACCCAACACCCACGTCTCCTTCAACTGCGCCGCGTCCCGGCCTTAACTTCTACGCTATGACCGACATTTCGAAGCCCATCACGTTCTGCGAGCACCTTCAGCTCTCAAGCTTGGCCATACAACCAAGTTCAATTGGCTTTCAGGTACGCGCAATCCATTTAGCATCGTTGCTAGCAGAAGGAGACTCAATTACCCATGCGTGGTGTGCTTTATTATAATGTTGCAGGTGAGTGTCGTGTGTGCAGCTGCACTCTAAACGAGATGACTGACCGCGTGGGCTCGCGTTTCATAGACCTTGACCCTAGAGTCCGACCACTTCATTTGCGTACGAGAGAAGATTAATGAGCAAAACCAAGTCGTCATTATCGACCTCGCGGATGCCAATAATGTCCTACGAAGACCGATAAGCGCAGACTCAGCCATAATGCACCCTCACAAGAAAATTCTTGCCTTGAAGGGTACGGTTATGCATGCATTGCAGTGGAGGATTTGCTTAAAGCTCTCACTTTAGCTGGCCGAACGCTGCAAATTTTCAACATTGAAACGAAGCAGAAGGTCAAGTCACACGTCAACGCAGAAGATGTCGTGTTCTGGAAATGGGTGTCAGATACCACCATTGGTATGGTCACCGACACGGCCGTGTACCATTGGAGCATCTCAGACCAGACTTCCCCGCCTCAGAAAGTGTTTGATCGACATGCGACTTTGACTGGCGCTCAAATTATCAACTATCGTGTGACTCCGGATGAGAAATGGCTGGTTCTCATCGGTATTACTGGTAATACGACAAATCCCTCGGCTTTCAAGGTCAAGGGCGCAATGCAACTGTATAGTCGTGAACGAGGCGTCAGTCAACCAATTGAGGGGCATGCGGCTACTTTTGCGGAGCTGAAACTTGACGGACACCAACACGTCACCAAATTGTTCGCGTTTGCAGTCAGGACAGCGACCGGCGCCAAGGTTTGTTTTCTTGCGACCGTAAAACGTGTGGAATACTCACCATCTTACTAGCTTCATGTCGTCGAAATCGACCACACAGCTCCTGATCCTGCCTTTGCGAAGAAGGCGGTAGATGTCTACTTCCCTCCAGAAGCGACCAACGATTTCCCAGTGGCAATGCAAGTGTCGAAGAAACATGGCATCATATTCCTGGTTACGAAATACGGGTTCATTCACCTGTATGACCTGGATAGCGGTGCCTGTGTGTACATGAACCGCATTTCTGGTGACACGATTTTCGTCACTGCTGAGCATGAAGCGACGAATGGTATCATTGGTGTCAACAAGAAGGGTCAAGTTCTTTCGGTCAGCGTTGATGAGCAGACCATTATTCCTTACATTTTGACCACCCTCAACAACACGGAGCTTGCTTTTAAGCTCGCCAGTCGTGCGAATCTCCCTGGCGCGGATGACCTCTACATTAAGCAGTACCAGCAATTGTTCTCTAGTGGACAGTTCAGTGAGGCTGCGAAAGTTGCTGCGAACTCTCCGAGGGTAGGTCTTAAATTTTCGATTATTCTCCTTTTTAACGTATATTATCACGTAGGGCATACTCAGGACTGCGCAAGTCATCGAGTCCTTCAAGCAAGCTCCAGCACCTCCTGGTGGCTTGTCACCGATTTTGCAGTACTTCGGTATTTTACTAGAGAAGGGCGAGCTGAATCATTTAGAGTCGCTCGAACTCGCGCGCCCAGTATTGCAACAGGGAAGGAAACAGCTTCTTGAAAAGTGGCTCAAGGAGAACAAGGTGAGGTTTTTCTTGCTTGTGTTTTGCCCCTGCTCAAACTTTGCTTCGAAGCTCACATGCAGCGAGGAATTGGGGGACATTGTGCGATTGCACGACATGACACTGGCGTTGAGCGTCTACTTGCGAGCAAACGTTCCCAATAAGGTCATCGCCTGTTTTGCGGAGACTGGACAAACTGAGAAGATCGTCCTATACTCGAAGAAAGTTGGTTACACTCCGGATTATATTTCTCTTCTGCAGCATGTCATGAGGACAAATTCAGAGAAGGGGGCCGAGTTCGCCAGTCAGTTAGTCAATGACGAGAACGGGCCACTCGTGGACATGGAAAGGGTAAGGCTACTTCCTTTCTATAAGATCGTCGGCCCCTTATTTGTCACTCTCCTAGGTGGTCGACATCTTCATGTCACAGAATATGATTCAGCCTGCAACCTCGTTCCTTCTCGATGCATTGAAGGATAACAAACCTGAGCAAGGCCATCTGCAGACTCGCTTGCTCGAGATGAATCTCGTTCATGCCCCTCAAGTTGCAGATGCCATTCTCGGCAATGAGATGTTCACCAACTACGATAGACCCCGAATTGCCAATCTTTGCGAGAAGGCGGGCTTACTCCAACGAGTGAGTGGAGTTTGACCATGAACGCTGATCATGTCTCATTTATCTGTGGGAAGGCATTGGAACACTATGAAGATCTAGCGGACATCAAGCGCGCTATTGTTCATACCAGTGGTCTGCAGCCGGAGGTGAGCTGTCGATTTATTGCTTTCGACAGGAGGTGGAGGCCTGATATTTCCGAAGTGGCTAGTGAACTACTTCAGTCGTCTGACAACAGAACAATCCATGGCATGCATGCAGGAGATGCTGCGCGTTAACATCCGGCAGAACTTGCAGGTTGTAATCCAGATCGCCACCAAGTATTCTGACATCTTGGGCCCTGTGAAGCTCATCGAGATGTTTGAATCTTTCAAGACATTTGAAGGTGATTTCCGTTGCACGTGATTGGTCGCCGAGCGCTAACTCTACTGCAGGTCTCTACTACTACCTTGGCTCGATCGTTAACCTCAGCGAGGATCCCGAGGTGCACTTCAAGTACATCCAGGCCGCTACTCGCACTGGTCAAATTCGTGAGGTTGAGCGAATCTGCAGAGAGAGCAACTACTACAACCCGGAGAAGGTCAAGAATTTCCTGAAGGAGGCGAAGCTCCCGGATCAACTTCCCCTTATCATTGTCTGCGACCGCTTCGACTTCGTGCACGACCTGGTTCTGTACCTGTACCAGAACGGACTCACGAAGTTCATCGAGGTATACGTGCAACGTGTTAACTCGGTCCGAACGCCTCAGGTTGTTGGAGGCTTGCTCGATGTGGATTGCGACGAGACAACCATCAAGGGTTTACTTGCTTCCGTCACTGGGAATTTCCCCATCGATGAGCTTGTCAATGAAGTTGAGCAACGCAACCGTTTGAAGCTCATTCTGCCTTGGCTGGAGGCTCGCGTGCAATCTGGCAGCCAGGACCCTGCAGTCTTCAATGCCATGGCCAAGATTTTAATCGACAGCAACAGCAACCCGGAAACGTTCTTGAAGGAAAACAACGTGAGTTATATGGTCTGATGATGAATAAACTTGACTAACGTGCTCACTTACTTGTTTCAAAGTTGTATGAGCCATTGGTTGTCGGGAAGTTCTGCGAGGCCAGGGATCCTTACCTTGCCTATATCGCTTACGCAAAGGGCTTCTGTGATGATGAACTTATTGGTATTACCAACGACAACTCGATGTTTAAGCAGCAAGCTCGATATCTCGTAAAGCGTCGCCAACCGGAGCTTTGGGCGCAAGTTCTTGTCCATGACAATATTCACCGCAGGGCTCTCATTGATCAGGTTAGATCAGTTTGACCATGCGTTCTCAGAGACTCAACTCTCCATTAAATAGATTGTGGCTACTGCACTCCCAGAGTGCACGGACCCTGATGATGTGTCAGTGACCGTCAAGGCATTCCTCTCGGCTGATCTCCCAATTGAGTTGATCGAGCTTCTCGAGAAAGTGGTCATCGAGCCCTCTCCGTTCAGCGACAACCGCAATCTCCAAAACCTACTTCTCTTGACTGCAATCCGCGCAGACAAGGGCAAGGTTGTTGGCTACATTAACAAGCTCCAGAACTACGATGCCGGAGAGATAGCGAAGATTGCCACTGATCATGGATTGTATGAAGAGGCACTGACGATCTACAAGAAATATGAGCAACATGCAATGGCTATCAATGTTCTCGTCGAGCATATCGCCTCCATCGACCGTGGTTTGGACTACGCGAACAAGGCCAATAAGCCAGAAGTGTGGAGCAGACTTGCCAAGGCTCAGCTCGATGGTCTCCGCATCAAGGACGCCATTGGTGAGTTGTTTGTAATTTCTGGCGTGGGTATTGTCATTTATGTTTTTCTTCAGATTCATATATCAAGGCTGAGGATCCCTCCAACTTCGCTGAGGTCATTGAGATCTCGGGTCACGCTGGAAAACATGACGATCTTGTTCGCTTTCTCCAAATGGCTCGCAAGACACTTCGCGAACCTAAAATCGACACAGAACTTGCGTATGCATATGCTAAGACTGACCGTCTTCATGATATGGAGGACTTCTTGGCGATGACCAATGTTGCTGACATCTTGGAGGTCGGAGAGAAGTGCTTCGAGGACGAACTGTACCAGGCTGCGAAATTGCTGTTCACGAGCATCTCTAACTGGGCACGTCTTGCCACGACTCTCATTTACCTTGGCGAGAATCAAGCGGCCGTGGAAAGTGCCCGGAAGGCTGGAAACACTCAGTATGTTCATTCTTTCAAGGCGTCGATGTTGAACTGACTCTTCATAAGGGTTTGGAAGCAAGTCCATGCTGCATGTATTGAGAAAGCTGAGTTCAGACTCGTCAGTGATTTTTCAAATTTCATTTTTTCGTCTTCTGACTATCATCAAAGGCGCAAATTTGTGGCTTAAACATCGTCGTTCACGCGGTTAGTTGACTTTCTCATTTGACCATGTCTTACACTCACCATCAATTTAGGAGGAAGTGGCCGCTCTGCTCCGGTCTTATGAACGTTGGGGATACTTCGATGAAGTTCTGTCCCTACTTGAAGCTGCTTTGAGTTTGGAACGAGCACACGTAAGTGCTTCTAAGACGTCTAGCAATGTCAGCTCTGATCACTTCAACAGATGGGTATCTTCACCGAGCTGTCGATCTTATACAGCAAGTACAGACCTGGCAAACGTAAGCAGATAATTATTTCTATGACAGTATCTCATCTCTGTTTTACTAGTGATGGAACATCTCAAGCTTTTCGTCTCGAGAATCAATATCCCCAAGGCAGGTTTCATGTACACTATCGTGGCATGTATACTTAGACCACATTTAGGTCATCAAAGCCACTGAAAAGGCTCATCTCTGGCCCGAGTTGGTATTCCTATACATCAAATACGACGAGTTTGTACGTGTTCTCGCCACCAGCTCTGTCAATGCGTACTTACGGTTGTCCCAGGATAATGCGGCTTTGGCGATGATTGAACGTTCAGCCGATGCTTGGGAGCACAACCAGTTCAAAGATGTCGTCGTTCGGGCTGCCAATGTCGAAATGTGGGTTCTCGCAGATCTGATAATGCTCCTGACTGGAACAGGCTTCTAGATATTACAAGGCGCTCACGTTTTATCTTCAAGAACAACCGACGCTTTTGACTGATCTTCTCACTGTCCTCATTCCCCGCATTGAACATGCTCGGGTCGTCCGTATGTTCCGCCAGATAGATCATATTCCCTTGATTCGAGCATATCTCATTGCCGTCCAGCATGTAAGCCGCTATGCGCTTGTTGTCTTCTATGCGAAAGCTAATCCCTCGAGTAGTTGAATGTCGAGACCGTGAACGACGCATACAACGACCTCCTCATAGAAGAAGAAGACTACAAAACGCTCCGAGATTCTATCGACAGCTTTGACAACTTCGACAATATTGGTCTTGCACGGCGCTTAGAGCAGCATGGTCTGCTGGAATTCAGGAGACTCGCGGCACATCTATACAAGGTACAGAACGTTTGAGTATTCAATCTTGTGAAATTGACTTTCGTATCTTAGAAAAACTCTCGCTGGGAAGAATCGATATCTCTGTCAAAGCATGATCAGCTGTATAAGGACGCTATCATCACTGCCTCCACCTCTGGTTCAACGGACGTCGCTGAAGATCTGCTCTCTTACTTCGTTGATATCGGTAACAAAGAGTGCTTCGCGGCTATGCTATACGTGTGCTTCGACCTTCTTCGCCCAGATATTGTGGAGGAGTTGTCATGGCAACACGGTCTGAATGATTTCTACATGCCATATAAAATCCAGGTATCTAGGACCATGCGCGAGAAGTTGGCTGCATTGGAGAAGGAGGTCAGGGAGCGCACCAAAAAAGAGTCTGCCAAGGAGCAGCAAGAAGCCGAAGCCCCGATTATCAACCCTGCTCGGATGATAACCAATGGGTAAGCATGATCCTGGCGAGTTCACATACTTTGTCTGATGCATGAGTCTTAGATTTGCCGGCCAACCGCCACCAATGCCAATGGCAAATGGTAACGGCATGGTTGGGATGATGCCAGTGAGTTTCCCCGCGCCCTTAGAGTCCCGTATGACTGACCTCATACTACGCAGGCTATGACCGGCTTTGGATTCTGATTGTTTTTATGTGGACTCTTACCCTCTACCATAGTACTACTACATGCTTGAGATTTGCTGTAATGGATTTTTGCCTTGTCATAAAGCGTAGTCTTAAGCGTGTGTGAAAATTTGCCCACTTGTTTGTATGCAAGTATATTTATTTGTGCTTGTGTGTTCACTTTTGTGACATTAAAGTCCGATCCCAATCCAGCGAGACTCCTTTTTTTTTACTACTACCCAGTGGCCCACGCGTTACAAGTTTCAAGCTTCAAGCTTCAAGTCCAGTGTGCACCAAGGTTCAATGGTTTCAACAAGATCGGCCTCTCGAGTAGTTAGCCATGACTCTACAAAAGTAATGGCGTCAAATACAAGAACCCCTCAAGGTAGTACTAGCGACGAGGATTCAGAAGACCCTGATATTGCTCCGCGCCGGGTCAGGAAAAGATCCAGGAAAAGCGGGGGTCACCGCACCAAAACGAAGTTCAAGCGACGTGGACGACTCGACCTAATGCCCACCATGAACTTGGATATTCTATTTCATGTCAGGCTCAAGCCTACAAATTTTACGCAAGACTCATGAGTTCATACAGATCCTCAGTTTTCTCCATCCAATCGACCTTTTGAATCTCTCCCGAACCAGCAAGGATTTCCGAAATTTATTGTTGCAGAAATCATCTGCTTCTGCCTGGAAAACTGCTCGCCTCCAGGTTGACGACCTTCCCGATTGTCCCCCAGACTTGAGTGAACCGCAGTATGCAAATCTTGCTTTCTACCCTCATTGCCATGTGCGACGAGCTTTACCGCAAATGTCACCACCCTCGCTCACCAACATGTACTCTAGGATTGCGACAGAGTTGTCCGATCTGTTTTATGGCCACTTCGGGCACGATACTGCCCCAGATGCATCGGTGCAAAGTTGGTTGTCTTAGTTCAGGCTAGCCCATGTTATATTTACGCTGCGTATAGCACTGTTGATCAGTGGAGGTCATACAACATCCCATTCTCTTCACTTGACTTACCCCAAGCTACTATATACGGAACTGGTAGGCCTAACTTAATTTTGCGTCACTGTCCCACTCGTCTTCTTACGATGTTTTAGGCCGACCCAAGAAGTTGTTTCTCCATAAGACATTCACTGAACTGCTCGCCGAACACTCGAAGACGCCAGCGGACGAGATGGCAGCTTTCTTGCTAAAGAAACGAAAGCATACTGCTGAGGTCATGGAAGTGAGTCGTTGAACTTGTTATACTTTGGTTATGCAATTACATCTACATTCCAGCACGCAGAACAATGTCAACAGTGGTCACAGTCTGTCGCAAGTTCTCGTAAAAATGAACTTGACGACCTTAGACGCACTCGCCAGGACGAGTACGCCAGCCAAGACTTTCTTGTTTGCTCCAGCCTTGACTGATGTACATTTATAGTATTGTTGCTCGCCTAAGTGAAGCAGGCTACAAGCCTGAGTTGGACTATGTGGATAGATTTTGGTTGCAAGACCAACTGGGGACATCGTTCAGGGAACCAAAAATTCTCACTCAAAAATGTGAGTATGTCGTCAAATTGTTGGAAGTAGATATACATCTCCTTGCTACTAGCATGGGATCGTATACGCCCAGATTTAATCACAGGACTCGATAATGTCAGGGTCCGTCGCATAGAAGATCAAGTCTACGGTCCTAGGCGTCAGATTCTGATGGATGAATACAAGAAGTACCTCCAGCAGCCCCATCCCCCCGGTGCAGCATTTGACGTGATGCCGCATGCTGTTGATGTCGCAGAGTTCGAGCCCTTCAGGGGTCTCATCAAATCGCCTGAATCAGCCGCAATTACCGCGACTTCGTTCATCTCTGCTTTTCAGCAGCTCCCGGACTCGGTATCCTCCTGGAGAGCCAAAATCGATCGCGAATTTTTGGACCTGGTCCGCTTTCCAGAAAACCATGGCGATAGTGGAAAACAAAACGATCCGGATTGTCTGCAGTTGGCGACTGCCGTATTCGTCGTGGAATCTGGCAGTGATCGTCGTCTACTGATGTATCCCGATGTGCTCTCATGGCCCGGATTCTGCGTCCCGGCACCCGTCGCGTTGCGTGACGAACTCTACTCACTACAAGTGAAACAGTTCGGGTGCCGGATGTGGTCCGGTGTTAGACATTCCCCTCGGATCAGTGTGTTTGAGGGAGCCGCAGCTATTGTTCAGGCGGCCAGTCTTGACCCGAAGACCACGCGTGGAGAGGACATGGATGGGCTGGATGCTCGCTTTGCATGCGGAAAGTGTTCCACGCCAGGCAAAAAGGTGGTTATGACATGGAAAATGGCGGTAAATGAAATTTACGCAGATTTGTGACCATGCTCATTGGTTTGTCGTAACAGGTAATGCATAGCTACCGCATGCACCGAGATCTGCAACCTGAAGAAATTAAGTGGACATTGATAGAGGATCAGGAGTTAGCAAATGTCAAGGATTACGAGCAAGAGGTCAAACCTCCTATGAAGGCAGATGCTATCGCGTATTGCGCTTTGTGCCAGCATCATATGCGCGATGCCCTGTCACTTACACTAGTTTTGAACCATCTGGCTGAGATGTGAGTTTTGCCTTATATTGGAAGTATATTTATTCATTGCTTACACCGCCAACAGTCATGGAATTCCCTTGAATAAGGCTGAACAAGGCACACACTACATTCCCGACCGTAATTCAATATCCGTGGTTTCTATGATTTTGGATAGTGATGGCAAGGTATCGAACCACACTGACCATCGCTTAGTTCCTTCGTACTCCAGTGGGGTAGAAATTCTTTACTGGAGGAGTCACTTGGTGTAGTACATAGTTCGTCTTTACATTCACTGCTGAATACTTATTGTACATTATTAACTATGATCTGAACATACTAGACTTTGTTGCTACCTTCTTGTGAAGGCTTGCAACAGCCGGAGTCACCACAGCAACGCTGGGGAACTATAGTGGGCTGCTGCGTGACTTCGGGGATGCCTTGTTTTTCTACCTTCCGCTCCTCCTGTCCACAACAACAGCTACCGTTGAATTGGTCATTACTCGCCCACCTAATCATCTTAAAGCCCTCCCAACCAAAAAGCATAGCAATCACGATGGCAGTCACGGAGTCGACCCACCACCCACCACGCCAGACACGGTATATGAGAGAACCGATCAATAGCGCACCACTAAACTGGATGCACGACAAGGTACAAAGCGCCTCGCCGTTCATCGTGCTGGAGTTCAGCGTCTTTGCGAGATAGCGCTTCGGCACCCAGAACAAGAACATGATGAATGCAGCACTCGCCGCGATGATGAGTGATGCGTTAGATGGACTGGGGTGGTCACGGGCTACGAGGGAGACGATGGATGTGGCTACGGCTGCCAGGGCAAGCATCGCGAGTAGGATACCTATAGCCAAGGTTGCTATTCTCTCTACCCTACTGGGTGTCGGCAAAACGAAGACTGGGAGAGGGAAAAGCATGCTAACCTCAAGTCTTTGCTCATCCTAACTTCAGATTCATCGCCGCCTTCTTCACCGGCCTTGAGTCCATTCATAAATCTCCAAACCACGAGTGACGCCGAGAGCACTTCGATTACCGATTGAATGCCAAAGAAGATGAGAGAGTGTGAAGACGATTCTACACCAAAGACCACGGAGATGACGCCTTCCGCGATGTTATAGAATAGGCTGGCGATGCTGATGGCGATGGCGCTTTGCTGCAGGAAGCGGCGTGAAACCATGGTGGTGTAAAAACTGATACTTACTACATGATCGATCAGTTGGGCTGTTCTTATAGCGGAGGACTGGAGCGAATTTCCCTCTCGCGGCAAATATCCCTCATGCAGGCGCCAGGCTCCAGCTCACGGGATAAGTACCTCAGGTTGGCCCCCTGAATATGCTAGTGGATGTTCGCTATCCGAACCCATTCATTATCGGACATATTGCCACATTTTATAGACATATGATGTGGTGACAATAGGGAACAGTGTATGATCAATAACTGATATTCGTGTTCAAATTCAAACTTCAATATGACATTGCCCCTCGGGGTTTGTGTCGTGATGTGTTATGCATTTATGTTTCGTGCCGCACTGTCACGGACATTATCACTCCTTGCCACAGCCTACTAAGACATAGATCTCGCTTGCATCTAAATGAACGCAACTCAGACAAAAGACAGGTTATATGACCAGCTTGCAGCCAGTCTGAAGAACGTGTCTCGTGCGGTCGGGCAGACAGCAGACCTCTTTGAACATCTTCAAACAAACTTGAGCGCAATGAGAGTTCTCGCTGGCACACATGCTGCACAGTAGGCACTAATCTTCGGCTTCGCATTTGATGATCGATGTATCATGTATACTTAGGTTTATGACTGTCGCCGCCGAATTTAGTCCCAGACCGGATGGAGGAACCAGCACCTAAGTAATAAATAAGTGGGTAACCTGACATTCGAGAAAGTTTTATTATTGAGATCCCTTTAGCGCGAGTCGTCTTTCCCTGGAAAAGCTGCAGCTGTTGAGAGCATTCCACAACTCAACGTGTTCGGAGGTCTCACCTCCGGCAGATAGATTGAATGCATCTAAGAGGATGCGAGTGGCGATGGTCTGGGCTGCAGACTCCGATGAGAAGATATTTGTGCACGCGAAAAGGGCCAGCTGTGCGTGGAGAGACGAGGATGGGAAACAGCATTATCTCCAGCTTTCGAACGTGGATGATGTTTAGCGAGCTTGTGAACCGACCTTTTTGATGTCTCCTTATTCCTCAAGCACCACGACTTTCCTAAGCCGAGTGGCGTTATTACAACAACTCTAAATGTGATCCCTACAGTCGCTAGCATCATCCGTGCATGGATGATTTTTCGTGGCGCAGAGATGTATTTTTGAACTGTCTAGAGAGATAACGTTCTGCAAGCCAGTCTCTGTCAGTAAGTTTGGTAGAACACATGATTTTCGTCGAGCAAAATTTTGAGGAAGGGGTCCAAGGCAAATTCATGTTTGATCACTTGATAATCAAAATCTGTTGAGAAACTCCGTCCTCTTGTCTGTGGTTTTACCAGTCGTATATGGGTGACATGAATACGACGAAAGAGCTCTCGGGTGCATTCGTAGGTTGCTGCATTGCGTAGTAGTTGGACAAGACGATATGGCTGAGATAGGTCATAAGTGCATCACGGTTAGCGATGATATAACTGTCGACATCACGTCGAAAGACATACGATGGTGCCGTTCTCTTGACTCCTGCTCCTCACGAGATCGTCTCCTGTATTGACAAACATGACGCGAGAGAAGGCTGTGAATTTCAAGGATTCAGAACTGCAAGAATTTAAGATTCTGTGTTTCGAGCTTGTGAACCGTGCAAAGGACTCGGCGCGTGACAGCAAAAGACAAACATGACATCACGTGCCAAAGAGCAAGGATCACGTGCACAAATAGCCATGAAATTCGGTCGCGCGTTTCCTCCACCTGGCCCTGGCGATTTTTATCTTACGATTTTTCCCTCTTTTCCTGGCTCTGGCTACTGGGCTTTAGCACAAGCTCCATTTTTAGGGTTTCTCTACTCGGCTTCAATCAAGTGCACATGGGAAGCTCAAAGGATTCAGAGGATCAAGACCTGGCAGAGTTGAGGCGCAATATAGCCACCGGGAACCAGAAAGACGCTGGAGATGCTAGCTCCGCTAGTGAGTTACCGATATTCTTTGTGTGTGCTGCTTGCTCAGTTGCACGGTGGTGTACAGTTCCTCCCGTAGTATGCTACTGTCTAGCGTCCATCATGATGACAGTCGTGAACAAGGTCATATGCACCGCCCTTTTATCATGCTCAGTTTCTGAAAGCGTGATTAGTTCATAGTGTCCGGGAGTCAATTTAACATGACTTTTCTGCTGCTATCAATGCAGAGTGTAGTCTGCGTTGGGTGCGTGATCGCAGCTAAGAAGACGGGTGTAATATCATTCCGCGATTTCGACGTGCAAGATGCCAAGACATGGTATCCTATCAGCTGTCTCCTAGTCAGTGTAATCTATACCGGTTCGAAGAGTCTGGTGAGTACTGCCGAACAAGAGTCTCAATTCGTACGTTATGCGCTAACAGCTTCGCTTCAGCAATACCTCAGTATACCCGTTTACACCATTTTCAAGAATCTGACGATCATATTGATTGTGCGTTTATTGTTCTCGGTCGCGAACATATCGAGGCTAATGAGGCACCAGGCATACGGGGAAGTCCTTTGGTTTGGCGGACGAATTACAGCGCTTACGATGGTCGCGTTCATTTTCATGGTGAGTGCCCTGATGATTATTCAAATGGATAGGGCTCATGGGCTGATTTTGTGACAGGTGTTATCTTCCATAATGGCTGCGTTTACGGATATCCGCAATACTATAGGCGGCACCGAAAACCTTCCTCCAGCGAGCGCCGCCATGGGTATCGGTTTGGACCTGTCAAACCTGACTTCTAGACTGAATGCGGGGTACGTGTGGATGTTTATGAACTGCCTGATGAGTGCTGCCTACGTAAGACGCCCTGCCCTGATGATGTCCCTGAGCTGAGCGTTAGCTGCGTTGCCTAGGTTCTTCTGATGCGCAAGCGCATAAAGGTCACTGGCTTTTCGGATTGGGATTCGATGTTCTACAATAACTTGTTATCGATTCCTGTCTTGGTGGTGTTCTCCATTGTTGTGGAGGATTGGGGTTCAGAGAACCTCGTTAGAAACTTGTACGACGCCATCTCACCCAGCAAGACCACAGAGTAACCACTGACGCTTATCTGTTCCAGCCCACCCGAGACGCGCAGCGTTCTTTTGTCTGCTATTGCATTTTCGGGTGCGGCTGCAGTTGGAATCTCGTATTCTACGGCATGGTGTGTGCGCACCACGAGTAGTACCACGTATAGGTACGGACACATGGTTACTAGTGCTCTTGGCAGGCTACAGCTAATGCGGACTACAGCATGGTCGGAGCTCTAAACAAACTCCCTGTTGCGGCTTCAGGTATGCTCTTTTTTGGTGATGCAGTGACATTAGGATCGGTGTCGGCGATCGGAATGGGTTTCTTTGCAGGGATTGTGTATGCGATAGCGAAGAACAACCAGAAGAAGGTGGAGAGCCGGACTCAAGCCACTATCATACCACTCTCGAACCGGTAGACATACTTCTCGACTTCATCGTGTCGAGCACCTACTTAGACGGAGCGTTGATCGATGAAATTAGTCGTGTCAGAGCTCATAGTGCGGTTTCTCGCGAGCCGCCGAATAAACGCCAACATGATAACAGTGCAGCCGCAGTGATGGAGTTAAGAGACAAGACGTGGAGATGATGGGATTTGGCCCACTTTAAACCCGGAAGTTGAACACAGTCCGAGAGATAAACAGCTTGAACATATTGGATGTATCTGCCAATGCGGACGGATCACTGCGGATTACGGCCTTCTCGTGATTCGATATGGTGCGATTAGATGTTTTAGGCCAAGCGCTTAAGCCAAGCTGGTGATAATCAAAAGTCCCCGAAGTTTGAACTGCAGCTCCGCACCGTCCTACCATCTCACCATCCCCTAGCCCAAGTTCCAGCTCTTTAACATTCCCCCGTTTGTCTCTGGCATTCTTTTGAATTCTGACCACCATCATGGCTTCTGCAACTCAGTCACCGCTCCACCCCCCCAGGCTGGCACATACGTTCGTGGGGACGCCAAGCGCCCCCGGTACGCCGGTGCACTCCATTCAAACTATGAGAAGGAAATCCGCTGGTCACAGTGGTCCTCTCACCAAGATTCTCGTCGCCAATCGTGGTGTGCGCTTCGATCCGTTAATCTGAATGTCTTCTGTCGCTTAGATCTCGTTCATTTGCAGGAAATCGCTATCAGAGTCTTCCGTACTGCTCATGAGCTCGCTATGCATACCGTCGCGATCTACTCGTTCGAGGATCGTCTCTCGGCTCACCGCCAGAAGGTATGTATGATGTTTGATATAGCGAATGTTGCTAATCGGGTATCAATTAGGCCGATGAAGCCTATCAAGTCGGGAAGGGGCTGACACCCGTTGGCGCATACCTTGCCCAGGAAGATATCATCCGCATCGCTCTTGAGCATGGAGTTGACATGATTCACCCTGGGTGTGCTACCTAATATTTCCTTCACTATCTTTCGCTGACAATTGTCTAGGTACGGTTTCTTATCTGAGAATGCTGAATTCGCTCGCAAAGTCGAGCAGGCCGGTATCGCATTTGTCGGGCCATCACCCGAAGTTATTGATGGTCTTGGCGACAAGACGAAAGCGCGTACACTTGGTGGGTGATGGTGCTTTGGCATCTGGTACCCTATATGCTCACTGGAATGGTCCCATCAAGCTATGAAGGTCGGCGTACCATGCGTACCTGGTACACCTGGCCCAGTTGCCTCATACACAGATGGTGACGCGTTCATCAAAGAATACGGTTTCCCAGGTTGGTCGATATTCTCCTTTTCGCTTTCCTTCTGACACCATTTTGCCGCATATAGTCATTATTAAGGCTGCTATGGGTGGTGGCGGCCGCGGAATGCGTGTTGTTCGCGAACAATCAGACTTCAAAGATGCGTTCGAGCGTGCCGTATCCGAGGCTAGATCAGCATTCGGAGATGGCACTGTCTTCATCGAGCGTTTCCTTGAGCGCCCCCGTCACATTGAAGTCCAAATCCTTGCCGACGGTATTGGCAACACGATTCACTTGTTTGAGCGTGACTGCTCCGTCCAGAGACGTCACCAAAAGGTTGTCGAGGTCGCACCTGCAACCCACCTCCCTGAGGAAGTACGTCAGGCCATTTTGTCGGACGCGATCAAGCTCGCGAAGAGCGTCGGGTACAGGAACGCTGGAACAGCGGAGTTCTTGGTCGATCAGATGGGAAGGCACTACTTCATTGAAATCAACCCTCGCATTCAAGTCGAGCACACCATTACTGGTACGATGTCCAGACATGAAATAAAGCGCTTCTAGCATTGCTTACTCGGAATGCAGAGGAGATTACTGGTATTGATATTGTTGCGGCCCAGATCCAAATTGCTGCTGGTGCTACCCTGCCTCAACTTGGTCTGACCCAGGAGGCCATCACTCGTCGTGGGTTCGCGATCCAGTGCCGTGTTACAACAGAGGATGCGGCTACAGGTTTCCAGCCCGATACTGGCAAAATCGAGGTGTACCGCAGTGCTGGCGGCAATGGCGTTCGTCTCGATGCATCCTCTGGCTTTGCAGGTGCACAGATCACGGTATGTGTCCAACCGTATCCTGCGTCTGGGGTTATTCTGAACACCTTACCTTGGGCAGCCCCATTACGACAGTCTGTTGGTGAAGTGCACTGTAAGTGGCACAACCTACGAAGTTGCTCGCAGAAAGATGTTGCGTGCTTTGGTCGAGTTCCGTATTCGCGGTGTCAAGGTAACTGCCCTTAGTCTTCGTATAGAAACGCGTCTGACACTGCCGATAGACAAACATTCCCTTCTTGTTCCGTCTCCTCACCCACGACGTCTTCATTGGTGGCAAGACATGGACCACTGTAAGTGATCACGTAGAAGTAAGGCCTATAAGACGCATTTATGAATGTTTTTATGCCATCAGTTCATCGATGATACCCCTGAGCTCTTCAAGTTGGTGCAGAGCCAGAACCGGGCACAGAAACTCCTTTCATATCTTGGTGATCTTGCAGTCAATGGAAGCTCCATCAAAGGTCAGACCGGCGAGCCAGGCCTTAAGGACGAGGTCGTCATTCCCAAATTCGAGAGCCGTGACGGTACAGATGCACCCCTTGACACTACGTTCCCTTGTGAGGTTGGATGGCGCAACATTATCGTCGAGAAGGGTCCCGAAGCTTTCGCGAAGGCCGTCCGCGAATACCCTGGAACTCTCATCATGGACACAACTTGGCGTGATGCGCACCAGTCGCTACTCGCTACCCGCCTTAGGACGATCGACATGGTCAACATCGCCAAGGAGACCAGCTATGCCCTTGCGAACGCATTCAGTTTGGAGATGTGGGGTGGGGCCACCTTCGATGTCGCCATGCGCTTCTTGTACGAAGATCCTTGGGAACGTATGGTGCGCGGTTTGCAATAAGTTGGAGGAGCTCGAACTAACGTTTGTGCAGCGTACCCTGCGTAAGCTGGTGCCCAACATCCCCTTCCAGGCTCTTGTTCGTGGAGCCAATGGTGTCGGGTACACAAGTTACCCGTGCGTGCCCTCTCTTTGTCACCTAATGTCTGGCTGATTTCGTGTAGTGATAACGCGATCTATGACTTCTCGAAGAAAGCAGTCGAGAATGGTCTTGATATCTTCCGAGTGTTCGACTCGCTGAACTACTTTGGTGAGAGCGATACATCTATTGAATATTCTCGATTGCTGACGGGTTCCCTTAGAAAACGTGAGGCAAAACATACCAAATCATCATGAGACTGTACTAACTTTCATTTTAGATGAGACTCGGTATTGATGCTGCCAAGAAGGCAGGAGGTGTTGTTGAGGCCGTCGTCTGCTACAGCGGTGATGTCGCAAGTCCGAAGGAGACCAAGTACACGTTGCAATACTACCTTGACTTCATTGACAAGCTGGTCGAAGAGGGAATCCACATTCTTGGTGTCAAGGACATGGCTGGGTTGCTGAAGCCTGAAGCTGCAAAATTGTACTTTAGCAAGCACTTTTTTTGTCCAATTCACAAACACTAACCCATTTGCAGGCTTATCGGCGCGATCAGGGAAAAATACCCTGATATCCCAATCCACGTCCACTCCCATGACACAGCCGGAATTGCAGCAGCTAGTATGCTTGCGGCGGCGGCCGCTGGTGCTGATATTGTTGATGTTGCCATTGATAGTAAGTCGTTGTCATCTGCGAATGGCGAACTACATGTTCAACAATTCCGACAGGTATGTCTGGTCTGACATCACAACCCTCAATGGGAGCCGTGTGCATGGCACTTGAGCAAACGCGATTGGGGACGGGCATCCGCTACGCCGACATCCAAGCACTAAACTTGTATTGGAGCCAGGTTCGCATGCTCTACGGTTGCTTCGAAGCCAATGTCCGGGCCTCGGATTCAAGTGTTTTCGACCATGAAATGCCAGGAGGTCAATACACGAATCTCATGGTGAGAGTGGCGTCTGGAACGCATTTAGATTTTGCGGCTGAGCGATTTCATAGTTCCAAGCGTCGCAATTAGGTCTCGGCACTCAGTGGACCCGTGAGTGTTTCACTTACCAGTAATTCACATTTCCCGACCTTCGAATCCCAGAAATCAAGCAGAAATACATTGAGGCCAACCAACTGGTGCGTTTTTTTTCTGCGCGTCGTTTCCCACTCCATCTAAGTCGTTCCCTTCAGTGTGGCAACATTGTCAAGGCATGCAATTACCTGTTTAACTTCGTGCAAACCCTAACAGAACTGCTAGGTCACGCCCTCGTCCAAAGTAGTTGGCGATTTCGCGCAATGGATGACATCAAACTCGTTCTCCAAACAGGACGTTCTCGATCGTGCTGACCAGCTTGATTTCCCTTCCTCTGTTGTAGAGTTTTTCCAGGGCTATCTTGGACAACCTGTGGGAGGTTTCCCTGAGCCACTTCGTTCGAACATCATCAGAAACAAGCCAAGAATTGATGGACGCCCTGGTGCAACCATGGCACCCTTGGACTTCAAGAAGATCAAGGCAGAGCTCCGCAGCAAGTTTGGAAAGCACATCACGGACGCGGATGTTACCTCATATGTCATGTATCCTAAAGTACGTCGTGCCTTACACTCCCGCGATACATATTCTGAAGCCATGTTAACTCCGTCAGGTCTTCGAAGAATACCAGGGTTTCCTTGAGAAATACGGAGATCTCAGGCGAGCAACCTAATGTCTCCGTGTGATGTTCATAGATGGACTTATCCTTTCCCCAGTGTTCTTCCCACACGGTACTTCTTGGGGCGACCGGCCACTGGAGAGGAGATGCACATTTCGATCGAAAAAGGAAAGACATTGATTATCCGCCTGATGGCCGTTGGGCCTGTTGTGGAAGGACGTGCCCAACGTGACGTCTGGTTCGAAGTTAACGGCGAGGTCGATAACAATAATGTGACATGCGAATATCTTGCTGACATTTCCCCTTAACCACAGGTTCGGGCTGTGTCTGTCGAGGACAAGAATTCCGCAGTAGAAACAGTTTCGCGGGAGAAGGCGACGACTGACCCCGGATCAGTGGGTGCACCCATGTCAGGTGTCGTAGTTGAAGTCAGAGTGAAGGAGGGCCAAGAGATTAAGAAAGGCGACCCTCTTTGCGGTAAGGAACGATTGTTTGCCTTTACATTTCTGTCTGACACAAATCTTTTTTTCACCTAGTATTGAGTGCGATGAAGGTTTGTGTGAAACCCTGTGAAGATGACAACCTGCTGACGTTTGGTCCACTACAGATGGAGTCTGCTGTTACTGCACCTGTTTCTGGTCATATTAAACGCGTGGTTGTCAATGAAGGCAAGCCACATTCATTTCTCCGGAACACGGAGTTAGCCTAACATGACTGTATAGGTGACTCCATCAATCAGGGAGACTTGACGGTGGAAATCGTCCACTAAGGCAAGGATCTTCTCGAGCATACGCGAACTGATGTCACCATTAGTTGTATTATGGTTTCATGGAATGTATATCACACTATTACCACCGGAATCAATGGTGTTCCTGTCGGTTATTTCCCCACACGTTTAGAATATCGCAGGGACATGCAGCAAGCGAAACAACTTGTCCAAATAGGAAAGAAAAAGGTCCTAGGTTCACGGAAACAAACGATTTGACATCAGGTGGCAATGAGTGTTGATAGAAAAGTTAAACGTTCCATCATATCCGCGTGCAGTTCCCGAACAACAGCCTACACGCATAGATCAGTTGACAGCCTAATACGTTGCAATTTAGCGAGTCAAACTGACCTGTGCTGTCTGAATTTCTGTGACCAAGCCAACGCCAGTACCTGCCCAAACCAACATCTGGTCGGGATCCCTATTCTGTGTTGCCCTGTTAAAATTATCTCGAACAATTTCGAGGTCAACACCATCGTCCACATCTTTCACTGTCTTGTTATAGATGGCACGACCATCAACGCCTTCCGGCCAATCCAGAGTTCCTCTAGCGCGGTCAAATGCCGTCGTGCGCACTGTGGCATTTGCGTTGGCCATAACAAGCACCTTCTTTTGCACCTCATTATAGAAGCTCTCTTTCGTCATCAAAAATCGGGTGCCGAGCACCACGCCAGAGACTCCAAGAGCAAGGAGAGAGGCAACGTGACCACCAGTTGACAGTCCACCGGCAGCAAGAAGTGGGGGACCGTCTTTGGGCAACACTGCCAAAATAGAAGGCACCAGCGTGAGAAGCGGTGGCGCGGCGCTATACCCATGACCGCCAGATTCTGACCCTGCGAGAATGTCCATGAGAGGAAAATTCAAACCAATCCGAAGGAGGTTGGGGAAAAACCTTGAGCTACTAAGACGTCAACTTTCCAGTCCTGAATGGCAGTGAGAGCCTCTTTCACTGAGGAAACTTGTACAAATATCAGTGTTTTCTGCTTCCGCCCGGAACTCGCATCATAAGAGCGGACGTGCTCGATCCATCGACCTATACTGTTGCCGAACGCGAGCCAGATGGCCTGGACTCTGTTCGAAAGGGAAACGTTAAGCAGTCCAGCGGCAGAGGAGGGATCTTTCTCCAGTTGCCAAGCCAGATACCCCACACCGACTGGAAGAGGATCTGTGTCTGATAGGCAAAGTTGCGCGCGAGCCAAGGATAGCTCTTCTTGAATGCGAGAAGAGGTCAGGTACCCTTGGTGATTTATTTAGAAAGCTACTCGCAAAAGGTGCGACGGACTCCACCTGCACCGACAAATCCAAATGCTCCGGCGGCAGATGTCTGGGCCGCCAATGCGCCACCGCTAGCACCCGCCATGGGCGCAGCTACTACAGGAGTAGGTATACCTGCGAAAGTCTTCAGATGAGTGCAAAAACATATAGGAGCAAGTGAACACACCCATCAGGGCTGTGAAATCATTGTGAATCTTTGACATATCGAGGGATACAGACGGGGGAAAGAAAGCCAAGATCCGTTTATATGCACTGCGATTGTATGTGTTTCAATGAGAACACTTTGTCGGGCGAATTTACCGATGCTAGATGACTGTTGGTCCGATGGTGACTGACAAACGCCTAAACAAAAGTCAGCATGATTTTTCAGCCGTGGCAGAGATCGCGCAACCGCTAGGCAATCGTATGATCAAGCAGAAATGGCATAAAAATTGATTGCATGCAAGACGCGAGATGATGATCTTACTGCTGAGCGCTGAATGGCGCGCGTCAAGCCTTCGAGAAACAGTGGGCCAACTGTTTGCCATTGTTTGTAGCCGTCAACTCTATCTCGTTTCTTGTCATCATCTGCATCTCCAGACCATAATCCTAATCGACCATCATGGTAAGTCCTCATCAGAACTGTTGCGCATGGCGCCTGATTATCGTGCTTTAGCCTCCCCCAAAATCCAAAGGAGGAAAAATGCTGGGCCTCATCAATTGGAGGCTCAAAGTGACCATCAATGACGGACGCGCGTTGACAGGTCAAATGCTTGCATTCGACAGGCATATGAACCTTGTCCTGGCGGACTGCGAAGAGTTCAGACGCGTTAGACCCAAAAAAAAGGCCGGAGAAACTGAAACGCCTGCTGAGCAAGAGATGAAGCGCACCCTAGGTCTTGTGATTTTACGAGGAGAGACAGTCGTCAGCTTAAGTGTTGAGGGGCCTCCGCCAGTTGTAGACGAGGACAAAAAGAATGCGGTATGTCATGTGCTTTTAATTCTTCAGTCAGGATCTTATATATATGTGTGTGTTGCATTCAGCTGCCTGTTGGGCCTGGTCGTGGAATGCCTGCTGGTCGTGGAATGGGAATGATGCCCCCCAGTACGTTAATCGCTACACACCGAAATCATGTCGCTTACTATATATTTAGTGGGTATGCCCCCCATGGGTCGTCCTCCAATGCCCTTTGCCCCACCGGGCATGCCCGGTCCCCCTCCTGGCTTTCGTCCTCCTGGCTTCCCTCCAGGCGGACAATTCCCTCCACCACCAGGCTTTGGTGGTCCCCCTCCCCCTGGGTATTGTCCTTTATTTCATTTGAGCGCACTGCCGATCCTAATTGCCTTTTCAGCTTCCAACCGCCTCCCCAGTAAAGTCACTGCTGCTCCTTGTTGTTTGATCAAATTGTTGTGCGCGGCAGACGAAATCTCGAACGTAGAGGTGAAAGCAGGGCAAGTAGTTTTGCTGGAATGTTCGTACGTTCGCAACATGTACCTCCGAGACCTCTTAACTCCGAAAGGTTTGTTGTTGTACCATTTCACTAACAAACCAACAGCACCGTCTCACATCGGTTGCCGGTTGGAGTCTGCTCATGTTGGTTGTAGAATGTACAATTTTTTTGGGAGTCATGTGTGTAAAGATGTGTTAAGTTGCTCTCCAGCAAAAAATGACGGGAAGTTAGGAGTGTGTCTCGCTATCTGGAAATATGCTCTTAGTGAGTTTGGGTGTTGGTGCTAATCCTTGATGGAACAGACCGATGATCGGCTTCGAGCGAGCGTGTTTTTAAACTTAGATGAGTACTCGAGCATTCATCCATATCTACTTGGCTAGTCTCCCCCAGACAGATGAATGAAGCTAGTCGTTCCTTATCATATTCACTGTCATCCCGAATTCGCATATCGCGCAATTCTTACATACAACATGGTCCTCCGCCGTCAGTTGGACATCCCCAGCTGGTGTCGAATGGTCTGTACCTTCCTGACTCGGAATGGCTGTGGGATCATTTTTAACCTGGTACTTTGTTGGTACTTCTATACTTCCCCCTGGGTGCCTTCATCTTGCTCATGGGGATTGGCGCTGTCAGTCCAACTTCTTTGTTCCTGTCAAGGTCAACAGTCTCCGAGGATACCCCGAGTCCGTGCTTCACATTGTGTCATTGATAGAACCGTTGACGGCCGTGGAATGGGATCCTTCTATCAGCGCTGTACCATTTGCGAGTACAATGCGCAGCGCTGCTGCTAATAGTAGCACAATGAGTGTTCTATTGCCATATACCGCGTCATCATATAAATTTATGATAGAACCCAAATATTGGGCCGCTGACGTGGAATCATATGCATATGCTGCCCCACCTCCACATATCATGGGTCAACCCTGAACGACGCGAGCTCATAGTGCGGCCCTCCGAACGCGCTGTTTCCGAGCCACTATGATGGAGATGCATAGGCGTATCATGATATCCTTCGTATCAGCGCCATTCCCGGCAAAGATCAAGGAAGTGAAGCAAAAACACGACATCCCTTCTTTTCGTTTGATAATCCCTTATCGCCCTCTCACCATGAGCGAAATTTCATTGCCATGGTTGGATTGGTTCCTTTTCGTATCTCAATCTTGGGCCTTCGGTTTTTGGATCTTTATCTTGGACTCAGTGAGCTGTCCGTCGTCGCACGTGTGTTCTTGCAATTGCAATTGCACGAAATTGGATCTCATGTCATTTTGGACTTGACTGATAGATGTCATTTGCAACCCAAGTACGCGTTCAGCAAGAGTATGATAGCTGGTCGAGTCGATCTTCTTAGAGCGTATGTTCCATACTTGTGCGTGAGTGCCAAATTTAAAGACAATTTTGACTTTTCAAGCTAGTCACCTCTAGGATTAGTAGACCAGGAGCTGCCGACAAGCGAGCCCTATCATGGCTACTGTAAGTCGCAAACGGCATGTACTCCACAATACCCGGCGGGCCGTTGACAGGAGTCTACTTCTTGTTTCGCTGTTATTCGCTCTACCGCAAGCAACAAGCGTTTGGTGCTATCAATAATCTCCAGAACGTTAACTTCCCAGCTTGGTCTCAAAGCGGACTAGTCGATGACTGCGGTGGTAGTTAAGACCACACGAAATTAGGCAGGAAGAAGGGGCACCTGACTTTGTAACCCCTTGCCAAGCTGAAAATCCTTTGAAACTTTAGGTTGACAGAGGGTACTTAGCATGCCGTGTCTTTGGCACTAGAGCCTTGAACCAAGCTCCTCCCGAATGATGATGAATATTTGATGCGTGCCAAGGCTTCGGGTTGTCGGTTTGTGTCTGTTTGCGTTTGGAGGGACGCCACTCCACTCATCGATAGTTATTTGCGATCAATCGGAGGCGCGGTTCTGCTGTCAGGTGGCTGGAGCAGCTTGATGCGCCGCGCCGTCCATCATATCTGTTTTTTTTTTCTGATTTGTGGACCAAGGTCCGGGTGCGACATATGTGTGTGTTATAGCCCCCGACTCTCAAGGGCAGCACAGGTTCGTCGTCTTTCATACCGGAACGGAGGTTAATTGTTCAGAGGTGTTTCCCAGCCTCTGTCAAGAGGTTGCAATAAATTCACCGTCGTCCGGTGTTTTATTTTTTTTCCGGTTGGGGCGGGTGACCACCACCATCTAACCCTCACATCTCTTCACTCCTCCTACTCTGCATAACGACCATTGGAGCGGCCTCACACAGGCGTGGATGTAGGACTGCCAGCGTCTAACACATGATGGGTGGTGTAAAAGTTGTCCCGTCGGGCGTCATATGAAGTTTCAGGGCACCGCCAAATTGTTTCGTGCAAGTCGCGCAATTGAAGATATGTGGGACCTGAGAGATATGAAGTGCCAGTATATGGGTACACTACCGGTGTCCTGACCTGGCGCTACCCTGACCGTCGGACATGGATGAATGGCTATCATGCCAACTGGTGCAGGGTTCTGCACGGCAGGCCGGAGCATGATGCGTGCATAAACTCCGCCCTAACAGGTGTGCCGCTGGTTGTACTCGGAAACGTTGCGTAAGCAAACGTCGTGACATCACCTTTACATCCCCTTATCTGATAACTGAGTGAGGTGTATGAGTCCCACACCAAGTCAGAGGGCAATTGCAAGTTCGCAACGTTTGATTGATGACGACGAATTGGTCAAGAATGTTCTACTGAAATCCATTCAAGGGTTCTTCTTCGCGACGCTGGTATTAAATATTTCTTTCCTCCAATCCCATTATGCCACCTGGTCCATATCTATTGCGACATAATGACATGATCACCCTACTTTGATCCACACTGCTCTAGTGACTCTACATAGTCCCTACGACGGTTATCGTCGTTCCAGACCGGAATTTGCATTTGTACACAGCTCGAAACTTGTTCAAGCCCAAAATAGGAAGAACAAAGATGAGCACAGTGGCGGGGTGTTCCAATTTTGAACATGTCGAAAACAAAAAGGCCCAGTCACGTCTCCCGCCCCCCGACGCCACCGGTTGGCGCGGCCAGTCGTAACACTCGCTTTGGTTCTAGCTGCGCATCAAGGAGCGGAAGTATTCTCTAGACTTAGCTAACCCGTTAGCTTGGCAATTAACCTTTGTCCGTGCGGTAGCGCTTTGATGCGGTGCTTGTCTGTCAGAGTTTCTCCATTCTTCAGAACATCATACATGATGACATCCTGTTCGGCTCACTGTATAGCCTATTATTCCGATGTCGGCGTATTTTTTTCCTAATCTGCATCAAACCAAAATCGAGCGTGCAAAAACCCCACAGGTAGTAGCGTCACGGTAGCCTGACAGCTTGATCTGCATGTGCCTAGTCCGTCAAGGTACTTTTGTTCTATGAGCGCCGTGAAAAATTCTTCATGTCCAAGGCGGTGCTCGTCCAAGGAGCCGCAGCCAGTTTCCTATTACATCGTGTTCCCGATGGTCCGATTATCGATATGATTTGGTTGCGCAAAGACAATCAGAATGTCATGTAATGGCTTATCACCATCATTCATGGCGTTAGTGAAAGTGGGTGCATGGGCTAACCGGTGCAGATCTGGTTTCCATGCGCAGTCTTCTGTGGGAGAAGATGCAGCTACACGTGCATCGTGGACCATGTCTTTGAAAACTCACCCAATTAGACTTGTTCTAAGAATACGATGGTAGCATGTTATCAATCAGAAGAGCGAGAGAAAGCAAGTGAAATTCAAGGCTAAATAGACCAAGGGAGTGAGAGTCAAGTGACGAGGAGCAAAGGAAGGACGCACGCTGACACCAACTACTCGGTTTAACCGGTTTCATTAATATAAAAATCAATGAAAGCCCTCGGAATCTTCCACTGAGCCCCCCAAAATAAAAGTGTGAGGGATCATCATCGAGGGATGCATGGGTACTATGTTGATATCATTTGGTAAATCACGAAGCGGAAACGAGTCACTTTGCGCAGTAGGCTAGGAGCCTTAGGCGAAGCGTAACTTTCCGAATTAACGCCATGATGAGAGTCAAGTTTCAAGTTGAACCCTACTACCATTCAATTGATTACGGTAAAAACGTATGAATCACGATGCTATGGCCTAGGCCTGGGATATACTTGCGAGAACCGGACTACCAGAGTCATAATACAAAGTATAACGACTGCTGTCAGGTTAATCAAATCGGCAAGCGTTTCCCTCGAGAACATGTTTCAGGGTTTTAATCGGAAAATTCCGACTGCCCATCTTTGCCAGCAGCGAGCTCGACCGAACTGACGCAGACATTAAAAAGATATTTCGGAATCCCTGGCCTCCGCCACGGCAGAATCTCTCCATGCGATTCTTCCACGTACGCAAGCATGTTCGGATGAATCCGCGTCACCTCATAATTCACCGGACGAAGCGTGAAGGGGGGGCGCTCTAGCCCCAGGCGCTACTGTCAGCACACCCGACTTTCTCGCGTCTCTCCAGATCGGCAACATGTCACCCAACCGTATACGTACATACGTGTCCTCAAACACGAAACCCACAAGTCATCCTTGCCGCGGCTCCCGATTTTCACGTAGGGGGGGGCACCTAGACCCTCGCCTCCAGGCACACCATTGTTGATAGCATCAAGCTTCCTCGACCGGAATCGCCCTTGCCGCGTCGACACTTTCAACGCCGACGTCTTAACGGCGATTTCCAGCATTTCTCTCGCTTCTCTTTGACAGCGAAACCCCGCGTTTTTTCCAAGATCGTCTACCGCACCACGCGGCTATGGGACTTGGCCTCTCCCGCGAAGAGCGATACTACTGTCAGTGTCAGACAGGACAGGATGCCACACCAGCTATAGCCAAGGGACGGCATTCAATCAGAATTAAAAATTTTCCACATGCAGTGCAAGTTGACAAGTGACAGTGATGGATGAATGCGTACAAGGGTCGTTCCGCAAGTTGCAGATCACATGAATCGTCGTTTTTTTATTTGCCTTTTGACCAACAAGCAGAGCATTCGACGATCACTTGTTCAAATCAAACCATGTTCAGAATTCTACCCACGTTTCACATATGTTCTGTATAGAATATCTTTTTCATAGGTTTCCAACCAGAAAATCTGTTCAAAATCGATTCCGTTTGGCTTGTTGCCAAAATCTATTGTACAATAAATCAAATACCATATCCAGGAGTGAGACGTGTTTATGCAAGTGCAACGAGATCTATGTGTATATGCATGTATATACAGTGTGTGAGGAGTGAGAAGGAGTGTGTGTGTGCGAAGAAGAAAAAAATAGCGAGAAAGTTGAATGATTGTGATTGTGGGGTGCTCAAAAAGTCAAGCAAGCGTCGAAAGGGAGAAGGAAAAGTGGTGTACAAGATGCACGGAGAGCGTTCCTGGGTTTTGAAAGGGGGGAGTATAACAAACAACAACCATGAGGTGGATTTTTTTTTCGTTTCGAGGGAGAGTCCATAAGTCAATTGCGTGAATGAGCGCCTATCGGCACGAGGCGATTTTGCGAATATGCTGAGTGAGGAAGGGGTGATAGTGATAATGAAAAAGACGCGCAGCACCTCATGGCGCGATAACACGACCGCCGCGACGACCTCGGGCGTCCACTCGCTTCGGCGCCATCAGGAGGATGGAGGAACCCGAACTCGAGTTGGAAGGGGAGAGCGAAGGAGAACGCGTCTGAGGCTCGTACTTCTGTTGGAAGTGGTGGTGGTAGTGAGCCTGGGGCACGAAACTCTCGTCGTCGTCGTCGTCATCCAAGTCAAACTCGGCAGCCCGGCATGAAGGAAAGACAACGGGCGTAGGGGTGTGGGAGTCAGTGGGTGTTGAGCGGTCACGGTCATTAAAATGAGTTGCTTTCATAACGGCGAATTTTTGGCGTATGATGGGGGCAGGCGGAGGCGACTGGATAATCTTGGATTTTTTTTGGCGGGGCGGCGAGGTCTTGGAGGATAAATATGGTGGGAAATATGATTTGATCTCTTCTACGACTTCCTCGTTTGTGGACTTGGCATGTTCGCGGTCGCGGTGAACCCACGAGCGAACGAAAGCGCCAATGCCGAAGGGGGAGTCACCTTCATCTGGAGTAGCCACGAGCGGCTCGCTCAAGAGACTAGTAAGGGAAGTGCTTGCTTCACTCATGCTGGCAGTGGTGTTGGACGCCGTATTGCCATTAAAGTAAGCGCAGTGCGTGCTGCGCGTGGGGGGGAGAGGTCGTACTTGGGCTGGTGATGAAACGCAGAGTGTTGGGACGGGTGCCGTAGCGGATGTACGCTCAATCAATTTGGGCGTTGCTTGAAAGCGGGCACGAGGTGAAGGGGAACGACGAGTTGACTGAGTGGATGCTGAAGCAGATACCTCCGCAAAGGGGCAAGAGGGTGCGCCAGCAGGTACATGCGGCGGGATAGCGGCAGCCCATTGATGAATGCGGTGAGTGTTGGGTGCAGGAGTCGCTACTGGAGCAGCGAGCCTAGATGCTGGTTGAGCAAATGAAAGACACTCTGGTGAGCAATATGGACCTGAAGCGGTCGTCAGACCATCCTGTAGTTGAAGTTAGATATGATCAAGGAGAAGAGGGAAAGAATAATTACAAGTCTGCGATCACACGAAAGACACCAGTCGACGTCCATGCCTTGTAAATACTGAAAGAGAGGAGGAGGAGGATAGCTTCAGAGCTGAGCTGAGCTCTGCGGAGGACTTGAAAATGTTCTGAGTAGGGCAAGGCAAGCAACTGCTTCCCCCTCATTTCTTGTGAACGTTCTTATAAGGGCCCTCCCTTCTCGTTCACAACACCCAATTTGGGAAGTACGATCGAGATCGTGTGTTTATTAAACGAGTTAATTAAAGTATTTATTTTAGTTGTTTATTTTTATTTTATTTGTCAAGAAAAGAATTTGATTATGATTCTTCTCACCAGAGTGACCTCTGAAGAAAGATAAGAAAAGTTGTAACCAACCCTCATAGTCGGCACTATCCGGCGTGACCAGGAGGGTACCGTCCCCCCCCCCTCCCTCATCATCACAGGGGAGAGGGGGACCTTCACCCATTTCCCGGTACCGGTTATAGGGAAACGAACAAGCAAGTCAGCATATCAGCACCCTGACTAGCGATCCTGTGACAGGAACCTTGGGTTAGTTCTTTGCCGTATCTGAACCAAGTTGGTGAGAACCTTGCCTGGCGGAACCTTGTCTGCCGTTGTTCTGCCGTAGTTCAACGTTCAAGCCCTCGAAAACAAGTCTCAAACTCTCTGCTCTCACGAAATGCCCACCTTCGCCACCTAACTTATCGTCCACTTCCTTGTGGACAAAGAAGAAAAAAACGCTGAACACGTAGACTAAGTGTTTTTGGGTATACGTGTGTGTGTATTTGGTATGCACCCTTGATGGCACCTTGCAAGGTTTGAGTTTAACCCCAACTTGGTTCTCGCTTCCTCACCAAATACATGCGCAATTAGTTCATCGCATGATACTATCAACGTATCCTCTGGCACTGCAGTTCATGAAAAAGAAGTCCCCCCCCCTTTCATTTACGCTCCCGCCCTTATCCTGCCAATACGTATCATGGTCATGTTGAATCATCATCTCATCTTGGGTCAATTCTTCACCGTCAGTGATCTTCTCCGTGTGACTTCTGCCACTGAGACCGACCGCCACCTTCCCAAGTCGACAAACATAGATTTTCCTTGACTTTCCATCAATGATGATCTGCCCAACTTGACTTTTATCTTGTTGCCTTGAAGCTATCCTCATTGACCGGTTACCGCTGGAACCAGCAAGAATGAGCCTATTGATCCTCCGATATGGCATATCATTCAACAAGCCACATATCATTTCAGATACGCATATATAGTCGCCTGCCACCACCCCCCTTCATTTAAAAATCTTGGTTTCGACTTGCCGCCGCATCAGTCAGGGCTTTCAGCCCCCAAAGCCAAATAGATTCACAAGTGGCGCCCTGTAACGCCACGAATCAAAAACCATTGATCCCTAAGCCGACGCCAGCGCTATGTAACCTTATCCGTATCTTGTCTCCCACTCATTGGCATCTTGGCCATGAGTCATCCCAGTCGGGGCATGCGCCATGATTTCATTGCTATGCTACGAGAACTTAATGGTGTGATACGATACGAGAGTTTGTGACTATTGTCTGATCGGCGGGTCACCTATTAGCTCATTCGCCAAGTTCCTTACGTCTGTGTATGGCTAGGACCTTACTCTCGATCAACCGATGCGGCAGCTAGAAATGCTCAGTAGAACCGTCGGAAGACCCTGGCAAGCCGTTACGACCTCGATTGCGGTGCCGACGCACTTATTGAACAAGCGCACATAACTTCGTACGTCCGTTCAACTCAGGGATTCTTCCCTTCGCATGCTCATGCTCATGTTGACATCCATGGGCAGATCTGAGGAACTTTTCTACTTCCGGTGCATCGCGTAGGGAGTTGATCATGTCAATATTGAATTAGAATTTGTCAACCCCCACTCCCCGCCGTATTATCTCCAGCGAGCGACGGATATTGTCATATCATGCTGCTCTCTTGCCAAATACAAGCAACGGACGTACTTGCCCACACAGAAGCTTCCTAATAACTGGATCAGGCTCGACGCGATAGTGTATCACTGATAACTGTCGGTGCATACCTTATCGTCAACTGCAAGTTCCGCTAGAGTTTGCGTTGTCACTCCTCGTTAATGTTGTCTGGAATGTTCTCCAGGACTGCACCCCAAGTGGATGCGCAGCTCTCCAGAATAGACTTCTCGCTCAGCGCTAGTAGCACCGCCGCTCGGGTCCGATGCATATGCATCGGTGTTACCTAATTGAGGACAAAAGGACAGGGGTCAGCAAATTCGTTCTTGTAACGGCAAGGGAGGCGAGACATGAAGTGATGGGTCGGGTGCATAACGTAGGAAGGCAGCATCGCAAGAACGAGAGGTAAGTTACGACCCCTTGGAGCATAATGACCCGCTTCGAGATAAGTATATTCTGGGAGAACAATGGAAGAAGTAAAGTTTGAATAAGATTCAGCGACGTCATGTCGACCAACGCGCGCTTGATAAAAAATAGTAGAAAGCGTCGTGCTCAGATGGCGAGGGAAAAAATAAGTCGGACTTTCGCCTCGTCCATTCATAGCTGGAGTCTGCGAAGTTCGAGTGGCCAAGAAGAAAGCAACGGGGGAATGCACATATTATCCTTAAACCTGTGGTCCCCGCTCCACGGCTCCACAGGAAGTGAAAGACGAGAGAACGCCGATCAAGGCCCTATCCGAGGGGACACACACACAGGAAGTATTTACCCTGCAGACAAAAGGGGCAAGGATACGCGGTGTTCGAGCCAAACTCCTGGCAGAAAGGAGGTAATACTGGAAACAGTCACCCTGCCCAAATAAGCAGAGTATGAGGCTCTAAGTCATGCACTGGATTGACCGTGTGAAGACTGATTCGCCGTGTCAACCATGATATGAAACGGAAGCAGAAAACATGAAGAGAAGCCCGCCCGCTCATGTTTCAATTGTCATGCCGTCTATCCTCGCAAATCACAGCAAGACCATGGCAACGCAACACAAGAAGATAAAAGGCCGCTTCTCTAGCGCGCCGTTCTCCGCAACCAACTCCCCCGGACGCTGACAAGAAATCACGTTGCAAGCCCCATGCCTTGCAAACTCGCGAAAGACAACATGCCAATTGTTCGCGAGACGTGCCCCACACGAATTGAGAATCCAAGAAAATGAGGTCTAGGAACTCACATCTAAAAGCTCTCCAAGTTCCGCTGCAGTCAAATTATCAGCGTTCACATCGGATATGTGCGCGGAACCGGTATCGTGCTGGCAAAGGTGTACCACGATAAGAGCAAGCGTTTGTGCTACCCGATGGGTGTGCGTCGCCCGTCCGCGTCCTGCGATGGCAGTTAAATTTCCGGTGCTGATTGTTTCTTCAATGGGTGCGGCTGTACGCTTTGATTTTCCATATATATCCAAGGGCAGATCCTCCTGACTAACCACGGTATGGGGACTTGAGTGCCGTAAACGTTTTGGGGGCCGCTCCTCCACCACACTAGATCTTCTTCGCGGACTGCTCCAGACCATCGCTTGTGATGTGCTTGAAGGTACCGAAGGCACATCTAGTAACGTTTGAGCTTGAGGTGATACGGCAGGGCCATCGTATAATTACGACGTCAACTCACTTGTGTGGTACGCACGGGCAAGGAAACATGCGTCCCCACCGGCTCTGATCCCACTGGGAAGGTCGAGACCCAGAGACCTGCTGGCTGGCGCATGGAGACTAGATATGAAACAGGCACTATCTTGCGCGCTGGCATGAACATTGTTTTCGTTCATGGATATTCCGCCTGCGTCGGTTTCGGTTGTCATATGGTTTTGAGTGACATGAATGAAGGGATCGTCCCGATCATCCGAGGGGGTGTCCGAACGTGCAGAGATAGAGACTTCTTCGTCATCATCTCCCGTTTCCGTGGCATTGTCGACATAGTTCTGCACATCCACGAGGTACCGTTTCACGTCTTCCACAAACGATTGGCGCGTAGGCTCATTGTCACTCGAAACAATCGAGTGGGCAAAATTTGTCATGATTTCTGGCGAGCATATGCAGGTAGCAAAAAGAACGCAGAAAAGCCACAGGGTATGCGTCAGCTTTCCCTCGGAATTGATGTTGAAAGCTTCGGGAAGAGCAGAATCTGGATCATCCCGTAGAGACCATGGTGACGAGACTGAGGAAGCATTATAGACCATTCCAGTGTCACCTGCTTCGTCCCATCTGGGTTCAGTGGTCCACAGACTGGCAAGATGCGAATATATTCGTAAGAATAGGCTCGCAAAGTCGTCTGCTACGCGAATGCGGTAAATATACGGAGAATGCCGTTCTACAACGTACTCACCTATCCCGCGCTCATCACCCAATACGCCGCAGTCAGGCAAACTAAAGTTTCTGGAATTAAAACATTACCGCTCATCCACCATATCTCTCCGCTTGTTCCCGTACCTGATCTTTAAACGCCCCTGCGTGTCGGCATCGTTACTACCGTCGGCGGAAGAGTGTACAACACCTATAAGGTTGTTGATGAAGGCGGAGAAGGAGCCGTAACCTAAACTAACGATATCGTGCTCGTTCTCCGGCAGGGTGAAGCCGTACCTGGAAATGAGCTCGGCGTTTGAGAGCGATCCGTATGTGTTGAATACCTCAGAGTGAGGTAGAATGGGCTTAACAGAACACATGTCAAGGGTATCAATCTCAAGCGTCGGATCAGGTTTGGGGACTCCAGGAAGCGAACAGGCCCCTCGGGCAGGAACGGCATGGGTGGTTTCGTGATCATGGTCGCACTCCGCTAGAGATCCACATTCGACACAGACATCAAAGTCGCTCTACAAAAACGAACACTGAAGTCAGCTTGCATCCCTTGCGATAAATGAAATGTTGAAGAGCATGCGTTAGCAAGACGACAGTGTCACGCGACCCACGACCACGTCGTTAACATGTCCGAGTCGGATCAAGATGGAACGGTCCACGAGTCCATGCCCCAAATGCTGATGGGCTCACCTCCATATGCACATGATTCTCGTTGGTGTGATTGAATCTGTTGGGAAAGTTGTTAGCGGAGGAAGCAAAAAAAAATGAGCCAGACTGAAAAAAGACAAGTAGTAGGATGTGGTGCACGTGGTGGCCAACCCGACAATTAAAAAATGCATTCACTTGTAGGGCTCGGATCCTGACACTTGCTCCATAGCGTCAGGTAGCCGCCGGCGAGTCATCCAATCCAGTCTAAATTACAGTCGCTGACGTATTATGAATTGCCGCCGGGATGCCGCGAGCGGACGAAGACGTCAAGCAAAGCAAGCTAGAACTGACTACACCAAGTGGGTCACTGCTTGCAGGCTACAAACCATAATACTCGGCTAGAAGCATCATCATTGATGCGCTTCGGAGGATAGCACATTGCGGGGCACGCAAATTATCAGGACGATAACCCCATGAAGGTCGACTAGCTCACTCCAGGAACTACTATTTGTGGGTCCAACGTAAAATGGACTTCCGCGATGGCATCATGCCATTCATTCATTGAAAACGGATCCAAGCTCAAAAAAGAAAGATAAACTTTGAAAGTCACTCACGCATCAGCAATGGGCACCATCGCAAGACCATGATACGCGTCCACCAAAAACGCGCGGGAAGACACGAGGGAGTAAGCGTGACAGAACCCAGGCAGCGAGGGTTCCACTGAGTTCGACTCATTGCTGCATTCATCGAGACGTGGAATCCCATCTCCTGATATCACATTGACATTGTGCTCGGCCTCCGCTTCCCGAAGTCTGCCAAAGGCTGCGTGTAGCGTGGGTTCCACGATAGAGACGTAGTATTGACGTATTTCATCCTACCGGGTCAATGTGATCAGTTACTAGGCAGTACTTGGAGTGTGACCAAGTGGGATTCGTAGGCCAGAAATGGAATGGAAGAATACATCATGATAATCAAAGAACGCGAAGAGGGGATTGGGGAGAATCGATTACAAGAAGTGAAAGGGTCTGATAGACGCATTTAATAGAGCTCGAGTAGCCATCAAAGGGTATAAAAAACCGGCATAACAGGCGCAACGCCATTGTAGAAATGGTACTCCCCAATCTCAGGGTAACAAAATGTCAAGTAGGGCTGAAGAACTAATTTTGCCAAGAAGAAGACCCGGTTTGGCACTTGAACATGGATCAAGTCCGAGGCGAAGGACTCTTCTATGAGTCGCAGATGATCGAAGAGGGCATAAAGAGACAGAAGTGAAATCTCAACAATAATTTAGCAACCAGACATCATTAGAAGTAGCATCGAGCCAAAACATACATTGAACCAGAACACGAGGAGAAGGCATGTTGACAAGGTAGTTTGCACATAAGATAAGTCAAATTCACAGAAGTTAGCAGAGACGGGAAAAAACGTGCGTCGCCATATGGGAGAATGGAAGTCAAAGGGATAAGTGCCCGTGGAAAATGGCACCGATCATCGGCGGGTGATCCACGAAGGTGGAGGGTAATGGAAATAATGACCTAGCGAGCTCGTGTAGAGCATGCGCATCAGTCGGCCAAGCCGCCAATGTACATGCCCAAGTATAGAGAGCGTGGCCGCCTCGAGATGTCACTAAACCCATCAGTCATGGATGTATCCGAGATCATGATGCGTTCGCGCCACGCTGGTCCAATCCTGTGATACCCTTCTCAATTGACTTCCCGACTAGGCGATAATATCATGGATCATCCCGGAATCGATCATCGCACAAGTCAATCTCGTCTCGCAAGCAAAACGCATCAATTGAGAAAAAGAAGCAAAGCATAAAAAGCGGGACCAATCGATAAAACAGCACTCGAAACGAAGATTATCTTCCACAACACAAAACGCATATCAAAGCATTAAATTGACAGAGGCAGCAGACTTACCGTCAGGCCATCTAGCTCCATTTTGGCTCCTGCACAGGAAAGCCACATCCGAGCTCGCTTACCGTCTAGGTATTGGAGAGACGTAGCACACTCGGGAAATTCCGCACTGGAGCAAGCGGCTCCAATGGCACTTTGCGAAGGAGCTGTGCGTCCGCGGTTTGAGCACACACAGGACCTGAAGTCGATAACGTCCTTGACACCCCAGAATATGGCTATATCGACAATTTCCCGCGGCAGGCTCTGGAGGTATCCGAACCATTTGGAATCTTGGCCTCGCAAACTACACTCACAGCATGAGACACGGCAAAAAAAGCGGTTTTGATACACGATGAACCCCAAGATAGCGTAAGACGGTGGATCCGGATAGGAGTAATTCAGATCCAAGAGCCAGGGAAAGTCATAAATTGTCACGCGACATGGAACCGGTTAATTCGTTCGATCAGGTGTCATTTTTGCGTCAAGTATAGTTGTAGAACGTTGTGAGAGCCCAAGAAGCGGCATCACAGAGCAGTGTGGGAACGAGGCGAATCAGGGAGCGGAGCAGAATGCGCGAGTGAGCTAAAAGTTGTAGACAAAGTCGTAGAAGCATATGAAAAATACGTACATCTCACCATACAGGGCGAGAGCCAATGCAAGATGCGCAGCATGGCCATACGGCGCAGAGGTAATGTCCTGAGAGAAGAAGCATGACTTTGTTGAGAGAATAGTTGCCTTCGGAATGCGTACGACTACATCAACAATAAACAATCAGAATTGGATCGACGGGATTGTTTCAGAAGGAACATCATCATTCTTTTCTTTTCGGCCTACGTATGAGCCTGTCACATCTTGGTTCTCGAATGACTCCTCCACGCTAGAAGGTGGGGTACCCATGCCCATGACCCCAAATATTGGCAGAAGGTTTCCGCTGTATGAGCATCTTGGCTTGCAAGACTCACAGCCAACCAGTAAATTGGGAATTGCAACCATCCAGGCCAAGATATGCAAACCAAACACTCACGGGAACAGGAACAATCAATGAGGTGTTCGAGTGAGTACACGCTAATTCCGCGATCGCGCGAGGAGGTACTGCAGGAACTTTCCGTCCTACCGGCTAACTCTTGATGGTTTCTACTTTCCCGAACTTGTATTCTAGGATCGATTTGGATACCATTCTCGCTGCACCAAGTGAGAAGAATTTTGACTCTGGATGATAACATGCACGATAAGTGCTGTGCGTTTCCAGACTACTTGAAGTTAGTGTTGGTGTCGGATAGCCTAGTGATGCGACTGATGCTGAGGAGACAGCAGTGAAGGTAGCTGCCAGTGGCGCTGTCGGCTTTCGCGGATGATTTTAGGAAGTTGCCGTTGGCTTTGTGGCAATATTTTCCGGGAAATCTCCGCCGCCTGCCCCCGCCGGACCTGCTAAGTCTGTCGGTTATGTCTACTTTTGTACTTAACCTCCTTCTGCCGCTTTGCCACAGGAACCTTCAAGAAGCCCGCTAAGCTTAGGAATATCCCGAACAGCATCAGGCTTGCCACACATTTACTCTCATTTACCATCCCACTGGCCGTTCCAAGTCGTTACTCATGCATGGACTTGGTGTGTGCTAGTACCATGACGGCCGTGGAATTGACCTGCCTGACGTGACTTTTTATCCTCAGACTCGCCGAGAGGTATACTTTCCCCTGTTCAACTCCGAGGATGCCGTTCGCGAAGCGCTGCAGGGTGACACCAACTTCTTGAGTCTTGTCAGAACTGCCAGTTCTGTCAAGACCCAAATGTGTTCGTGTGCGTGCCTGCTTGGCGGCAACGGATACCTCGCACAGGTGATGCTTTGCAGTTAATTTCCCCCTTGGCTGAATGATTTTCATTGCTGATGGCACCTTTCGTCTCGGGACTCTCTTCTGCTTCATGTTAAAGCGCGTGAAATTTTCTCGGGAGAGGAAAAAACCCATGGAACAAGAAGGCGGGCTTGTTTATCCCCAAGCACAAAGTCCTCGGTCCATTTGGCTCGAGGCTGGCGACGCCGTCACGGTCCGTATCTTGTTATTTGCTCTATGCTGGCGCGACCACTGGATTGAGTGTAACTCACTTGGGGCCTCAGGCCCCAGTAAGGAGTCGCAAATTAAGGAGCTGTTCATGACTGACACTCATCCCCCATCATTGGGTAATTGTTTTGTTAAGCAGGGACAAATGTTAACAATGTTGTTTCGTAGGCTAATTTGTCATCGAATACACCATCACCACTAGCTACTTGATTTTCTCATAAGAAATCAGAAGGGGATTTGTTAAGTCCGAGACCAGCGCCTACAAGTCCATTCAAGTGCCGCGGATATCTGTTATGCGCACGGCGAGGTCGGTAGCGCCAGCTTGGTATCTCGCGCCCTCGTTCCCACAAAGCCGAGAGATCGAGCTTACTGGACTTACTTCCCACCTGCAGAGGTTGCAAAGGACATATAACGGCGCGGCGGAACCCGCAGAGCAACCACATGGTTTAGTAGCAAGGCAATGCATAGGGACAAGAAAGGGGGGGTGTAGGACGCGGAGTTAATTGCGGAGATTTGGATGTTGAAGGGGTTGTGTGTTAGCGAGCGGTGGTGACTGTAAGGATATGCGTGGAAGAGGGGCGCAAGGAAGGCGAGTGCTCGACGAATGTTTGACGGGCCATGTCGATTTGGTGTCTGTCCGGCACAGCTTGTCGATACATTACTGATTTTACAGGAGGGAGATGGAGATGACTTCTCCCATTGTATACTTTCTTCAGTAAACCACGAATCCTTCCCGTCGATAGCTTTCCTTTACTTTCTGCCGCAGCGCTTTCAAGTCCTTCATCACTGCTCCAACACGAAAACAGCTCGAAGGCGGCATGAATAACGAAGAGCAAAGTCTCAAGCTTTCTGCAACTCTGCGGGGGCGAGCCGACACACAGCAAATCAGGAAACTAGCAAGAAACCAAACAGAAAGTCGATCAATTCGCATGAGCAGCCAAAAGAAAGACTGAAATCATTCGTCAAGGTTCATGTAGCAGTCCTCAACACCTGACCAGTCTCTTCTTGTAGCATTCTTCGTCAATTTCCGAGTCTAAGTCACAATAGAAAAAAGCAAAATAATTGTTACGTTTGTGGCTCTTTCACCCTCCGAGTCCATATTCACCTTAGAACAATGTTACTGGCAGTGCTGAATAGGAGCACAAGCTAGATCTTGGGCCTGGCCCTGAAGGAACCGGACGGCACCTAACGTCAAGCACAAACGTCTTCAAGAACATGTTCATATCTGCGGAAAGAAACCGGCGCCGTCTGTCAAAACAGGGGTTTATTTTCGTCTCAGATGTAGTTGAGATGTCAGAGAAGACATGCCAACGAGAGCGCCTGTTCAACCAGATAAGCGATAGTTCTACACAGCCTAAGGGGACATTCTCGCCGTCATCAAACCAAAGAATCAAGTATCAGATTCCTCACCTGCGGAGTGACGAGAAGGACAACAAAGATAGAACAATGATACTGGATCCTGGACCTGACATCAGCGCGCCGCGGTGCCAACAGAGTAGCGTGTCCAGTGGTGACGTGAATCAACATCCAGCTGATGGACCAATTGTAACCAATTAAAACGCTGTGCTTTGCCAGGCTTCCGGGTCTACAAATCATGGTGACGAGTCGGGACTTGACCTCCATTGAGAGTTGTCCCTTTGCTGTTGACGTTACTACCGAATGCAAGAAGACTGGCCGATCATAGACGGCCTCTGAATAGGAATGGTACGGCTCACGGACGACGCCTTCGAGAAGGTATGTATCCACATCGCCGTCCCGTTTGCCGAACGAATGTATTCAATCGCGGGTAGGATTGTTCGGTCAGGAAGACTAGATCTGGCTATGTACAGCCGTGATAGAAGACCTTCGCGTCATGGCATTTTGATCAAAGCAGTGCGAGTCTAGTTCACCCCGTCAAATGACATTCGACCCTTTCCGCATTTGAGCATGTTCCACAGGATCTGGTTTACCCGTGCTGGACGCCAAAATAGAGAATTTCTAATTCAGGCCGAGAAACTTAAGGGTATATTCTGCGAAACAAACGAGCAAGAGGAAAAAGCCAATCGTACAGCATGATGGCAGTCTAATGAAAAGTTCAACCAACAGCGTGTAGTGCATAAGAGCTCGATCATGACTCACATATCACATGCAAATTATTGGAAGGATTACTTCCTCTTTGCCATTTGCATGGTCAGGTTGTCGATGTACATCTGCAAGGTCGAATTCTCGGACGTGAGTTTGTCGACGTCCGACTGGACGCTATGCACTCGTGCAACGAGCGCTGAAGATGCGAGATTGGTGACTGCGTGAACCAGTGATATCCAGGAAGAAGTACCTTGTAAATCGCCCTGTGCGGCTGAAATCTCTCTGTAGGGCAATCAGAAGCTTGTGGTCAGATAGTCGAAGGATAACTGACTTGAGAATCTTCTCCTTCCGTATTGCATCCTTTACTATGTCGCCAGGTTGCTGCTCAGGCTCGCCCCAGGCTGTGGCCCCTCCGAAATCATTGAACGACATGGTGTCACATGCTAAGATTATTCACGATCCGCTCGGTCACTATATGCACACAAACCAATCAAAATATATAACAAGTACTAGTACTTGGTGTTAATGATACTTGGCAATTCATTATACTACTGAAAACATCAGCAGTAACGAAAGATTGCTGTTTCGTCGTTTCAGATGTTCCTAGATAGTTCGATGCCAAACGCATACCGGGAAGCATGCGGAATTAAGATGGACAATGACAGTTGTCCATAGTCAGGGAACGCTACTGAGTAACGCCCGACCTCCCGCTTCGCACACCAGCAAAGCGTCTACTCTTTCTTGTCTTTCCCAGCACTGGCACTCCCTTTGGCCTTGAGCTCTTCTTCGATCCTCGCCAGCTCTCTCACCTCTGCACGGCGTGCGTATTCCTGTCCACCCTGTTAGAGAAAAAAACGTCAGAAATAGATATTGGGGGGATAACACAAGAAATAAAACGGAGTTCCGCGATGTGCTCCTCGGGCAGAAAATATTATAAATAAATGTTTCAAGCCGAGCTAAAAAATGGGGGGTTGACTGGCTTCGCGCGGGAAAGCGAGCGTCGCACGATGGAAGAGGAATGAAATTGTCTGATCATTACCTGAAGCACGAGAATGGCACCAAGGACTACCATCATGATGGTGTTACCTGCTGAGAGTATTCGCATGGCTTCGATACGGTCCGCACGTGTGTCGACATCAACGGGGGTGACAATGGTTCGCAAAGATGGAACTGTCACTCCAAGGTAGACAGATACTGCGAAGATGTAAGCCGCTAGTTGAAATATTGAGCAGCGTATCGGAGTAGGTCAAAATTTGGCCCCCACCCAGACTTGATCCATCAAAAAAGATGGCGCTCTCATCCCATTTAACCAGTTTTGCTACAAGTCCGAGAATACCAACCCCAATGAAGCCATGTAGCACCGCCTGTGACGGTGAGCATCATCCCTCCTGACAAAGGAAGACAAACCTTGATTGCGGGCGGTGCATTGAAGAAAGTGGCATAGAATTGGAAGCCGTCTGTGATGATCTCCTCCGTCAAATCCTGGTGCAGAATGCGGTAATCAACAAAGAAGCAGATGAAGAGGACACCTATTGCAGAAACACTAAGTTAGGTCTATCGAGAGATATGAGTTGAGGTCTCACCAAGAAAAAAAGAGCACGATGCGAGGATAGCGCCTTGTCTGAATCCCATCTTCAGGGTTACGATATGACTAGTAGTACTACGGCGTAAGTAACGGAACTTCTAACTTGTATTCAAGAATGAACGTGCTCACCGAAACTCAAATCAAGATATCAAGTTCGTCCAGGTCTTCGGATTCAGGAAGACCTATATATTATCTGTGCAATCCCCAGCCAGAAACAGAGAAAATTAGCAGGGCAAAGTTTTGAGATCGTTGGGGCAATGTTGGTTGTCTGTCCTACGTGGCTGGTACCAGGAGTCCCCACCCAACTCCATGACCCCGACGTCCAATCAATTGCATAAAGGTGCCTGTGGTGCCTTGTCCTTGGCAAGTCCGTGAGTCTCGCAACTTGATATCAACGAGCTCACTTGGTGCTTCATTGAACTTCATTCTCGCCATCTGAGAGTCTCAAGCGTTTCGTGCATGATGGGCAACCCATGATATTTGGCAGCATCTGGCTCGATCATCACGGGTGCGCGACGTTCTTGATTAATTCGAAGGAACCGGCGAACCCATCCAGCTGAACATCTTCTCTGGCCAGGGTGCACCCGACAACCGCCTGTAAGATTTTGTCTAGCAAGCGACGATCTTTTCAGAAAGGCCACGCTAATGTGTTGCTCAGTCCTGACCTCATTGAACTCAACTTTGCAAGTCATATATCCATGTACGTGCAAGTTCCACTTCGAACCTTGTTTTCAAAGTTTAGAGCTACCATATTTAAGTTCAAGCTGAGATATTTAGCAGGTCCCACACAAAGATTGCCCATACCCACCACCAACTCGCCACGCTATTCACAGGCAGCAGCAGCGCTGTACTAGCATCCATCGCCTCGCTGTTGGATGTTCGCGGCCCCCTCGAGATTTGATCACGATCTGCATGTATCCGATCGATGTGTTCGTTGCCTCAAGTTGCACAAGCTGTAGCGACATCGGCTGTGCACTAGCGAAGAAGAGAAAACGTGGCAAGATCCTCACTCGATTGACAGACGAAGGGCTGGTAGATTCTGAATCTCACCGACGTTGGATGCTATTTTTTGTTCGTTGCAGGTCTAGGGCGTTCTCATCATTAAGAAGGAACTGCCTTTCTTCTGATGAGTCTGACTACGGGAGACTAGGGCGTTCCAGACACCCAAGTCTTCTCTTTTGTCTTTTACTCAGCTGTGCACTTGCCCTCTGGTGTCCAAGAGATGGACGCCAGCTGGTATGTCTGTTGCTGTTGTAATACCAGACGACTGTTGGCAATTAGATGAGTAAACACTCTGCCTTGCGTTGGCAGCTGAACCCGTTATTTTATTCGTGATTTGACTACTCGCGAGTCACCAGCATCGCAGATGGGCCAATTGTGTAGAATCATGATTAATGATACATGATCGATAACGTGAAATAGTGCAGGTGTGTAAAGTGTCGTGTGATACATCATCAAGTTGTAATAAAGATAAGGAATTGTCAGGAAATGATACTCTAGAAGAGAAGCTGGCTTCCGTGCTATGTTTACATCTTCTTGCTAGAACTTGACGTGCAAGGCAGGGAAAAGAGGAGCGAGGTAACCTTACGCGTAGGGCTGTGAAAGGGTGAATGCAGGCTGGTGACACGAGCTAGTCTGTGCAGGAAGTTATGGAGTAATAAGATGGGAGGTGTGGATGCGTTGGCGCTCTGACAGGTAGCTCGTGACCTCAAGATCGGGTTGGGGTTGAGGGGAAAGAACGGCTATCCGAGATTGAGAGATATTTCATTCGCTTGATGATTGAATTGATAATATTGTCAGACGCGCGAGCATTTGGGGTGCTGAACTCTGGCACCGTCTCCGCTGTCCACTGAGAGGAAAATATTGTTACCAGAACCTCTAGGAAAGATGAGTAATCATACCTTGCGCAGCACCACATCATCATAGCTATTACTTGGGCTGCTGGCCGGAGGACCGGGCGTCATATCTCTGAAGACATTGCCAAGTTTGGAGACAGTTGAGGAGGTGGCAAGGGTCACGATACTGTCTAAGCTGTTCCCCGGAGATGAGATGGACGGCGATGATAAGGGAGTCTTGAAGTCATCGGTATCTTCGTGCGAAAACGCAGGAGAGCGAGGATCCTCGACGGCGGTCTCCAAGGAACACCCTTCATTGATCGGCGGACAGGTCTCTACAAGCCCCAGAACTTCGCAAGCTATTCTGTCAGATGCTTGGAGAAGCGCTAATGTCGAGATGCATAACGTAGCGATGGCGAGTTTTGCGGAACTCTGTTCTGCCTCCTTCAGAGCATGACGAGTGTGACGAACCACGGTTGTGTTGAAGAGGACCGCTGAAAGAACGCCAGTGATGATAACTCGAGCGACAGTAGTGGAGACGAAAGAGACTGTGTTCATCCTGAATAAATGTGAATAGTTCTCTTAGTGGGTATGGTTTGACTGAGCGGGCGGTTGGGAAGATTTCAAGAGCTCGTATCTCAATTTGTATGTTTGGTTGCGTGCGCAACTCGCGTCGTGATTGTCACGTGAACGCAAAATCAAAGCAATTGAATTTTGCTGCGTGCCAAGTACTAGTGATGTATTGTACTGGCAGGTGCACTTCCGAACGAACTACTAGTAATATATGTACAGATTGTTCAAACTTCAAAACTTCCAATCGTCCATGTCCCTTACACGACCTTCTCCACACCGGGTGGGAACTTGTAGTTTCCTTGGCGCCTGACCTCGTCGAAGATGCCCATCTCCACCAGGCTTTTATCATGTCCCCAAAGTGAACTCTCACTCTTACCATCACGCACACACCGCGCAACCTCATCGGCCTGGAAATGCCATCCATTGCCAACATACTCGAATCGCCTCGTCTCCTCCTTTGTCACCTTGTCACCTTCAAGGTACTGCACAGTAAAGCTCTTCGGGCAGTATATTGGCGCTGCGATCGCGATGGTACCCTTCTCGTACCGAATTACAACACCGGTCTGGTGGCCATGGACGTTAAGATTGCACGACAGAATGGCTTGTGCAGCCAGTCCCCTTTCTGCGAAGGTAACCGTGAAGGAGGTGTTGCGGTCGACCCCTGTCAGAGGGGTTTTCAACATTGTTCCACTGACGTTGCTGGGAGCAGCTCCTTGGTTGGCAGGGTGCTCGTACAGGGCAAGAATGGCCTGCGATTGTCATTGGAAGGAACATAAGCAAAAACAATTGCTGCCTTACCCAAATAAGAGGATATGGTCCCCTGCGACAAGTCAGATTATCCGCTAAATGATTTGCCTCGTGTACTCACAGATCTAGTAATGCGCCGCCACCAAGGGCAGGATCCAGGATGCGGTGAGTCTTAGGAAGTTCTGTTGTGTCCCATAAGATATGGCATAATTGAAATAACACAGCATTACTCACTGTCAATCTGAAAGTTGTCTGACAAGTCGGCTTGGAGAGCCAATGGTGCACCCAATACACCACTTTCCGAAATTTTCTTGACCTCAAGCGTAAGAGGCTGGAAGCGTGTCCAGAGCGCTTCCATAAAGAATACACCATGCTCTTTTGCAGCTGCAAGGAGCGACCGAAGCTCTGCCGCGTTTGTTGTCACGGGCTTTTCGCAAAGAACGTGTTTCTTTGCTTTAATCGCGTCAAGTGCATTTTCATAGTGCAGAGTATGAGGTGTGCCTAAATCACGCCCGGTGAGTAAAGATCGACTCAGATATGAAATGAAGTCGAACCAATGTAAACTGCATTGACGTTCTGCCCCACATTTTATTAGCTTGGTTGGTGCTGTGACGATATTCTACCTACCGGGTCTGCATAGACACCAGCATAACTGCCATATGCTTTGATTGACTGATCACCCTTGGCATATTCAGTGATGAACTTCTGCGCTGATTGGACACTTCGCGACCCAACGGCAGTCACTTTGTGCACCACATCAGTGACATTACGCCTGTATTTAAAATAACAATGTCATTGGGTTTCGCGATAGACAGTAGGGTGACACGGACGTTTTGGGATCAACAAGAAGATCCTACGCCGCACTTGATCGATTAGAAAGTGAAATAAACAGGCATCGTGGAACGTACTGTTACGAAGCAATTGGCTATTCTGCCAGTTGAGATAATGCCCCAGCGAAGAATGAATGGTTGGGTCATATAGTCAGCAGCTGTAACTCCAGTAGAGCCTATGCACACGGGAATGTATTGAGGCTGGTTGTTGCAAGAAATCCACATGTACGGCATCGTTATATATGTCCAAGGGGCTTCTGCTGCAAGTCACGGTGATGAAGTTAGTTCTCAGGGGTTCGGCCCGACTTAGTCAACTGCATTTTTGCCTCTCTTCAGTACGCTGCAAATTCGGTAAAATTACAACCCAAATGCAATTCATCGCACCTGGTGACCTAGCCACGTTTTAGTTATCATCTCGTCTGACCACCATCCCCCACGGATTGTCACCGAGGCATCATCCATCATCCCTTATCCTCAATTTTTGACACGCTTTGTTCGCGATATGTACGAAAATCAGACTGACCTAACTAGCATCCTCATCCAACTATGCGAACATTCTGATATCTTGACAACCAAACTCGTCCCGGAGCTCCTCCAATCCGTCTGGGTTACACCTGTTGGACCCATAGACCCCACTAACGCGCTGATAGATCGCGCTATCGCTATCATTCACGCATGGAATGCAGATGATCAGGCAGAATTCATCATCGCACATCCTAGGATCGGGGAGGTCAAACAACTCTCCGCGTTGAGTGCCAAAGAGCAAAGTGGCGGCCTCTCCGCCACCACAAGGGTGGAGACACCCCCAGAGGTGCTGAAACGACTAGAACACCTGAATGCGTGTTACGAGCATGTGTACCCCGGATTGAGGTACATCACGTTCGTGAATGGGAGAACTAGGGCTGCAATTGCGAGGGAGATGGAGGACAAGCTGCAGCTCGGACATCCTTTGGAGAGCTATCCTCACGGGCCTCCGCTGAACGAGCCGGTGACAGAAGGCCTGATTTGTGTCCCAAAGAATAGTGAGGATTGGTTGAACGAGCTGAAACGAGCGGTGGATGATGTAGGGAAGATTGCAAAGAGTAGACAGAAGTCAGTGGGGCTGTAATGGCATTGAGATTGTATTGAGCCGACAGATTGGAGTTCCGTATGTACAGTCTGTCACTAGATGTCCACGGAGACTATAGCAAATAAATCACGGGCAGATCAATGAACGAACGAACACAAACACAACCTCGAATCGAACAACAAGGGATCGCAGAAGGAAGCAAAGTATAGAATACAACAGTATCGCGAATAAAAACTCCAGCGCCGGGAGATAAATAAAGCAAAATATCTGCCAAAACGAACCGTAAGATGAAAACTGTCCTTCGGATTCGCCTCACTAAATGAGAGTTGTGTGTCGCCGCGGTATTTGGCCTTTGTCCGCCATTTCTTTTTGCTTCATATGAAAATAATCAAATTGGACGATGCTCGCAAAACATGAATGTGAGTAGCGTACCTGTAGCGCGGCCTGCCTGCGCGATTCCCACTCTGGGTGGCATTCGCGCAGCTCCTGATAAAACCGTTCAACCATTTCCACATATCGCTGCTTCTCCTCCTTTATACGCTTGAGGCTCTCATAGAAATCTGCACGGTCCTTCATACGCGCCTCGCTGCGTTCCTTGGCTTGACGTGCCCACTCTTCACGCGTCTTGACCCGCCTGTCGTGCTGCTCATCCCAAATTTTCTTGTTGTTCTGAGCCAGCTGAATGCGGTCGTCGTAGGCCTAAGTCCAGAAGATATGTAAGCGCCCATCATCTAAGGAAAGACATAAGCATGGGGAATACACACCTTCCTTTTCACCGGATCGCTAAGCACCTCAAACGCATCGCATACCTTTGAACAAAAATCATACCGTCAGCATCAGTATCATTCGCACCAAGCTCAGACCGCCCGTACATTTCTAAACCTTCCCTCTGCAGCACGGCGCTCTTGCTCCGTCACGGTAGGTTCAAGTTTGTCAGGGTGGGTTTCAAGAGCTTTCTGTTTATATGCCTTCCTCACTGCGATTGAAATTGAAGAGTTACTTCGTCGGAGTTACGTGGCAGATTAGAAGGGCTGACCATCATCCGTAGAAGCGGTACTTGGGATCGCAAGGACATCGTAGAGCGTGAGTCCTATCATGGATGATGGATGTATCTGAACAAATACAATTATCGATTCGAGCTTGCCTCTGAGGCAGATCGATGGGGTTTTGCACCGCTGTAAATAAGAAATGAGAGCTGTGAGCAACAGAGAGCGAATGTGATGTTAAGGAGGTTGCAGAAGAACGAAGTTTAACGAAGGAATTCGAAGCAAGTTCAGAATTTCAAACTTGAACTTTGTTTGAACCGAAATGGCTGTCACCGTGAGTCGCGACCGTGTGCATACGTCACGTGATGAGCCTGGACACATTTAGAGATCAAATCAACTTGTTCACAAGACGCGTCCCATGATGTGGTCTCCAGACTCTGCACAGTTTCTCAGACAAGCCGTTGACAACTCTTGTCATGTGAACAATATTTTTGGCGAGTCGAGGTCCGCGGGCTATGTGAGTGCTCAACTGATGAATCGATTTGCAGTCTGGAGGCTCGCTCTTTTCTCTTTCCATTGCAATGTCATCCGATCTGTACGTTCTCGACAATCCATGGATGTTACACCTCGGTCTCATAATAATTTTTCATACACTGTATAGCCCATCACCATTTATTTTACGCTGCTTCTTTACTTCCAGTACTTCAACTCCGCAAGAAGGCCCATACCACCTGCATATACCTTTCCGTCTCTTCCAGCTGCGGAACATGTGCTGAGTCTGCAAATTGTATCCATCGAACCTTCGGGATGCGCTGAAAGAAGGGCTCCACGACCATGTCGTGTGCTTCATCGTATCTTCCGTTGATGAGCAATGTTGTCGCTTGAATATTGTGCAGCCGGTCAATCACGCTCCACGTCTTTAGAGAGCCGGTAATGTAAAATTCATTCGGTCCGTTCCTGTGCCACGAAAGTTGGAGATGCGCGGCTTAGAATCGACGAAACACCTACATGGTCAAGTACACGGTTGGATCCTTGTCTGTCCATGCAAGCGTGTCGAGAAGGGGCTTAGGCATCGGGTCGATCCTACACATATGTCGCTTGTAAAATTCGTTCGTTGCCGCAATGTACTCTGGATGCGTTGTTGTATCTTCCTCCTCGTGCTTATTCAACGCATCCTGTACTTCTTGCGGCAACCCCTTCCTCAACTCGGTTGCGGCCTTAACCCACAACATCATACTCGCTGGTGAGTCGGAAATCACTAGTTTCCTAAGACCTTTTGGCTGACGCGTTGCAAACTCTGATGCCAGCATCCCTCCCCAGCTGTGCCCTAGTACGTCGTAGTTGTCGTGGATGTTCAAGTGGTTAAGAAGGTTGTGCAACTCATCAACGAAGAGCTGTACAGTCCAGAATTTAACGTCTCCATTCTTCTCTTGGAGGTGCGTGGAGCGTCCATTGCCGAGTTGATCATAAAGTATGACGGGTACGTCGAATAGACGCGTGAGCTCGGAGAGGACGTCAACGTAGTCGTGGGTTGAACCAGGACCGCCGTGAAGTACCACAAGAGGCGGGTTTTGTGGATGGGGCAGAGTACCATATACTTTGTACCAAGTCTTGCAGGGCTTGCCTGCACCAGGAACGTTAAACTCGGCTTCGCCTTCTCGTACTTTGAGTGAGGGCATTGCTGTGATATCAAGAGCTTGGGTGGATTTCGTCAGGTGGATGATGACGGGCGTTAACGTTTATCTTGTGGCATGAGAGAAGGTACTTATAGCCATGGTATACCCGGGACGGCGGTACGTTCGTCCCGCCTATTCTTCTCATTGACAGTCAAGCTTCAGCTTCCTCGTGCTTTCAATAAGGAACATCTGGTGTCGACCACACCTTGCTCGATCTAAATCGGTCGATATCAGATGTCAGCGTCCGAGTTTCTCAAAGTGACATCAAATGTTCTGAATGACCTGCCTTGACTTTGGTAGTAATCATACCTAGATAAAGACTGTCATCCCATCAATCGTGGGGAGTGGTATTACACAAGAATCTTATACAGTTGACTTTCAAAGCACGTGACTGACGTGTTGGCAAACGCACAAACAATTTATTGTTACATACCGCCATCCTCTTTACTACATTATGTGCGATACCACCATATCTTTGTGAAAACACTCCCTACATTGGAATCTAGATCCAACAGCGATTTACCAATTTTTTCTCCACTGCCTCCATGTTCGCCGCCCGTGTTGACATCGCGAGCTATCTCACTGTCTCTTTTTCTCAAACTTTCGTCCACCAAACTTCTCAGGTCCGAAGCGGAGAAGGTGCCAGTCAGCCTCGTTACAAATTTCTGCTTGTCGACGGTCATTCTCCAACCTTATTCCCACCTCTCACAAGTCTCAAAGCTCTCGCTGCTCGAAAGTTTCTCAACAGTCCCCCATATGCCCGCCCTGAACCACGATTCCACAGCCGGGTGCACCTTTCATTGGCAATTATTGGGCAACAATATCAAATGTTAACATCTTCGCCACGCTGATTGCACCTTTGTACTTCACCGTTCTAGAAAATCGATGTCAATGATGATTGAACGCTTCTCGATCGATTCCGATACCAGTGGCAGCGAATCGTTATCGTCAGGTACTATGGCAATGTCACACCACCCTCGTACCCCACGATGATGCCTTGGACCCTAACGACCATAAGTGGTTTGGTGAAGAAGGCAATTTCCACACGGTAGGAGGCAGCATAACTTTAGTATTAAACTTTATCGCCCAACCCTTGAATCTCTATAGAACAACTATTATCAAGCACGTTACAAAGAACCATTAACGCAAACACCTCGTTGACAACCTAACTCACAGGCACAAAAGTTCTCACCCTTGATGAGTCGAATAGTCCTCCCTCTCGGCTTGGTCACTGCTGTTGAAGCTTTGGCAGCTTCCATATCAGAAGAAGATCATTTTCAAGACACTACATCAAAAATCTTGATCAGACGATATTAATGGACACACCATATCGCAAGTCTTCGATATCAGAGTCACTCACGACTAACTCCCGATGACGAATCAAACAACACGATAGCCGCCTTCACTGTCCCCTACGACCTGGAGTTGTGCCGCCTAATGGGTTCAAGACCACTGCTGCAACTGCCCACAGCCCTGCACATAGTCTAGCGCACCAAGTCTGGTTTCCTTCATCACAGAGGCCTGTCGTTTCTCTCTCTATGAATGGTACAGGAGAGACAATGGACTGCCCCATTTAGTTTAAGTAATCTTCATTTGAGTGCACGTATAATAACGTGTCTTAGCGCGACAGACGACACGACATATGCATCATGTGCATGCACGAACGTAGGTTTGGAATGCAATTTTTGGTTACGTTCTGACGGAAACGTGCGCGCACTGAATGAATGAAACGTGACCTTATCGCTGTCAATCGATCGGTAATGGATGGACACAGATGATGGGAGATTGTTCACTATACGTGGCCTTTCAATAGGTATACTAGTCCATGGCGCTGTCTCCGGTTCTTAATCTTAATCTCAGCAGCCTCCACTTGAAGAAACGAGAGGATGAACACAAAAGTTGAAGTTACACAGCTGGAGCCATACATACTTAAAGGTCAGTGGCGCCGTAGTCAGAATGTGATTCCTTGAGGAAGTATACGAGCTCATAAATAGAATATCAATATCAGGCTCGATCAAGGTTATCGACAGGTTCTTTTCTGTGCCCTTGGATTACGCCAAACCGGATGGTCAGCTTATCCGAATATTTGTGCGCAACCTTATTCCTCTGGGTGAAGCCAAAGGATCCAGCACAGACGCCGCAGAGTCAGATTTGCCTTATCGTACGTCGATGTCGATTCTTTCCATTGTTGCGTGATGTTCACTCGCGAAACTCAGTCTTATATTTGCAAGGTAACTCATCATGCATCATGACTCGAACAATTGGAATTGGGATCAGAGAAGTAGGCTGACTTCTGCGCGCGTCGTGCAGGTGGCCCGGGATTCGGTGTCAACCTATCTCTCAGCGCGGACTTGGGAAATGCGGTACGTTTTTTTTCCACACTGGACGGTTTGCAAGGCTGAATATATGAGCAAGCTTCATAAGAGAAAATATCAGGCAAGTACCGCCATGAGTTCTCGCTCGTCCATGATTGCTATTTGACCATCGCAGACCCTTTGGCTTGACCCTCGTGGGACTGGTCTCAGCACGCCAATAACGGCGGACATCTTTCAAGACATGCAGATGGACGATGACGCTATTGCCAAATATTTCAAACACTTTCGCGCGGATAACATTGGTGTGTATTTCCCCATAACGCTAAGTGACAGCAGTGCTCACTTGAGAGATAGTCAGGGACTGTGAGACCATTCGGCACTTTCTCCTCGACAACAAGAAAGATCCCGAAGCGCGCAAATGGACAATCTTAGGGCAAAGTTTCGGAGGCTTCTGTGCCGCCACCTACCTTTCGTTCCACAGTGATGGCTTGAAAGAGGTGTTCATCGCTGGAGGCATCCCACCCATGGTTGACTGTCCCGACGCAGTTTACGAAGCCCTCGTTTGTAAGTGCCTAGCTATCTGCCTGCCTCTCCGCCAACAGTTTATGTAGTGAAGGTGGAAGAGCGAAACAAAGTTTACTACGGAAAGTATCCCAAAGACGTTCAAAATGTAAGAAGTTTTCAATCAGTCTACCTCCACCAAGTTGTTGATCAACTGCAGGTTCGTCGGATCTTGAGTTTCCTAGCAAGCAACAATGTCGTTCTTCCGAACGGCGGGAATTTGACGGTCTCGCGTTGGCTGCAGCTCGGGATGCAATTTGGGTCACATGGTAGGTTTCGATTTACTGTATAAGTGTGACTTGTTTTCATATTCTATGCTTAGGCGGCATTGATCGGGTTCACCGTATGTAAAATCGCTTCAACTTCGCCAATGAGAGCTCATTAATACACGCAGAGCTTGTGTTCCGAGCAATCACGGACTTGGACACGCTTGGGAAGCTCTCATACGGACTTCTTGACAGTATACAGGGAGCGCAGAGCTTTGACACCAACCCGATCTATGCAGTGCTTCACGAGCCTATCTATTGCCAAGGGTGCGTTGCGGACCTTCCATTTCGCGAAGCATATCTCAATCGATGATTTCTATCTCAGGAAGAGGGCGGGCTGGTCTGCACATTGCGTGATCCAGAAGAACGATAGGTTTGTTTGGGAGAAAGTGAAGCTCATGCCCGATGATGTCGCCGTATATTTCACCGGGGAAATGGTACGTCTATGGTAATGTGAGCGTTTTTGAGATGCTGGGATTTGATCTATGTGTCAACAAATATTCCCTGACATGTTCGACGATTATCATCATCTACGTCCCCTGCGGGGCGCGGCTGAACTGCTGGCTTACGACGAGGACTGGCCTATGTTGTACGACAAAGAGACCCTGAAACAGAATAAAGTCAAAGTAAACGCTGCAACGTGAGTGGAGGTTGTAATCGTCGATTCAACTGGGCTAAATACGAACATCATAGCTATTATGATGACATGTACGCAACACCCCTTAGGTCACTCTTGATGTCTGTCCCTCATGAATTTCTTCAGGTATGTCGACTTTGGTCTTGTGCAGCAGACAGCGTCTGTTGTCGGCAACGTGGAACAATTCATCACCAATCAGAGTTTCCATGACGGTATACGCAAGAACATGGAAGGCGTTTTGACTACCCTTTTTGAACTGTCTAAACGAGAGCGCGACTAACTCGGATTCACAAGTGATTAGACGATGTTGGTAACGGTCGATAGCTTGTAATGTAGCATTTCGGGTTTCAGGCGGTACAGACACGATCTTCGTTGCAGTGTTGAGATGAACACATTTGTTGTCCTTGATCAAGGAAAGGGAGTGGTCCTGGAATCCAATAATGGGTCTCCGTTCGTGAGTGTGAATGTTTCGAACGTGAGGTCCAAGTCTGTCGTCAAGTCCTGGACACGCTATTTTCTGCACAGGGCAATTCCTTTGGCGATATAGCCTGTCAACGTGAGACGTATGCTGAGGCCTGGAACGGGAAGGACCTGGTAGATTGTAGTACAGTGATCCGAGGGTCTGGGCCCGGAGTGCAATTCGGAATCAGTCGCGTGACCGGCCTACAAGTTGCTGTCAACCAAAAATATCTTGTTGGTCAAAGCGAGATACTCTTGCTTCCATGATACTATGACATGATTGTCAGTAACTCGCGCGATGATTCGGCCGCTCGTATTCTCATACTAAACCATGTCCGGAGTAAGTCTCTTATCTGTTTGCTCACCGTTCTTTACCTGTTCATCCTGTTCTACTGACCGTGATGTTGACACTAACCAACGTCACTTGGCTGGACCTATGCCTTGCTGGTGTCGCAGTATATCTCGTCAAGCAGATGTTGAACAAGAACCCTGCACCATATCCACCTGGCCCCCGCGGATTGCCTCTCATTGGGAACATCCAAGACATGCCTCACATCAGGCCTTGGCTCACATTTGCGGAGTGGGGCAAGAAATATGGTGAGTGCTTCATGTTGTTCCTAAATTGCGCACTTCGATTCTGTGCTGTGCAGGTCCTATCTCGCATGTCGAGATCCTCGGCCAGCACATCATTGTGCTGAATTCTGTCAAGAGCGCAATGGACATGCTGGACAAGAAAGGCGCGGTATACTCTGACCGTCCTGTTCTGCCTATGTGTGGCGAACTTTGTGGCTGGAAGCATGTGTTGGCTCTTCTCCCGTATGGTGACCGTTTTCGCCAGTACCGCAAGAACATCCACCGCATCATGGGCAACCGCGCCGCACTGGATGTCTACCACCCGGTTGAGGAGATCGAGACTCGCCGATTCCTGAAGCGTGTATTTTCAAAACCCGGTGAACTGCAAGATCATGTTCGACAGTATGTTTTACAATTTACCCTTGCCATGAATGGGACCTTGAATTTTTATAGCACCGCTGGCGCTATCATTCTTCGAATCTCTCACGGTTATGAGGTGAAGGAGAAGAATGATCCCTTTATCGACCTTGCGGACCGTGCTATGGACCAATTCTCGCGGTCCACTGCTCATGGTGCTTTCATGGTTGACATCATGCCATTCTGTAATGCTATAACATGCTGATGTATACTTGTAATTGGACTGACTATTGTAAGTGGCCAAGGTCCCCGAGTGGTTCCCTGGTGCTGGCTTCAAACGCTTGGCTCGTGAATGGAACAAGACCCGTGAAGAGATGGCTGCTATACCATACGAGTTCGTTAAGGATCAGATGGTGACCGACATCTGTATTTTTGCGATCATGTGGTGAACGTTTCACAGGCTGCTGGCATTGCCCCAAAGTCTTTCACCTCGAAACTGTTGGAAGGCCAAACTTTGTCTGTGGAAGAGGATCACATGGTGAAATGGTCTGCTGCATCCCTTTACCTAGGTGGTTCCGACTCGGTTGGCCCCACCCTTCACATTTCAAATTATCATATTTTTTTAACATCTGTGTCCTCAGACAGTTTCTGCAATCTACTCGCTTTTCCTGGCTATGACACTCTTCCCTCATGTTCAGAAGAAGGCTCAGGCTGAAATAGACACGGTTGTTGGCACTGATCGCCTTCCCTCCTTCACAGACCGCGACTCCCTCCCCTATATTGAGGCGCTTGTGAAGGAAGTCCTACGCTGGAATGTTGTCGGCCCTACTGGTATGTGTCTCTCATTAACCGCGTTCTTTAATTGCCGAGCGGTATCAATCGCTTAATGACAGCTTTCCCCCATCGTGTCACTGAGGACGATATTCATGACGGGTATTACATTCCGAAAGGTTCCTTGGTGATACCCAACGCTTGGTTAATACTCCCTTTTTTCCATATTCGACACATTAACTTATAGAATCGAATGACAGGTTCATGCTCAATGACCCCCAGGCATTTGCTGATCCCTCGCAATTCAACCCTGAACGCTTCTTGGACAATGACGGAAAGGATCCTGAGCCTGAGCCTCGTACGATCTGTTTCGGCTTTGGTAGACGGTAAGCACGGAGTTTGATTTGAGCAGAATTCTCACTTTCTGCTCCACAGTATCTGCCCCGGTATGCCCAATCCATAGAAGCGCCCTCAACAAAACAGTATTCTAATTTCCCCTTTTCTTTTGATGTGCAGGTCTCCACCTCGCTGATGCTTCCGTTTGGATATCCACTGCGATGTCACTCGCAGTGTTTGATATCTCCAAGGTCGTCGAGAACGGCGTTGAGATCACCCCTGAGGTTGACCCTACATCAGGCACGGTCAGGTCTGTCGCGCATCTTATCACATTTGCGATGCTAGTTTGAATAGACACACTCCCAGCCACCCCAAGCCCTTCAAGTGCTTTATCAAGCCTCGTTCTGCGAAAGCCGCTGCGCTCATTCAGCAGGATGCTAACTACTAAGGTCACGAAGGTGATTCTCGTCAGTCGAATCTGTCATGTATGATATTGTACCTATATTTTTGTTTTTTCTTGTTGACTCAGTGTAACTCGTGGTCTACCTAATAACTCGCCTACCTGGCACTTTGTTGGTACCTCCTGCCCAATAATGAGGAGCAGACTCGTGTCCTTCAGCTCTCCCGACAACTTTCCGCGTGGTGAAACCCTCGACTACTGCTTCCAAAGCTCGGGGACAGACTTCTCATGTATCATCTCACACCGTTATGAAGCACACCACCTCTCAACCATGGAGTTCATGCAAAATGGGGGTGGCAAGTGTTCCAGCTTGTGGGAGGTTACTGAATGGTACTTCTGAACGAACACAAGATGGTGTGTGTTTAGTTTCTTGAGGATGGTCCTAAGAACCTGCACGTACTTAACCACACAACAATCTTCTACTCAAGTAAGGCTACATCTTTTTCTATTGACTATCATTAATACATTATTCATCGCTAGTTACATTTCTGTTGGCTTGGTCCGATATGCAGCATTTCGGCCAGATTGCTGTCAGCGTGCAATTTGCTGCACAGTGCCGCCTCCCTTGTTACTTCATGTTGAATTCATTAACTTCCCGCTCACAGGACGAATGTTGATTAACGGATTGCCCCGGGAAGTCGTCCATGCGCTGGATGTTTTCGTTGTTGTGCGTCTCCAAGGTTTACCCGGCGTAGACTTCAAGATATCCATCTAAAAATGACTAAATTTTCAGAACTTCATTGTTCATGTCCTCCCGCGCTCAGTCGCAATACTCTACGAGTCCTGGGAGCGTTCATCCCCCGATTCCCAAAGTCCAGATTAAAGAATAAAGCTCGCGCAAAGTATATAACATGTCCAGCAGAGGACTCCACATCACTTATCAGTCAGAGAGATCCCCGTGCTCATCACCCAGTGCTCCTTTTCTATCTTCAATTTACGGACCGAATTTAACCCTTTGAATTGCAACAGGTTTATGCTCGACGATCCATGAACATATGCCAACCCCTTGCAATCAACGTGAAGCCGAGTCTCTGAGTCGCACGATCGGCTTCGGCTTCGGTAGACAGTAAGCATGGAGTTGATTTTGAGGGAATTATTAATGCTAACCTTCTGCTCCCTGCTCCATAGTATCTGCCCCGGTATGCCCGACTCACAGAAACACCCCCAACAAAACAGTAATCTGGTGTTGTTTGCTTTGATGCGCGGGTCTCCACCTCACTGATGCCTACTGCTACGTCACTCGGAGTTTTTGATATCTCCAAGGCCATCGAGAATGGTGTCGCGATCAAACCCGAGTTGGACCCCTCATCAGCCTTATCGTGTCGGGCGCTGGTCTGGATAAACATACCACTCCCAGCCGCTTCTATCTATATCTGTCCTATTGTTTGTACTTTTTTACATCCCAGGACAAAGATTGTGATGCCGCATCAAGATATCGTACATGGTTGGAATGATCATGTTCTGGACGAAAAACGTTAACGATCTACTTGAAGATGATCAGCTTTCTTGCACAATGATCGTGGACATACTCCTCTTCTGTTCCCCTCACTGGACAGGCTTTATGCATGGGCGACCACCCGGCAACTCATGACCGGTTTATGTGCTAAGCAGTACACCATCCTGTTTGAGCGCATATGCGGCGGCGACAGCTCAATGTATTAATATCAACATTTTCAAAAGACGATCTGACGCGCAATGTCACCAGGAGATAGCTTAGTTGTAAGAACGCCGGGCTTTACAATGCTGTCTACTGGGGCTTTTGTAGGCTTTCTGTAGGTGCACCATGTGATATAAATAAGACTAATACGACGCGAGTAAGGAAATATATGAAATATCAGAGGGTTTCTATTGGTCACCGGCCGGGTAGTCTCCTCTAATGGAAACAGATTCCTATGTTCAACACCACTGCCATGTCCTTACGAACGCATCTCCTGTCCTTCATCAAGAAAAGGAAGTGAGTAGCCCTGGAATCCAATAATGGGTCTTCATTCGCGAACGTGAGGTCAAAGTCTGTCATCACGTCCTGGACACGCTGCTGTTTTCTGCAGAAGGCGATTTCTTTGGGGGTATAGCCTGTCAACGTGGAACGTATGCTGAGGCCTGGGACGGGAAGGACTAGTAGTAGTACAGTGGCCGAGGATCTGGTGAGGAAAAAGTCAAACACAATGCCTTTTTGGTTGAAGAAATCGTCTTGCTTTCCATTCATGATGCATGATGTATGATGCCATCAATGATGCATGACTACTATCTTAGTGATCCGGCCGCTCGTGCTCTCATATAACATATACGGGGTAGGTCTCTCATCTGTTTGCTCACCATACAGCCCCGTTCTTCATCTGTTCATTCTCTTCTACTGACCATGTTGACACTAACCAACATCACTTGGCTGGACCTATGCCTTGCTGGTGTCGCAGTATATCTCGTCAAGCAGGGGTTGAACAAGAACCCTGCACCATATCCACCCGGCCCCCGCGGATTGCCTCTCATTGGGAATATCCAAGACATGCCCCGCATCAAGCCTTGGCTCACATTTACGGAGTGGGGTAAGAAGTATGGTGAGTGCTTCATGTTGTTCCTAAATTCTAAATTGCGCACTTCGATCCTGTGCTGTGCAGGTCCTATCTCGCATGTCGAGATCCTCGGCCAGCACATCATTGTGCTGAATTCTGTCAAGAGCGCGATGGACATGCTGGACAAGAAAGGCACGGTATACTCTGACCGTCCTGTTCTGCCTATGGGTGGCGAACTTTGTGGCTGGAAGCACTCGTTGGGTCTTCTCCCGTATGGTGACCATTTTCGCCAGTACCGCAAGAACATCCATCATATCATGGGCAACCGCGCCGCCCTGGATGTCTACCACCCGGTCGAGGAGATCGAGACTCACCGATTCCTGAAGCGTGTATTTGCAAAACCCGAGAAACTGCAAGATCATGTTCGACAGTATGTTGTACGATTTATCCTTGCCATGAATGGGACCTTGAATTTTTATAGCACCGCTGGCGCTATCATTCTTCGAATCTCTCACGGTTATGAGGTGAAGGAGAAGAATGATCCCTTTATCGACCTTGCGGACCGTGCTATGGACCAATTCTCGCGGGCCACTGCTCCTGGTGCTTTCATGGTTGACATCATGCCATTATGTACTGCTCTGGCGTTCTGACATTTGCAATGGCTGATTGTTTTAGTGGCCAAGGTCCCGGAGTGGTTCCCCGGTGTTGGCTTCAAGCGCTTGGCCCGTGAATGGCACCAAACCCTCGAAGAGATGGTTGATGCACCATACAAGTTTGTTCAGGATCAGATGGTAACCAACATATGCAGTGTTGCGATCATGCATTGAACACTTTACAGGATGTTGGCATTGCCCCAAAGTCTTTCACCTCGAATCTGTTGGAAGGCCGTACTTTGTCTGTGGAAGAGGATCACATGGTGAAATGGTCTGCTGCATCCCTTTATTCTGGTGGTGCCGATACGGTTGGCTCCTCCCTTCACATTATCATATTTTGAGACTAAAATCTGTCTCCTCAGACAGTTTCTGCAATCTACTCGATTTTCCTGGCTATGACACTCTTCCCTCATGTTCAAAAGAAAGCTCAGGCTGAAATAGACGCGGTTGTCGGTACTGATCGCCTTCCCTCCTTCGCAGACCGCGACTCCCTCCCTTATATTGAGGCGCTTGTGAAGGAAGTCCTACGCTGGAATGTTGTCGGCCCTACTGGTATGTGTCTCTCATTCACCACATTCTTTAATTGCCGAGCGGTATCGATCGCTAAATGACAGCTATTCCCCATCGTGTCACTGAGGACGATATTCATGACGGGTACTACATTCCGAAAGGTTCCTTGGTGATACCCAACATTTGGTTAGAACTTCCTTTTTCCATATTCGACACATTAACTTACAGAATCGAATGACAGGTTCATGCTCAATGACCCTCAAACATTTGCTGATCCCTCGCAATTCAACCCTGAACGCTTCTTGGACAACGACGGAAAGGATCCTGAGCCTGAGCCTCGCACGATCTGCTTCGGCTTTGGTAGACGGTAAGCACGGAGTTTGATTTGAGCGGAATGCTCACTTTCTGCTCCACAGTATATGCCCCGGTATGCCCAATCCATAGAAGCGCCCTCAACAAAACAGTATTCTGATCTCCCCTTTTCTTTTGATGTGTAGGTCTCCACCTCGCTGATGCTTCCGTTTGGATATCCACCGTGATGTCACTCGCAGTGTTTGATATCTCGAAGGTCGTCGAGAACGGCGTTGAGATCACCCCTGAGGTTGACCCCACATCAGGCACGGTCAGGTATGTCGCACATCTTATCACATCTGTGATGCTGGTTTGAATAGACATATTCCAAGCCACCCCAAGCCCTTCAAGTGCTCCATCAAGCCTCGCTCTGCAAAAGCCGCTGCGCTCATTCAGCAGGATGCTAACTACTAAGGACACGAATGTGATTCTCGTCAGTTGGATTTGCTATGTATGATATTGTACCTTTCATCTTGTTGACTCAATTTTACTCGCGGTCTACCTAATAAATAGCCTATCTGGCACCTTGCTGGCACCTCTCGTCCAACAATGAGGAGCAGACTCGTTTGTTTCAGCTCTCCCGGAAGGGACCGACACCTTTCATCAGGAATACCCTCCCGCCCTAAATTTGTTCAAATTATCTGTATTATCCAAATTTTCGATAATTGATCTAATTTGATTTAATTAGCATAATACCTTCTAATAGTCTAAAGATCCACCAGTCACTAAAAATTCCTGATAATACATAAGGCATTCAAGTTATCTTCTAAACAAAATTCGGACAATGTGCGAAAATAACACTGTTAGATTGTTATGCCTGGATCATCATATACAGTGGATGATATGTACATATGTGCAACTATTCTAAACACACAGACGACACACTACACACACATACGAAACACAGTCACTCATTTGCATGCATATTCTTGTACTGTAGAACAATTAGTACCGCCAATACCAATTGTTCATAAAATTTCTTGATGTTACCCTGTGATACCAGCAAGTGGTCTGCGATGAACTCAATGTACAAAGTTCTGGATCGAAGTTGGACGGGAGATGTAGGATGAGAGAGGTGGCGGCGAGTCTTGTGTGGATGAAATGTTCCAAGTCTTGAGGAATACGCAAGAAGGTTGTCTAAAGAGATAAAGCATGGCTTACCTCAGGTGCGAAGTCTGGGCTCAAGTTGTGATGTTCAAGGGGACTTTGGGTCCAAGCAGGTGCACCCGTTGATTGTGCTTGAGCTGGAATGGGTTTTCTTGAGCCTGATTCACGTGCAAAATACAAATTGTGTGTGGGTGCAGTAGTAGTGGTGACCACCATTTGCATTTAAATCTGATTTTTATATCATGGAGTTGTCAGTGAAGCAGAACACGCTGCAAAGAAATTGACTCACCAGTTAATTAACAAGCTGACAAGCATCCGATGATTGCTGAATAAAATGGATTTGTGCGTTGCAGTATGGGGGGATAATCAAATATGCGATGGTGTATAGGATATAGGTGATGTGATATTGAGAGCACGATTTGCTAAGTGAGTAGATAGATAGAGACCACCGTCGACATTTTGCTGGATCGAATGCAAGAAGACAAGTAGTAAAGATCTAGAAAGAAAGCACAAGATAGGTATAAAAAGTGAGATGAACTAAAATGAGGTGTGAGGAGGTTGTGAGGACTGGGGTCGCATTTGAGTAATGATGCACTTGACAGTGTCGGGGTGTGGGTGACACTTGAGGTGGCTAAAGAGCAAGCACGGAAAGTCAGTGTGCATACCCTCATTACGGCTGATGAGCTCATTGGAGAACATGTAGGGATCTGCACAGGTATGGGTAACCTGCGCGGGTCACGGGTACGGGTACGGGTTAAGATTTTGAGACCCGCGCTCTAACCCGTACCCGTGGCATACCCGTACCTTCCATAAATAGTAATTTGTCGGTACAAAATACAAACACTAACAACAACCAAACATTTCCGTTTCTTTGCACTGCTAAGAGCTATGTTCCAGGTTGATTAGATTGGTGCGTGTTTCATTTCGTTTCAATTCAATCCAATTCAATTCAATTCGTTTCATATCGTTTCGTTTCGTGCTATTATTCGCCCATCTAGTCTGATGCAACTCGTCGTCCTCATGATGTGCGCCGTAGACCTCCAATACCTGTCATACCTGTGTCGCAGAGACCTCCGCCTACAATCAACCTGCATCAACCCATTTTTCTTCGCCTCCGCAAACTTCTTCCCTTCCCTTCTCGCACGAATCCAGTTCCGTCGCCCTTACCATCCAATCTCGCTTTCTCAGTGCAGCCTGCAGTTACTGATTCCCTTCCACATTCTTCGTATATCGGGGAAGACTGCGACTGCGATTATGTGCTCATCATGACCTTTAAAAGTTCGAAGGGGTGGAGGTTGGTAGTGTTGAGCATGGTTGAGGCGGACTTTGGAGCGTTTGTGAGCGTCTGTGTCTCAGCTGCAGAGGTGCGTGTATTGTGCATTTTTACCTTCACTACATTAATCTGCCTCGTTTTCATAGATGCCCAAGACACGAGCTGGTTCGCTTCCACAAATACTCCCTATTGTCACACTGTGCGTTTCCCATTGCTGTTGTTCAATGACTTATCTGCAGCCACTGGCTGTTGCTCCACGGCCGCGGCCGCGGCCCCAGCAGCAAAGCCAATTGCACGGCCAAACCCAGGCGTCGTCGTCACAAACTCAGCATGCCACTACCTCGACCTCCACGACATCTCCTGCTCCAGGTACTGATACTACCGCAGCTGATGAAGCTGTGAATCGAACACGAGGTTAACGCTCAATGATCTCAGCAGACATCTCTCGCATAGATAGTCCCCAATCTGCAGTACTTGGACAGTACTTGGAACTCCCAGTGCTCCACCCGCAAGGCACCAGAAATTACTCCACGCCAGACGATGCAAGGTCATACCGACTGGGTAACAGGTGTTGTCCAACTGTGTTCGTTTGAACGGTGCTTCTCGTGAGTGATACTGTGGGCTCTTCTGCAAATTAAAGCTGATCACTTGCTTACTACAACGACTTCGATCCATACACACCAGGATCTCTTGCGCATTCTCGAATAAAGATGCAGCAAGTCCTGCATATACAATACCAAAGCTGTCTTCTAGGGTGAGCACTAGATTCCTGTATGTAGGTTGTCTCGTGAGGAATGGTTTGTGTGTTTCCGACAAGCGCTAATGTGTCTGATCTCATGGCAATTCCCGCTGTATAATTTTCTACCCTGGTACCCGCGGGTAAACCCCTGACGGGTGTGGGTACGGGTCCGAGATAACAATACCCGCAGCAAAACCCGTACCCCCCAGTGCGGGTACGGGTTTTTGCCGGGTACGGGTGCGGGTATGACCTCTGGTACCCGGGGGTATACCCGTGCAGTTCCCTAAGAACATGAGACCAGACATGAGTCTGCAAAATCTTGAGCCAGAAGATAGATGCAAAGGAACCTGAGAAGAAGATGCCTTCGATGGCAGCAAATGCGACTAAGTGTTCACCAAAAGTAGAACATTGATAAGAGATCCATTTGAGTGCCCAATTGCGCTTGACACAGGGAATAGTCTCCATGGTGTCAAAGAGGTATTTGCGCTGAGTGGAATCTTTGATGTAGGTGTTGATGAGGAGTGAACAAAATATATCATACAGTAGCATATATAGTGTGAGAAATTTGCAACATGTGGTCAGTATACTAACAAATCAAAGTCCGATGACTTCTCGACCACGCGTAAAGATAAGATTGCACAGTTGCATGAGCCTCACCCTCTTCACGTCATCCTGTCAAATGAGTTTGATCAGTGCGATGATCCTGATGTACAGGTTGCAGAACTGTTCTGCGGAAGCGTCAATATACTCATAAATACCTTTTTTGAAGCAACTGAGTGCGTTATGCGCTGCAGCCCTGGTGAGGCCGAACACAGAGTCGAAGTTACGTATTGGTAAAGCCCGTTGAGATATATGACGTCGATGATCATGTTGACAAACCACTCTGCCTCGAACATGTGACACACTAATGTGCCGCTGTTGTCCTGTAAGTTGTGTAAGTAAAAGTGAGAAACCTACAGAAAATGTACATATTCAAACTTGTGCAAGAAGTTGAGGCTGTTGAGAAGCGTCAACACCAGCATTTTCTTGTGCAGCACCTCTGCGCCCTGCTGCTCGATTGGGAGATGCAAAGATAAGTCTTTCTGGATGTTGTGGATGGCATAGTCTTTGAACAGCTGGCGGATGTTGGACATCCATGAAACCATCTCTTCCTTGACTTTTCTGGTCTCAAATGGCCTATATTTGACTATAGAATGTCAGCGACATACACGCAGGTCATCGGCCATACATTGCGTGACATACCTTGACCAACAATTGCGATCTGGCCAACTTTCAGCGCCTTCCTGACAGTCTTGGCATGTTTCTCGCGTGTTGGAGCGACTCCTTCCTTCTGTAACATCACACATCACAGCTTGTTCTTGGCCCTCTCCTTGATGGACAATATCTGGGCTCTGGTGAGCTGCACGTGGTTGGTTTGATCTTCTGAAGAGTTTGAGTCGGCGGAGTCAGAGGACTCTGCTTCAACATTGCTCAGAGCAGGGGTCGATTCTGGCGCTAATAACAGTGTCTGATATTCCTGCTGTTTGGTGGAGGATTAGTGGTAGAATGATTGGGGGGATGGACTTACATTTATGACACCCAATGCCCGTGGCTGCTCTGAATATTCTGCTCGGGGTGCCTCAGCAGCGCCGAGGTCCCACCACATACATTGCGGGACACCATAGCCGGTGAATGTGATGTCCCGGTGCACGAACTTGACTTCATATTGAGGTTGTTGGTCCTGTTGATATTCGGGTTCAAGTGTACATGGAGGCTCCGGCTGGTTGGATTGGATACCAAGAGATGGAAGCTGGTTCACGTAAGGAGGGTGGAGCTCCACACTGGGGTGCTGCTGGGGGAATTGGTGCTTGTTATAATATGTAGATGGCAGTTCCAGCGCAGGATGCGGTGTGGGTGAGGAAAATAGGAATGTGAACTCTGGGGAGTCACAAGGATATCTACCTCGAGAGGCGAGCTAGTAGAATCGTCCCTTAGGGGATGCTACTGAGACAATCTCTCTTAATAATGAGAGGGATCAAGAGAATAGCTGTCGCCAAAGATATGTGAAGGCGCGCGAAGACGCGCGATGGGTGTGCGGAACGCGCAGGATACGCGGAAGGACATGGAAGATGCGGAAGATACGGGAGAGTGCAGAAGATGTGGGAGAGCGCAGAAGATGCGTGAAGTAGATAGTCAGCAGCGGAAGATAATCGGAACCCTTCCGAGTGTTGAGAGGTAAGTCTTAGTGGGACTAGAGATGATAGACAAGGGCAGTGATGATATTAGCGCTCTATGTGCGACTTAGACAGGAAGACAGATACTAAGTCCAAGTAAGGGAAAGTAAGTAAGTCCCAAATCCTCTGATTCTTCTAGATATGTAGGTTGCTACGCGCACTCTCAGGTAATGAAACGTAAGGGAAGCGGATAGGCTGCGCGGAAGCATATAAGGAAGCGGACAAATATGTAACACTATGTAAAAGACCCTGGATGTGGTCAGTGACAGAGATGATAGTGAGAATACACACCAACAGTACCGGACAGACAGGACAGGACATGGGAGGGTATGCCGAGTATAGCGCCGGGCTGCGGAAGAGTGTGGAAGGTCGCACGTGTAGCGCACATCTCTATAGGACTGTGCATACATGGGGATAGGAATGAGGTTGATGTACAAATGAGGGGATACGAGCCTAGCATTTGGGAGTTCGGATGCTGGAAGCGGATTTCCTGATTGACGAGGTATTGTTGGGTGAACATTGTAAGCGATCTAGTAAGTCCGGTGGTCAATTAGCATTTGACAATTAGCAAACACTATTTACATCACCAAATTTTTCGTCGCAGCTGTGGGTTGTCGAGGGTATGTTTGTGGTCGCTGATTGTGGTTGGTTGTCGAGGGTATGTTCGTTGTCGCTGATTGAAGGGCTTGGGGCTTGTGCGATATATTTACAACTCATTCATATATTGCCAAGTCTCCAATTGGGATCAGGTGGAGATGAAGCAAAAAGGGATGTATTTATTGGGACGACGATGCAAGGACATACAGCAAGTTCGACGTAATGAGAAAATCCACTAAGTTCATACAGGGGACAACACATATGCGGAGCAGTATTGAATGTAATGGGGCTGGATCAGGGGTACTGAATTGAGAAGTGTTACAGTGCTGGAGCCAGGACAACTATAAATAGGCATATTGGGACAATGTCTGTACACGTGCCGTCAACAAGGCAATTAAAAACCCACGCACCCTTTTCACGGAGGAAACACGCTAGAAGAATATGGTGCACTCAAGTGCGAGTACATAGGTGGGTTTTCTGGCATAGGGTGCACGAAGAAGACATTGAGTTTCTCATCTGAGTTCTTGATGTCGTGATCGTTAGCGTTGCCTGTACGTTTGATGGTGGTGAGTGCATCGTGAAGACTAAGTAGTTGCGCGTTCTCACCCTCAAGAGTGTTAACAGTTGAGTCATTTTCGTGTTGAGCGATACGCGAGTGAGCGTCAACGAGGTTGGGGTCTAATATGGGAGTACGGGAGACATCGGCCTCATTGTTGAGTGCCGTGTCAGCAAGTAGCGTCAGTCCTGGTTCGTTAGCATGAGGAATAGTGTTGTTGTCGAACATCAATTCATCCTTGCCTTCATATGTAGAGGTGGGAGGAAGGGTCGCTATAGCTGGAATGAGATTTTGTCAGCCGTAGTTGTAGTATTAGACCTACGTATTATGGCAACTACCATTTTTACCATAGACACTTTTGATGGCAATTACCAGCAGCACAATTTGACCTAATCCATGGCATTTGTCAGGCCCTATTTTGCTGGGTGTTTTGGCTTTCACAGCCGCATTTTTGGATTTTTGAAACTCAGCTATGTTTTCGGTCACAAATGTGTTTTCCACATTTGTCAGATGTTTTGATATGTTTTATTCCGCAATTTTGGCCTCCAAAAGCGGAAATTCACAAAACACATCCTGTTTTGGTCACCTCCTCATGTCAGGCCTCCCCACATTATTCCCACACTCCGCATTTTCGCACTTTTAGCCACCTACTGTGGGAATTACCCCCACAACACCCAAAACATCATCCCAATATGGTATACCACATAATTATAATTATTCCCACACCCTCCCCACCTCACTGCAGCTTCACCACTACATGTTAAGACCGTGTTCAACGGGTCGGACCGGAGGGGCTTAGCTTCAGCTCGTGCGCTGCGCTCTTTACCCGAGTACGTGCCCCTAATTTACAGGGGGTTGGATATCGTCGGCCGAAGGGTATAGACGGGCCGGACGAGAGAGAGAAGACTACCCGAGACTTCGTCCGGGTAGAAACTAACAAGGTACAGACTACCCGAAGGTAGAGGCGGAGGTATTTAGCCTTAGGGATATAATCCCGAGGCTCGGAGGATCGGACTAGGATAATAATCCCAAGAGCCGAGAGGACACGAGGATTTGAACAGAGTCTAAGTTAATATTCGAACTGAGGAAATACTACGGGTTACAAAGGGTTTATATACTGTAGTGTATCCGACGGGTTTCCGGCCGAAGCGCAGTCTTCGGATCAGAGGGCTATGTAGAAAATGTACTAACGGATATGAACTGCTGCAGACGATCGAGAATGGAGCCGGAGATTAAATGAAACAGGGGGGACAAATTAAATGAAAGGGAAATGAATAGACTAACAGACGGATCAGAATGAACCCGGATATTAACTGTCAGAAGGATCTGGGCGTATAGGGGCATCAAGAAGCATATACAAATGGGAACACGGGGAAATGAATTCTAGAATGGAGCCGAGAGAATGGACGGACCGGACCGGACGAGAAGCTTCAGGTACGGAATATGACACTACACCACAATAGGTCCTCCCTTGTATCTAAGTAGTAGTTTGGTATATACATGTATAATATTATCTAATAAACCGCTTTTTTTGTCAATTTGTGTGCCTGCTCATCCTCCAGGGCCTTTTTCAAACAGGGTAGGGTACAGAATATTGACGTGTGCACGTGACCAATACGACCACGGATACACGGCTTGGCGGAGTCGCTGGAAGGAATACAACCCCGTATATATACCCGTTACCATATGGTTCATCTCTTCCCTCAGTCCGTTATATGCGACTGAGGGTGAGTCTCTTATTATCGTCCCGCTCTACTTAGATCACTAACAGTTATCTTGTATAGACTGATAGTGTCTAGGTATATCTAATACAGTCCGTTATATGCGACTGAGGACTGATAGTGTCTAGAACTTAACAGGTTATGAGCCCTGCTCACTCGTAAACGAGAGAGCGGAACCTTCTAGACCACCATCATTTCCAGGAACTAATCAGAACTTCGATTCTGACTTCCCTTCATTTGTCCCATTCGGGCGAGAAGCGTACTCGATCCTCTTCGAGAACTCGATACTTATATATAAGTGATAGCATTGTATTGAAACCTTCACGCTTCTTTCCCTCGATCAACCACCACCAATGTCGAAAGACACCAAATCGTCATCAAAGCCCCACACCCGTTCCAAGAGCTCACTGGCCAATATGACCGCCCCAACGCCAGCGACTACATCACCGTCAATCACCATTGTGACGCTCAGCCAGACCGATCTAGAAAAAATCGAAATCTTGGACCGTAGCCAAAACAACTGGGGTGTTTGGTCGGATAAGTTGCAGAATTATCTGCTCCTCAAACACGGTGGGGGATATCTTCTTGGCGTAATCTTGCGCCCAGACTCTACAGTTGATCCCACTGGTGCGAGCACCTGGGATCTCAATAACCTCTGCATCATTGCAGCCCTCCGCACGCGATCGAGCCCGGAGGAGCAAGAATTCTTACGCCCCTTCGTCAACGCGTATCTAGCGTGGAACGCCCTCAAAACGCGCCATGAAAAGGTCGGACCAATCGCACAAATCCTGCTCATTCAACAAGCCCTCGCGGTCCGTTATCGTCGCGCTGAACGGCTCTCGACCACCAGTACGCAACTCAATGACCTCGTTCGCCGCATATATGCTATCGGTCTCCCGAAGGAGGACGACTTTCTTACCATTATGATGCTTAACGCCATGAACGACGACCTCCCCCATGTGCGCAACCACATTGCCGACGCTTTAGCCACCTGCACCTCCAGCACCCCATATGGACCATCTAACATACGCTCCCGTCTAGACGTTGAACAGCAACTCATAGACACGGAGAAGTCCAAAGCATCTACTGATGTGGCCATGGTCGCTACTGGGAAAGGTTCCTTCAACTCGGCCAAGTCTTCCAAGACATGCTCCGAGTGTGGTTGTGCTGGGCACTCCTTCTGTTGCACTAATTGTAGCAATGGGGGGCATGTCGCCAAAGATTGCTTCGGTAAAGGGGGTGCTATGGAGGGTAAGCGCGATGAAGTCTTAGCCCGTAAACGCGCGGCACGCGATGCCAAATACCCTCCTCGCACAACCGGAAAACCCGCTGCAGCCACTGGCAAACCTGGGGGTTTACGGTACGATACTGGCGGGCGAGCTTATCTCCTCGACAGTGAGACCCTGGAGGCTATATACGTCACAGCCCCACCTGCTTCACCCAGCCCTCCTACTCAGGAATTCGCGGGTTTAGCCTTTGATCCCCTCCCATCCGGATCCATCCGTGAGCTACCTGGCTCGGACGACGAAGAGTATAACGCGCTTTTCGCGACAATGGACCTTCAGGTCAGCGTGGACTGGCGCGCCCATACTCACCCCGTCGATTTCGCTGGGCTCACTTACAAAGCCCCGAACCAACGCCAGCGTACCATCATTGATCCCTCCATTACTCCATACTTCCTTGATAGCGGGGCGTCAGTGCACATTAGCAATGTCGAGTCTGACTTCTACACACTTAGACCTATCCCCCCGCGTACGGTAAATGGAGTTGGCGGCTCTTCTATTCAAGCTGTGGGTATCGGATCAATCCGTCTAGTCATCGCCAAGGATACACATCTCACACTGGACAACGTCCTATTCATTCCCAATGCCACTGTTCGTTTGCTCTCGGTGTCTGCACTCTGCTCTGCTCACCGTTGCATTGCGTCTTTCGACGATACATCCTGCTGGGTCCAAGCTCGTAGCGGCGCTCGCATGATCACAGGCACTCTCACTTCCCGTCGCCTTTATGTTTTGTCTGGAGGCAAACTGTCCGCGGCCCACGCATTCATTACCCAACGTCAACCCAACTTACAGTCTTGGCACCGTCGTCTCGGACACGCCAATTATCGTGCCGTTTACAACCTTGCGCGTTCCGGTCATGCAACTGGTATGCGTATCGATCTATCTACTCAACCCCCCGTTTGTGACGATTGTATCCTTGGCAAACAGACCAGGGTTAGCGTCCCCAAGACTCGGGTGGGAGATCGTGCAGACAGGAAGCTTGGTGTAGTGCATGTTGACTTGATGGAACACCCAGATGTTGTATCCGCCGCTGGCAACAAGTTCATAATGGACATTATTGATGATTTCTCATTGTACGCTTGGGCTATCCCCCTCGCATCCAAGAGTGACGCCTTCTCCGCCTTACAAGCCTGGGAACGCGCTCGCGAACTCGAAACCGGGCTTAAGGTTGGCATCTATCGCTCGGATAACGGCGAACTGAAGACTGAGGCCATGCGCGAGTGGCTCCTCGCGCGTGGTACTCAACACCAGTTCACCGCACCTTACACGTCGGCGCAAAACGGCCGTGTTGAGAGACTGCATCGTACTTTAATGGGTAAGGCTCGCGCTATGCGCTCCGCATGCAAATTGCCCCCCAATCGCTGGGATGAATTTGTACTCACAGCATGCTATCTTTCCAATCGTACGCCAGTCGCTTCCCAATCCGGTCATACGCCTTTCGAGAGTTGGTTTGGTCGCCTACCTGATCTCTCTAATCTTCGTGAGATAGGTTCTCGTGCTTTCATCCTTATCCAGAACAAACACAATCCAAAAATTTACAATCGGTCTATTGAATGTGTCCTTATTGGTTACTCACTTGACTCCAAAGCCTACAGGTGCTATCATCGCGATACTCACAAGGTCTTTGTTTCCTACCACGTCTCCTTCATCGAATCACATAACGCTGATGATACACCGCTCCATCCTGGCCTCATCCTTGGCGACACCGTTCAACCTTCCCCTACCCCTTCCCATCGACCTACCGTCATCGAGGTTCCCGACGTGGACGCACCACCCCCTCTCACCTATACACCCCCACCTCTGGCCGACCCTCCAGCGCCTCGTCGTACTTCAAGGACACATGTTCCCTCTGCAAGACGAAGCGCAGCTGAAGGCTTGCCTTACGCATCAGCCACCCAACGCGCCGTCCTCGAATCCATGGCCGCAGCAGATCGTCTCCGCAACATCCACCATCAGTCGCCGGTTCTTCCCGATGAGGACGTACTGGCTGCCATGGTTAGTGAGACTGACCTTGCCTACCTTGCAGACATCTTCACTGCGATGCCCGACCATGTGGATGCTCAATCTCCCAACGACCCTACCACCTACAAGGAGGCCATGTCTTCTTCACATGCCGACCAATGGACATCTGCCCTCCAGGAGGAGTTCGCCTCCCTTAAAGATCTCGGCGTCTACAAGCTGGTTCCTCGTTCTTCTGTACCGATCGGCCGAAAAATCATGCGTGGCCGACCTGTATTTAAGCTCAAACGCGACCAACATGGCATACCGGTTCGTTTCAAGGCGCGTTACGTCTGTAGGGGCTACTCTGCAATCTGGGGACAAGACTATACGAAGACGTCAGCACCAACCGCGCGTTTAGAATCTTTTCGTGTCCTGGCTCACCTTGGCGCCGCACTGGACTGGGAGATAGATCAGCTGGATATCAAAACCGCTTTCCTATATGGTCTTCTGGATCCCGACGAGGTCTGTTACATGGAACAGCCCGAAGGTTTTGTCGAACCTGGTATGGAGGACCATGTGTGGGAACTACAACGCGGACTCTATGGTATGAAGCAAGGCGGTTTAGTCTGGAACCGCACAATGAACGAGGCAATGCTCTCCTGGGGGTTCACGCGCCTCAAATGCGAATACTGTATCTACTACCGACGTACTGACGCCGGTATTCTCCTCATTGCGATCCACATTGACGATTTCTTCACGATTGGTAGTTCCAAGGCCGTTATCTCAGACTTCAAAGCTCAGTTGCGCACCAAATGGACCGTATCTGATCTTGGCGAGGCTCGGTTCTGCTTGGGTATTGCACTCGATCGCGATCGCGAAACTCGCACTATCCGTCTGTCTCAGGGTGCTCTCATTGACCGCATAGTACATCAATTCGGCCTTAAAGATGCGGTACCCATATCTACTCCCATGGACCCGGGCATTCACCTCTCACGTCTACACCATGCACCTTCCACGGACACTGAACGCGATCTAATGGCTCGAACCCCCTACCGATCACTCGTTGGCTCGCTCATGTACCTCGCCATAGGCACTCGCCCCGATATCGCATACTCCGTCCAACAGCTCAGTAAATTCCTCGACTGTTATGGACGTGTCCATTGGGAAGCCGCGAAGCGCGTCGTACGATTCCTCAAAGGCTCTCGTGACGTAGCACTCGTCCTTGGTGGTGATCATCCCGCGCGTTTACTTGGCTACACCGACAGCGATCTTGCGAGTTGTGTTGACACCCGTCGATCTGTCAGCGGCTACTGCTGCACGCTTGGAGGCGGCATGATTACTTGGGGAGCTCGACAACAGAAAACCGTATCACTGTCCACCTGCGAGGCAGAATACGTCGCGGCATCTGAAGCCGCCTCCGAAATCACCTGGCTTCGAACTCTCCTCCGAGAACTCAATTTTCCACAACTCTCCGCTACACCTCTCCTCTGCGATAATAACGGCAGTATCGTGCTCACCGAAGACTCATCTTTTCACGCTCGCGTTAAACAAATCGACATCAAATATCACTCCATCCGTCAACACGTCGAACACGCACGTCTCAAACTTCATTATGTCAAGTCAAAAGATAATATTGCCGATATATTTACCAAAGCACTACCTCGCAAAGACTTCGAACGTCTTCGAACGCACCTTGGACTACAGTGATAGCAATCGAGGAGGAGTCTTATCCCGTGGTACGCATCGAGGAGGAGTATTGACGTGTGCACGTGACCGATACGACCACGGATACACGGCTTGGCGGAGTCGCTGGAAGGAATACAACCCCGTATATATACCCGTTACCATATGGTTCATCTCTTCCCTCAGTCCGTTATATGCGACTGAGGGTGAGTCTCTTATTATCGTCCCGCTCTACTTAGATCACTAACAGTTATCTTGTATAGACTGATAGTGTCTAGGTATATCTAATACAGTCCGTTATATGCGACTGAGGACTGATAGTGTCTAGAACTTAACACAGAACATTGTCGCATTTTTGCCCCTTTGATAGGGGGGTGTTCCAGGACATTCAGAACATATTTATGAGCATATATGAGTAGATTCCCATCTTTATTTCACCCCCTGAAGTGTCCTACATCAATAGATATAGCACATATGCAAGAAAACACAGAATATGTTCTCATTTGATTATTTCTAGGTGAACAGCCTTGTAAAAATGATTCCCAGCATCTATTTAACAATAGGAACAATGTATCAGGAGCCCAGGACCATAGGATAATTCCCTGTTGCATGGTGTGCCCCCCCTCTCCTGGTGGTTTACCCCCTGTGAAAATTTTTCCTGTAGGACCGGACCTCAATTGAGGTAGGGGGTCTATTCCTATGTATATTTGAGGTAAGTCTATCATATAGCTGGCCCAGGACACACATAGGATCCTGCTACAGGAACAAAAACATAGAAAATCGCATTTTTGACACTTTTGATGTTTTCAGTATCTTACTCTTGCATAAATTATACAACCTGTTCATATATCATTATCATAGTATATATACTTGCTTTTTGTGACAAGGATCAGCTCACAATAGGCCAGAGGTTTGAGTTAGTGTGAATACTTGCTATTTCTACTGATAAGGATCCCATACTTTCAATTCATCGAAATTTAATAATCAGACACCTGGAGTAGATTTCAAATATACCCAGTATCATAGGCCTAAATGTACAGAACAATCCAACAAGAATTGAGTGCTGAGGAAGTGAAATAGATAAGAAATTGAGTGTGGGAAAGTTCAAAGACCCAAAACATCGAAAATGGTCAGTTGAGCAATAGTAGCACTTTAATGCTAGGTCAACTCAGATATACACCACATCCCTTCCACCACCCTTCAACCTCAGGGCAGTATGTAGTATATGTTCCTTTAGTAGTCTACAATGTATCCTACATATTGTTAATGAAATATTTTATTTGACTTGTATCATATATAAATGTAACTTTGTGTGAAAAGATGTCAATTGTCACTTTTCACACATATGTGGTTTTACTTGTCATTCAGTCAGTCCTTGATGGATCTTTCTAAATCTTCAAATCTATCATCAGGGGCATATATAGGACATATCCCAGGTCTTTGATTACTTATCACAGGCTTGATTACTATGTAGGCTTCTTATCAGTAGAAAAAGCCCCTGTACATCATTTATCACATTTGCACCCTATGTAGGGCTGATCCTTGGCACAAAACATATTTGTGAATGTACTACTGATCATATATGAGCAGGTCTGGTCATTTGTGCAAGTGTAAGGGACTAAAAAACATCAAAAGTGTCAAAAATACGATTTTCTATGTTTTTGTTCCTGTAGCAGGATCCTATGTGTGTCCTGGGCCAGCTATATGATAGACTTACCTCAAATATACATAGGAATAGACCCCCTACCTCAATTGAGGTCCGGTCCTACAGGAAAAATTTTCACAGGGGGTAAACCACCAGGAGAGGGGGGGCACACCATGCAACAGGGAATTATCCTATGGTCCTGGGCTCCTGATACATTGTTCCTATTGTTAAATAGATGCTGGGAATCATTTTTACAAGGCTGTTCACCTAGAAATAATCAAATGAGAACATATTCTGTGTTTTCTTGCATATGTGCTATATCTATTGATGTAGGACACTTCAGGGGGTGAAATAAAGATGGGAATCTACTCATATATGCTCATAAATATGTTCTGAATGTCCTGGAACACCCCCCTATCAAAGGGGCAAAAATGCGACAATGTTCTGTACCCTACCCTGTTTGAAAAAGGCCCTGGAGGATGAGCCCCAGTGAAAACAAGCAAGGTAGAGGTAGATCTGTATCGAAAAAGGTAGATAGAAATTGAGGTATATCGATGTTTCGACCTATATCAACACGCATCGTGAAAAATGAGACTTTTCTCGATCTTATCGGTACACGTCGAATGAGCAATAGTTACACATTGAACCCCATTCGATTGCGTTGTGGGCTGTTTCCACGTTCGCAGTTTAATCACATCGATAGAGAAAGAAACAAATTAATACATTGATAGGTACTGATAGGTATCGCTATGGGAGGATATATAACGAAACACGTCCATGCAGAGCGAAACGCAGTGAAGAGAAACAAATACTCGAAACATGCACCCCTACCGCATCCCACTGCACGCACCCCCTCCACTCGCTGCAGCGCTCGTGCCCGCTACTTGTCTCCGTCGGATCCAGCGAACTCCTCCTCAGTGTTGCCTCGAGGCCCACTGCCAGTGGTAGCGACTGGTGCCAATGTGTTCGTAGCCAGCTGTAGAAGAAGGTAGTTAGCTCGTGTATACTAATAGTAGAAGAAAAAACGCACCAATGTTTGAGCTTGCGCTTCAAATACCTGAGGAGAACATCAGACCATCGAGTAGTAATAAAAAAACAAACACGTACGGCTTTCTCTGCAGCGGGAAGCTGCTCCCAGTACCCTTTGAATTGCTTCGCTGTGCCCAGCAGATTGCCGGCGGCTTTCCACGCAGCTGCGCATAGATTCCTGTCGAGGATCGTTAGAACTACTCTAGCATCAATAATATAAATGCACTGTGCATTTATGGTCTTCTGGATGCGCATCGCCTTGGCTTTGCTTGGCGCATTCGGTTCTTTCGGTGCTATGGGAGCTTTGACTGGACGAGGTTTTGGTTTGGGCTTGGGCTTACTGATGGTGGCGGTGAGAGTAGGAATCGTGTTTGCAGTGGTTGTAGGAATCGCGTTCGCAGCGGTTGTAGGAATCAATATCGGTGTCGCAGGAATTGTGGTTGTTGTTGGAGGAATCATGGTCATGGTCGCAGGAATAGACGACGAACTTGATGAGCTTGATGCCGATGTTGTGCTTGCGTTTGTAGGCCCTCCAAGTCGGAATGTCCCCGACACACCAGCGACCCTAGATTTGCTAATATTCAAATAGGTGTTAGTACTCTGACCGTCAATTATAAAAAAATGCTAAGACTAACAAAAGCGGATTTTTCACCTCTGGAACCACAAGACGGCTCTTCTCCTTGCTTGTGCAAGACGAGGAGGGCTCAGAGCACTCAGCGAGTGCACTTACAGTGGTGGGCGTGTCAGTATCGGGGTTGGAGGGAGCACTGAGAGCCTTTAGCGCCGGATCTAGGAAGTCATCGAGAGTGTTGTGAGTAGGAGAGGTAACGACAATGGGAGATTGGTTAGAGGTGACACTGGGGGGAGTATCAATGTCCATATACTCGAGATCTGAATCTTCTGGTGTCGTCACTTTGTTTCTTGGCTTCTTGATGTGTGATGATGATTCTGCTGACTCGTCGTCTTGGGACGTTAGCACTTCTGATCGTCCTCTCTTTCGACTGCCTCCGACGTGGTATTTGTACCATTGTGAGTAGTTCTGCATTGCGAGATGTTCGGCTTTCCAGTTGTCAGCGCAGTATCTGAATTCGATGTAATTTGTTCTTATCGCATGGTAGAAACCCTCCTTGAGGTCGAGAGGGACTTGAGACCAACTGGTAGGCAGTTTTACACCTGCTTGATTCAACTGATGGAGGTAAGCGGAAAACACGCTACGTGCAGCCTTTGCCCTGTGTCCATCCACGGGCACACCAGCAGCATCTTCGATGAATTGACATGCAACATTTTCGCCTTTCGCAAGCCTCGTCGATCCGCGTTGTGTTGCAGCACTGGACCCTAGCTTCGCAACAGCCTTCTCGGCTTGAACGTGCAATGTCCACTTGGAGCGAGTCCAAAAATTGACATCTTTGTACTCGTCGGGACTGAGATCCTTGTCTGCTTCATTGGCACTGCTTGTGGTAACAGTATTGCCGATGTGCCCGTTTCGTCCAACTTGAAGTGAGTTGGTAAGCATGACAAATGAACTCCTGCAAATCGTGTCAGTAGATAGGTCACTCAAATAAATCAACCCACTGTAATGCTGCTACTTGTGCTGAAAGAAGATCTCTATCCTGTGCGAGCTGCTGGTTCCGCTGTTCGAGCAAATGTATATGCTGTTTGGACTCCTCTAGTTGGCTCTCGAGGTGCATATATGCGCTATTCTTGGAGTCTAGCGATTGCCGGCTGTTTCTGGAGAAAAAAGAGCAGCGTGAAGATGTCCCACTCGAAATGCTTGATGCGTCTAAGGACGAAGAATCATACCCGTCCATAGTAGACGATGGGGGTATGAAGTTGTACTGGTTAGGGGTTTCGCGTGTGTCGATCTGATCCAACTGATGTGAAAGGCTGCCTGGAAAGTTCAGAAAAGACTGAGTGGTCATGATGTTAACGGCGAGATCGAAATTATGTTTATGTAGCGCAACGATGATGGGAGGAAGTAAGGTGAGCAACGTCAGGCAAGTTCAATCTCCGATTAGCAAGACCAACTGGAAATTCACTAAGTCCCTCTCACATATGCTATGCCACTACCACAGGCTATCCAAGATTTCTTTGACATGTCATCCGAGCCAGACATTGACATCGAAGGCTATGAGGCTGATACAAGGTACATTCCCCCTGTTTTAACCGTGCAAACTATAATTTTCACAGCATATGTGTTTCTGAGTCCGATACTATGCTTCCGAGTCTGATGACATTGTCGGATGATGTCTTCCTTGACCCCACGTACTGGCGCGCGAACCCACAGCTTAGACAACGGTTTCATGAGCACGTTAAGACAGACAACGTGTGAGTGTGTTGTCTTCAGTCTTCTCACTACTGAATATATTCAAAGGTGTCCTACATCCACAGCTACTACTGTTCAGCCTCGCACTTTCGATCCTGGCAGCACGACAGAGTCTGAGAGCGAGCCAGATATCACAGTCACAATCACCAATCCGTCTACAGTTGTCCCCTCTACATCTACCACTGTTCGGCCTCACACTTTCGATCCTGGCAGCACGACAGAGTCCGAGAGCGATAACCCAGACCCAACAACCCCCACTACAGCCACCATTCCACTCCATACTTTTGAAGGTGATGCAGGCAGTACTACGGAGTCTGAGAGTGAAACAGATAGCATTTTGGAAGGATACGTTGTCATATGAATATTTGTAGTACCTCACGAGTGTATAACTAGTCAATCCAAAGATCCTCATCCTCGTCACCATCTTCGTCGTTATCAACATGGCCTGCGATTTGTGCGACATCAAGTCCTGGTTTTTCGACTAGGAAAAAACGGAGCTCCAGACTACCAGGGAGCTTGTGGGGCACCATTGCTATAACAGACTGAATTGTAGACACATCGACAAGTTTGAGTGCATCGTTCCCTTGATACGTGCATGAGTATAATGTATGGTACGATTCTTGGAGAAGTTGGTAGTTGGGTGGTGAATATAATGAAACGAGAGCAAGAGTCTTGATGATGTTGTTGACGTGGATCTGAAAATAAAATTGAACTTCGCCAAAATGTGTTCGTTCGTTGAGAAAAAGCTAATCCGTTTGAGTTATTAGTTGTAGCGTGAATGGAAATAATCAAAGGACACTATACCTTGACGTTACGTGCCATGCGTGGCATGCGCGTCATATCATTCTCTTTCCAGCTTGATCGTGCGATTTGTCCGTTTGGAAGACGGAGCCTTGCCCATCGGGTAACACGGGGACATTGTGTTGGAACAATATCAAGTCCTTGTGTGTTGAAGTATGAAACCATGGCATTTGCTTCATGTTCCAGTAAGTGATGAGGTGTCCGTTCTCGTTTAGTGAGGAGCACGTATCCATGACCTAAGTCAACCGAGCAGCGTGGAAGTGTGTCTGTTGGTGGGTCGAGAGTTGGAATCATGACTTTGAGCGCGTTGACTTGACAACGCCGAACACCACGTTCCGATAAGTTCGCATAAGGTTGAGAATGTGAACGGATTTCACGACCAAGGTTACCAATCGTCTGTTCCATGGTCCACTGCGAGGAGCAGATGGGAGGACCCTTGGTGATAGTCTCGGGTGCAAGATGTCCAAGTGAATGTGCCCACGGTCGCATAAAGTGGAGGCGGTCGACACGACGCTGATAGTACAGGAGTTCGAACTCCTTCTCGAACTGTGCAAGCATCTCGTGAGCTTCGCACAAGTCAGATGCGAGGATCTTGTGTTGCTGCATGATTTGAATCCCACGAACGAGCTTGCAGAAATTCTTCCAATAGACGTCAGGGAGAACACCATAGAGGATCGCAGGTCCGAGACCGAAGAGGTAGAGTAAAAACTCCCAGGCTTTGTACCCACTATTGATTTTCTGTGCAGGGTTCCGGGGGGGACGATTGAATGATCCGGGAAGGTAAGGAGTAGCATCCGCTACAGCTTTTCCGTGGTCCTGCCATACCCGACCCTTGAGAACGGCCCACTCCCATGTCTCTTTGTCGTCGGTGGGTTCACATCGAAACGAGCCACGCCAGATTGGGATAAGTTCGTCAGCGATGTTTATTGCAGCAAGATGCATAATGTCAGACCCAAAACAGCCGGGAATACCGAGGATGTTGTTGGGTTGTATACCGAGAAAGATTGTGGGTTTTGAGATACCTGTTTCAAGCCGACACTGCTCGTACTGAGTGTGGGTGCGTGATTCCATCAGGTACTTGAGGTTTTCGCGATAGTTTCCGGAAGATGCAGGAGGAAGATTGTTGATGTCGATATCAGGATGGTTCGAACCGGCGTGATTGTAGTTGACTGGCTTGAGAAGCGCCGGATAATAGTGTCCACCAGCGCCTGGTTTATGTCGCCCTCTCATACCACAATATAGCCGGCAGCCGTTGCCTCCGTGTGAACCTACGAGTCCATTGAGATATACCATCCCTGGACCATCGGCAGTTGCGAGAGCGAGGAAGGGAGTCAATTTGAACACACGGTTTTGTGATGCATCCCAGACGGTGAGGCCTTCACGCTGAACAGCTGCGAGATGATATAAGCCTGGAAATAGAAACGAGTCGACGTTCTTCGGCTTGTTGGGACCGGGAATAAATCCTCCTGGTAGTACGTACTTCTTCTTGTAGCGATCCTGCGGGTGGTGGTCGAACACTACCCAGATGTATATCCAGCAGTCGGACTGTTTACTCTCGTACAGCTGAGCACCGTCAATCGAAAGCATAAGGATAGGATCGCCTTCTTTAATCTTGCCTGATCGGACAGCATCAAGATAGTCCGTTCCATCAAAGAAATCTTCATAAGCATCAATGACACCACCGTTTGTCCTGAGCTTCTCAAGAAGCACGTTGGTTGCGTCATCCCGATATCGCATCTTTTGCGCACTGATAGGGTCCCTCCAAAGTGCTTGAATCTGGTCGGCAACGGGGATAGTCTCGAAGACACGAACGGGCACCTTTTTTCTCCCTCGACTTTTCTGCAAGATATTCTGGTCATACCGATCTTGCCCGCATTTAGGACACTTGTCGTGGTGTTGCCAGGGCCCACAAAACGCTACACATGAGTCTACGCACATGTCGTGCACGATAGGTTGAATCCCGCTGAGTAAAGCAACACGACGGCGAATCTGATAATAGGACAGGATTTCGGAGTCAGGAAAGCGCTCCATGATAGCCTGTCGAATGGAATTGTAAGCGGCTTCGGTGGTGTCAGCAAGGAATAGCTTCAACGACAAGAGTACGTCCGGATCGTCGATAGTCAGAATCTCTTGAGGTGGGTTGCGAAGGCGTTCAAGAGCATCTGGATCGAAATTGATTACTCCATCGTCCAATGTTGCACTACGAAGGGCTTCGATAAAGACCATGGCATCTTTGATGTCATCGAGTCTTGCAAGGCGAGAGAGCTCTGCAAGGTCCGCATCATCGAGTCCGACAGTATGATCTTGTTGGGGGTCTGCACCATTAGTTTAGGCTTGCCTGGTGGCATAAATCGGATACATACTATTATCCAGCTGATGAATATCAATGTCAGGTCCATTGAAATTGCCTTCGTCATCCTGATTTGCGTCGTCGCGTCCCTCATCACGGTCCTCATTAGCATGGCCCTGGGTACCGTCATCACGAGTCTCGACTGTGTTCTCAGGAGCAAGGGTGTCATCACGTCTGTGAAATGTATTATCGTGGTCCTGGATCTCATCATCGCCGTGAGGTACAAAGTCCGGTATGTCCTCCTGTATAGGTTGTGCTATGTCAGAATATTGAAACCCTCAAGAATACTTACCTCGAAGTGAAAAGCACCATCGACTGATCTGTCTGCGGCCTCTTCGACACGTCTGCGCTTGACAGGAGTAGGGTCGCGCATGCGCTGGACATCCGTGTCATTGAGCCGGACACCGACGGAAGTAGTGCTAGAAATCGACTGAATCAATGTGGTGAGGGATTGGTCGAAAACGGCCTTGGGAGCACGATATTTAGCATGCCGGAAGTACGTAGCTCGAGATACGCGCTGTGGAAGTCCTGCGCATTTCGTAGTACAATCACAGAGGAATTGCTGCTCCATGTAATCACACGACCTCGCGATACTGCAGATTACCCGAAGTGTGTAGTAGAATGTGCGAGTGTGCACAAAATGTAGGAAATACGGGACCGTGAAAAAAACTCGACCGTCGTGTGTAGGATTGTGCAGGAAATGCAGGAAATGAAGGAAATGCAGGAAATGCAGGTTGTATGCGCTGATGGTCGCTGTAGAAAGTTAAAATTGATCTTATCTGCAGAGTGTAGGATTGTTTGTACCAATACATATCAGCGCTGTTCGATTTATATCTATTGTATCTACCCTATTCAATTTATATCAACCTCTACCTTGCTTGTTTTCACTGGGGATGAGCAGGCACACAAATTGACAAAAAAAGCGGTTTATTAGATAATATTATACATGTATATACCAAACTACTACTTAGATACAAGGGAGGACCTATTGTGGGTGTAGTGGTGAAGCTGCAGTGAGGTGGGGAGGGTGTGGGAATAATTATAATTATGTGGTATACCATATTGGGATGATGTTTTGGGTGTTGTGGGGTAATTCCCACAGTAGGTGGCTAAAAGTGCGAAAATGCGGAGTGTGGGAATAATGTGGGGAGGCCTGACATGAGGAGGTGACCAAAACAGGATGTGTTTTGTGAATTTCCACTTTTGGAGGCCAAAATTGCGGAATAAAACATATCAAAACATCTGACAAATGTGGAAAACACATTTGTGACTGAAAACATAGCTGAGTTTCAAAAATCCAAAAATGCGGCTGTGAAAGCCAAAACACCCAGCAAAATAGGGCCTGACAAATGCCATGGATTAGGTCAAATTGCGCTGCTGGTAATTGCCATCAAAAGTGTCTATGGTAAAACTGGTAGTTCCCATTTTACTAGGTCTAATACTACAACCAGGGGTGATTTTGTACCGCTGGCAAGTCAAAGACATTGTCAGCATGGGTAGACTGCGATGGGTAGACATGGTTACCCTTGGTAGAATGAGTCTCTGCCATGAAGTGCAATACGGTATCATCCATGGTCCTGGTGTAAGCCGCTACAATCGAGGGTGAGTTGGGAACAGTTAGGATTCCATCATAAATGTTGGTGTGGTCAGAGGGAGTTGGGGAAACTGTGATGCTGGTGTCCTGCGCGGTTGGGGAGACTGTGATCCCAGTGTGTTGTGGGATTGGGGAGACTGTGATGCCGGTGTCCTCCTGGTTGGGCGCGTCAGGGGAGACTGTGATCCCTACGTCTTGCAGGGTGCGCGCATCAGGGGAAACCGTTGTGGGGACAACAAATCTGCTGAGTAGCAGAAGGTGTTGGGTCTTGCTGCCTAGCTGCTATGCCTTGAGAGACAATGTAAGACCCAGGCTTTCTTGACTAGGGAGTGCTCAAGCAGGGAGAGAGAGAGAGAGAGAGAGAGAGAGTGTGTGTGTGTGTGTGAGAGAGAGAGAGAGAGAGGGTGTCACTCCAGACAATGAGGCTAGAACTTGGTATCAGGAGCAAACTAGTGAGCTAAGAAGCTACAACCAGAGAAGCTACAAACTGGGGAAGCTACTACTTAACCCTAGAAGGGGAGCTACCAGAATATGAACTAAATACCACTACTGAGTGGAAGTGTAGGGCGAAGATTTGATGATTAGGTAAGCAGTCAAATGCCAACATAAACAAAGGAAAGGGGTAAGTGAAGCTAGGTAGAAACTGTCAATACAAGGCCACAGGGAACTAGTTCCCTACACCGTTGTAGGAGACGATCTGGCTGCAGCCCCGTACGGCACCATTTCCCCTTACTGGACGAAGTCACGCATACCTTCCACAGGCCGTTGTGGACCATCACACGAGGTTGCGGAATCTGTGCACTCATCGCATCACATCGCATCGCAACGCACTATCCGTCCATGTCCTGTCTGCATCTGTCCGTCCTCACTGGTGCGTTCTCATCCTTAGTTAGTCATTCCTAACCGTTCACAGGGCCAGTTACATATCAGTTCCCATGCACGAGGTCACATAGTGCTACTTACATATTATCTCCCTCCGACTTCGCGTACATATGCGTTCGCTTATACAGTTCCGGTTTCTTACGGACTCGTATCCAGCACTTTCCTACATTCCCTCTCTCTGGTGGTGTGTTGCGGAGTCACTAGCTTAGTCTTACCTTGTCATTCCTTGCTTGAGCAATCACTTGTTTGCCTTCTCATCCCGTGTGAACGCTCGCATCGCCATTGACAGTTGACTATTGCTAGTCCTAGTTGAGTTCCTTTGCAAGGCAGTTTCTGCACATCTTCGCATATACCTGGTACCTAGTTCGCTCTACCCGATTACCTGTTCCGACACCTGGTACCCTACCCGTTTCGCATACCTGGTACCCTCTAGACATTCACTCGTTTCTCCGCATCCGCATACCTCGCATCTCCGCATCTGCATACCTCGCATCTCCACATACCTTGCATCTCCGCGCATTCTTGCATCTCCGCATCTCCTCGCGTACACAGCCATTCTGTCTTCAGCGCATCACTTCCTTCTTCACTGTTCCCCTCGCTCATACTTGAGGAACTGCTCTCAGAGCTATCCCCTTGGGTCGACTACTATTCTCGCACCCAGCAGGATCGGTACGCTATCACTATAGTGGACTTCTACGATTTCTCCCACACCGTGATCCCTGCGTCTTGCGGGATTTGTGATATTGGGGAAACTGTGGTGCTGGCGCCTTGGAAGAAAGATGCTGGTAGAGTATGAGGCGAAGCAGAATTGGGATAGGCGCTAGGTTGGAGGAGCCTGGTGGGAGCGCCAAAGGGTCCAATACCAGGTCCAGTGACAAGAGGAATGGTGGGTGTGCGAGCGTCCCCACCAAAGACGTCTGTGTTGGCATATGGGAAGTGTGAGTGGGTTCTGAGTTGAAAGGATGCTAAGTACTTACTGGTTTCCTCCCCTTCCCAGCTCTCCTTTTCTACCCCTCCATCCTCAATAGACTCCTTGTCCCAGTGTACCGGTGAGTATGGTGGCGAGGTGGGATTGGACTTGGTCGCTTTGAGGTTGTCGATGGGGGAAATGACAGATGGGTGGAAGGAAAGAGTAAGTGCGTTGTCTTGAATTGTTGTGGTGAACCAGAAATTGCCGGGGTTCTGCAAAAGGAAATCGGCAAGTTCGATGCGTGTCTCTGTGAATATATTGTCTGGCATGTTCCGGGCGTGACTCAATGTGATGTGATTTGTAATATTGGTGTCAATGATCGATTGTGGATGCCTCACACTGTTTTCCACAGGCACGAGGCTAATTGGTGTTGGGTGCAAAGTCAATTCAGCCCGTTCTTTTATATTGTTTTGAATTTCATTTATTTTCAATTGGTCTGAGTAAGTCAATGGGTTGCTTAGAAATTTCTGACGCATGAAATGCTCGGCTTGGAGTGCATTTTCAATTCTCTGAGTAATGTGTTGAGAGTTTCCGGCAGTTGGATTACTTAATTCAAATTCATCCAAATCCGGAAAGTTTTCGTTGATTGCATAGAACATACTAGATTCTCGCAAGTTCCCGATCCATGTGGCCGGTTCAAAGTCCCAATTTGGGTCATTCCCATCAGGTGTACACTATCGTTGACTGCTTATCAACATGCGCTGCATGAACATTCCAGATACTTCCGTTTATTCTCGTTATCTCTGACTGCTTATCAACATGCACTGCATGAACATTGTTCTTCCTGATTCCTTTTTACTTCCAAAGTCGGCTTGGTCCGTGCCTCTTTTGTTCCCTATAAATACTGCGATAGTTGTACTTGTATTTCTCTAACTTGAATCTACTTGGTTCTCTCTGATACTTGATCATCTTCTGAGGAAGATACTTGATTCCGATCTAGCTCTTATAGAGACTAGTCTATACTCGAACTTCACTTAGAGGGAGAGCCCCTCAAGTGTCTGAACTGAACGTCGTAACACAAAGAACTCCTTTATTGGATTAGTTACGCAAGAACTATCCAAGTCATAACAAAAGATTCAAGTTACCCAGAACCCCTCTTATCACCGAGGGACCTACCCACTCTGAAACCTCAAACCCAGAAAAGAAAGACAAGACGTCTTCTCAGAAGCTGTCCTCGGCTAAGGCAAGACACACCGCCGCAGGAAAACTAGGAGCAGAACCATATCCCAGGATACAACCAAGAATATCCCCTCAGACTCCTCAGAATCCATTCTCAGCCCTATTAGCAGGACCCTCCGCTATAACCAGAGGGGTCATTGCATCGCCAATAGGATATAGTTCGCTTGAAGAAGAACCATCCCAGAACTTAGAACAATCGCAACAAGAATACTTCCAGAACCCACCTGTTGATAAAGACGAAGAAATCCCTGACACTCCACCGCTTGATCTTGACAACGAGGAAGAAGAAGACTACGACGAAGAACCCGAAGACCCAGAAGACCCAGAACCCCAGGAATCCACTATGGCAGGAAGAGGAGACAAGCCCATTGAACGAAAGATCAGATACCCACCAGACTTTTCCGGAGACAGAGAGAAAATTTCCCAATGGCTATGCCTGGTTGATGCATATATTGAAATCAACGATGAAATCTACGACACTGATAAGCGAAAAATCATTTTCGCCCTTTCATTCATGAAAGATGGAGCAGCAGCCCTTTGGATGGAAGACTTCACTACCTTCACCAGAGAAGTAAACCCAAGTTCCTTGACCGGAGCAAAGAATGGTTATGGAACCTGGAGCGATTTCACCACCAAGATGAAGGAAAGCTTCTCTCCGATAGACTCTGTAGGGACAGCCCTCCACAAACTCCGCAACCTAAAGCAGAAGGACGATCTGAGCAAATATATCACCAACTTCAAGCAGCTCGCCTCAAAGGCCGGAATCAACAACTTCGCTGCCATAAAAGATTACTTCTTCGCTGGTCTAAACCACAATATCGTACAGAAGTTATGTAACTCTGGAGAAATTCCAGAAGATGCAGAGAAACTTTTCAGGAAAGTTATCAACATCGAAAACGCCTACCAACTCCTCCGCTCACACAACTCCCATCATTTGAACCAGCACAACAGGAGGAAGAATGATAACCGCAGACCCACTCGTTTCTCAGGCACTCCTAAAGATGAGAATGTGATGGACGTAGACCGCCTAACCGAGGAAGAAAAACACGACTATATGAGGCAAGGAAAGTGCTTCAAATGCGGAAAGATAGGACACCGTGCGAACGACCACACATTTCACCCCAAGGAAACCGGAGATGACCGAAAGAAGGGAAAAGGAAAGCAACCGGTAAGACACGAAGCGTCTGATGATGAAGAATCTTCCAGCAAGATCGAAGAAGAAGACGATGAATCTGTCAGAAGATGGAACTTGGATTTTTAACCTCGGAGCCTGCCGCAATGTCAGATACTCCATATATTGATGTACGTATAGCCAAGAATGTAGGAAAGACTAAAGAATTTAGGGTCCCGGCGACCATCTTCTCCTCCGTACATCCCGATAAAGCATTGCACACAACCGCCATGGTAGACTGTGGCGCAGGGGCAACATTCATCAACTGGATGTTTGTCCGAAAACATGGAATCAAGATCTACAAGTTCAACAAACCTTTTTCTATCCGAAATGCCAATGGACAACTCTCAAAGAAGCAATGCACCCACTATTGTCACCTAGCCATAAAGATCGACAAACGTCTCATGATTGGGAAATTCAACATAATGACCATGGGAGAAAGAGATATGATTCTTCTTGGTAAACCCTGGTTATCAGCCATGAACCCTGACATCGATTGGGTAAAAGACACCCTCAAACTCCCAGCTACTCCACACTCCCAGAAGCTAGAACGAGAATACCAAGAGATGTGGAAAATTCCCGTCCCTCTTCCCCAATACGACACCAAAGATGACGTATGGGACAATGTTTCTACCGAAACCCTATTCACCCGAAAGGTGGAAGACGTCTCCACTTACCCGATCAATGATGATGAAGTACTCATTGAATACTCCCCTGATGGGTCGACTGTTAGAATCATTGAAAACCTTTCCCTCGACACTCCTCTCACCCAAGATGGAACATCCGCAATCGAGCTTAAACGAGCAGTCTTGATAAAACCTTTAAGAAACCAATGGATACTTTCGAGGAAAACTACTGGTGAAGAATACTTGAAAACCAGCAACAAAGCTCAAGAATTCGCCCTGAAAGATGCACAAGAAAAGAAGAAAAAGACTTTCAAAGAGCTCGTCCCATCTTACCTCCACAACTTCGCCAATATCTTTGCTAAAGATGGGCTGAACAAACTACCTCCCTCTAGACCAGGGGTGGATCATAGAATCGAAACCAAGCCTGGCTATATCCCTAAATCAGCAAAAACCTACCCTCTATCCCAGAAAGAAACCGAAGCCGTGAATAGTGTTTTAAAGTCCAGTTGCAGGACCGCAAAAAGACCGGCAACCGGACCGGACCGGACCGGGTCCTAAGAAGGACTGGTTGCAGTCTTTTCCAGTTGCAAGATCAGTCCAGTCCAGTTGCCTGAAGTTTGCGAAAAATAAATAAACCGGTCTAAACCGGTTAAAATCGGTTTAGACCGCAACCGGTTCATATGTACATGTAGTACTCGTCAGCGCGGTTCTAATGGTGGTCCGATCATGTGAAACGGCTAAGATTTGACAAAGTTATGAGCATTACAAGAAAAAGCTGCAAATTCACGGGATGTCTTGTATCTTAGCTTTTATCTAGACCAAACCATAATCAATTGACAAGGTAAGACCAGCTATAGACTTGTCTATACTAAGGTTACAAGTAATGTTGACACACCTAAGCCTTATAGTAACAACTTTGATTTTGTGACATTTCATATACAGCAAGTCAAAATCAGTCAAAATCACCGATTGGCTCATAACTTACCCAAACCTTTAGTGTCCAACAAGATATGAGTAGCTATAGACTTGCCTAGACTAGGACTACAATTAACATTAAGACACCTAAGCCTTACGACCACTTTTATTTTTCAAAGACAAGCCCGATAACGATTTTTTGTCAAGCTTATATCTTGCTTATATCTTACCCTATTGACAAGATAAGACTAGCTATAGTATCGCCTTGACTAGCAGCACATATTTCGTCAAGAAGCCTAAGCATGGTAATGACATTTCATATTTGACTCACATGCAGGGCGGAGTTTGGGAACCCTTTTTTATAATGCTCGTATCTTGCTCAGATCTTAACCGTTTAATACAAATAAACCACCGTTAGAATCGTGGGAAGGAGTGCTACACTCCCACAGGACTGGTCTCGGTTGCAACCAGTCTAAGACCGGTTGTAGGACTGCAAAAGACCGAAAACATCGGTCTTTACAGGTCCAGTCCAGTCTTGATGATATCATGGGAATGAAAAGACTGGTCTGGTCCGGTTGCCTCCAAAAAAGGCAAAAAGACCGGACTGGACCGGACTTTAAAACACCAGCCGTGAAAGCTTTCTTAGATGAACATCTTTCGAAGGATTTTATTCAACCATCAAAATCCCCTCAAGCCAGTGGCTTCTTCTTTGTCGGAAAGAAAGACGGCTCTCTTCGTCCCT